ACAAACGTGCATTATATTCTCTGAAAAGATGGCAGGATAAAATTAAAGTCAGTTTAATAATAATTTATTCATTCATAAATGTATCATGTTAGAGAATCAGAGGATTTCTATTTACAAGGCATATTATATTTAAAAATTGAAGAATTGTCTTTCTTTAACAGCTGAGGTAAAAGTTAATAATGTCATTACTATGTTTAATAAACGCATACGGGAGAGCAGTTAAGGTCCGTTTTCTCAACGAATGAGCAACTGTTAGACTCTGTAATAAAGCAAGGTTTTCTGTCACGTACGCTCACAATGGTAAGCTGATTTTTTAAAAAAAAAAAAAAAAAAATCCTAATTGAGATTTTTTTAGATTTTTTGATAATCAAAACGGCAGAAATATAAATGAGTCTGTTTCATCATAGCCAGAGAGAACCTGAAGCTTAGGAGTATAGTTGGACCACATTTTGCCACAATTTCTGGCTTATTTTAGAAGCAACATTTATGCCTTTGGTTTCTCTATTCAAGAATGTGATTTTACGGAAATGCCAGAGATAGTGTTTCCTTACTGCAAAATGTAATACAGTTTAAAGTGACATTTTCTGCGACCGCCAATCGTTGAGTCCAAATTTTTTTGAAACTTTACACGATGGCCGTTTCAAACTCGCCGTCATCGTCATGTACTTAAAAATAAAAATTAAAAAAAGTTATAAGTCTTGTCGCGAGACGTGGACACGTGAGCAACACGCCGTGATTTATCTAGGTGGTTACTGATGGTCGCCGGTTAGCTGATCGGCTCCTTCTCAGTGGGTCCTCTGTAGTAAAGTTACATAATGGATTTGTCGGAGAATCTGAAGCTTTGTAACAAGACAAAACAATTGTATTGCCGAAACTCATGACAGCTAGCAGTGTTTAAGTTTTCTTGTCAATAGTGGGGGTACTTTGGAGGTCAACTACGGACGCTTGGATACGCTGAACCGAAGGGAAATTTTTGGATTCCTCCCCAAAAAATACTGATTCTGGCTATTTGCACAAACATTTACTCTTACTAGCAACCATGCGAACTTTCCAGTACACTCCTGGGTATTCTCCCTAAAAATGTTTACAATGGTAGGAAACTTTGATAGACAATTAGACACACACGCAAAGTAAACACTTGTATACACACACACCAACTCACATATTGCCGATCAACCGGGAAATTTTCAGGAATTCTAGTGCGAGGCTTCCAGTCTTACTCGAGAAAGGAGGTATCAAATCGTCGCTCCAGTAACGTGAGGGTTTGATTGTTTTTTAAGTTGATCTCTATCGTCCACATAATTTCGGACTTTTCAGGACTCACGTGGGTATTAAGATACTTCCTCACGCCAGAAGAGCACCTATGTTTGCACACACGAGAATTTCAGTCGACTGGAAAAACAAATGAAATTTTTTGCGGACATTTTACCTCGAATTCCCGTTCCTAGCATCTTACTCTTTCGAAATACATCCATGGCGAATTTCGGACTCACATCCTTAAAACACAAAAACTCATATTTGCACACCCAAAACATCAACACACAAATACGGTAATCGCCTACGCTTTGACGAGCAACTAGGAACGTCATAGGAAGAATTCCCTGAAATTCCCGTCCCTGTCGAAGCGATCAATTTCTTCGGGAAACTCGTTGAGAAGCACCCACAAAAAACTTCGACATACAAACACAGTCGGCACACACATCGATGAATCGCCGGTAATGCCCTCGAGAATAAAAACAGAAATTCCATCCTCCAATGCCAGCACTCGAATTTTCCGGAAAACCCGATAAAGGAATGCACATATGAAAAACTTTCACACATGGACACAGTTCTCATTCACACGTTGACGAGTGAACGAGAATGCTCCCGGGAACAATTCTGGATTTTCCATCTCCCGTAGCCAGCACTCAACTTTCCCGGTTAGAGCACTCAAGGAAAACACACACACAGGCAAAACTTTCACTCATAGACGCAGTAATCCCACGCACACTTTGACGAATGACCAGGAATGCTCCCGGAAAACTTCTGCACGTAGCATATTCTGCCTCACATGCGGTAGTCACTCGCACTTTGACGAGTTACCGAGAATGTTCCCATGGACGATCCCGAAAATTCCACCTCCCGTCGCCCGCACTCGATTTTCCCGGGAAAACTGGGGGAGAAAACCATACCCACGCGCAAAACTTCCATGTACAGACGCAGTTGTCACGGCAATGGCCCCGGAAATTCCACCTCCCGTCGCCTGCACTCAATTTTCCCGGGAAAACTGGGGGAGAAAACCATACCCGCACACAAAACTTCCATGTAGAGACGCAGTTGTCACGGCAATGGCCCCGGAAATCCCACCTCCCGTCGCCTGCACTCGATTTTCCCAGGAAAACTGGGGGAGAAAAATCATACCCACACGCAAAACTTCCATGTACAGACGCAGTTGTCACGGGAATGGCCCCGGAAATTCCACGTTTCGGTTCGAATTTCCCGGGTGCGGGTGAGCTGGGGGACGTCCGGGGTGCGGGCAGCGGGAAAGTGGACACTGGTCGAGCCTGGAAGCTAGAAGAAGGAGCTGGTTGGATTTGATTGAACTCACCTGGATTCCGGGGATCCGCGGGAGGAGCGACATTAGTCCCAAGCGAACGCGAGCCGAACGACTAACACCGTCATTTCCCCACAAACGGTTCAAGGTCGGCGAGCGGCTAAATTCGCGCTCCCCCCTGCCCGCCGACGCCCGCAAAACCCCCCGCACCCCCGCCCCCCGCCCGACTGAAAACGGTTCCACCCGATACCTGGCCCGACCCACGCCTTTTTCAGCCACCCTTAAGCCACGGCCCGCAGAGCTCGACGCCTAATGGACTCATTATTCTGTCGTGCCGAGGAAAAACGCCGTACTGGAAAAAAAAATCTTGAATTTGCCGCCAGAAGTATTTTTCTTAAATCAAGACTTTTGCTGCTTAATGTATACTCTTTTTACTTAACCCAAGCATTATGTTTCTTGCATCAAGAAAAATTCGGCTTAAATCAAGATAAAACAATCCTTGGCGGCAAATTCAAGAATCATCGTGGTTGAGAGAAGCGCCTTTTTTTTCAGTGCGTATGAACATTCGAGAGTTGCCAAAGTTCCCCCAGTAAAAAGTTAAATTTCAAGGAGAGTTATGATTATATTCTCTTGAATTTTCAGATAAATTAAAGCTGATTGTGAATAAAATTTTCTGCAAAATTGGTGGACAAATTTTCCAGATTTTCCAGAAAATTCGTATTTTAATTGAGGAAAGGCAGCATCTGTATGCTCATACTCCGTTCTTCTTTAACACGGCAGTATTGAGGCTAGATTAATAAATCGATGATCAAAGTGCGAAACCACGTATGTCCGTTTGCGACGCTGTGGCATACCAGTCATGTTCCTCTTTCTTCCTCTTCAATTATTTATTTTTTCCTCGGAAAACTCGTCAACGTAATTTCTTGAAAAGCTCACTTGATTTTGTCTCTGTGTGTAGAATATTCTGTATAAATTTCAAGCTCTAAAATTGACTTGTTCCTCTTCGAAAAATAGACTAGGAGCGGAGATTTTGAAACAACGCGATATAGATACTTGCACTTTAGCTATCAAAATGGACAAAGTTTAACAAAACCGCATCAAGTAGAGATGTCTCCGGTGATGTCCGTTCTACACTGGCGGAACGCGCCAGCTTCCAATAGATTTTGAAGTGCGCAAGCCGGAATGTATTGATGGTGAAACCGCAGAAATGTGTAAATCGGTTTGTGGCTTTTACTTTATTATACTTTACTTTTTACATGAAAAACCACTAAACGTCATTTCTTAAAAACTTCGGTGATGTTTCTTCTCTGTGCGAGGAATATTCTGTGCAAATTTCCAGTCATGGTGTTGGTTTGGTCTTCTTTTAAAAAATAAACAAGGAACGGAAATTATCGAACAGTGCAACCGAGATACATTTTGCAGTTTCACTATCAGTATGCTTGTTTTATAACGCTTGTCTTTGATTTGCGAGAAAGGTTGTTGTACAAAATAGAACCCAAGTGTTGATGCAACTATGAGTTTAATCCAAATTCATTCTCTGAATAAAAAGGCTCGTTTAAAAAGGCTCGTTTAAAAAAGTCCCATTGCAGATTTAAGCCCCCTTTACGTAATTATATAGGATAGTAAATTGCGATAGGGATTGATGAGCAAGAGCTGATGATCCTCCTGAATTCAGGAGAATCCCTCCAAAGAAAATTGGGAATGAAAAATCACTTCCTTCATTCTTGTACGAGCGTTCAAGTCTCCGAAGTTTATGAACATCGTTTGATTCATTCGTTGCGCTGCAACTGCTTCTTTTCTCAAGGCTCCATACATCATTGCTTAAATGCCATTCAACCAATAACTAAACATACGTATTTCTCTTTTTTGTTTGTTTTGTCATGGAGAATTGCTCCTGAAAAAATTCAATCCTCAAGGACCACCGGACAGCCCTCCTTCATATGGATACGTAATACGTCAAAATCAAAAAACGGAGCATGAGCTCAAGTAAAAATTTCGGAAATAGTATAATGTAGGCTCTATGTTTCTGTTACTATTTAATCGAGACCTGATCACACCTTAGAGCGCCACGCAACATTTGGAAATCCTGGACTTATCAGTGCCATTTTTTTACGTTACAAAACATATGTGAAGAAGGAGGAAACGCACGGAATTGTCAACTTTCAATAAAACACTTTCAAACTTACATTTTCCACAGTATCTACTTTTTAACGGAGGCTCATGAAATGAATATATTCTTTAGAAAATGTTTATTGATGTCCCACGTTTGGTACGAAATCGATTTAAGATTTCATGAACAGCGTAAACATTCATCAATTCTCATAGTTTTTACTCGGTCACATTTTGTTTTTGAAAAAAGAAGAAGAAATATGTCATGACACGATACCTCAGGATAACTTTTCACAAAAGCGGGTTTGGTAGATCAGGAAAGCATGTTCCGTCTTGAAAAAGTGAAGAAACAAACATGAAATGTTTAAAAATTTATTGTAACAATGAAAGCTCAACGGTATTCTTACGGAGGGATGTGACTTTAGTTGGAAAAGCAACAGATTATTGTTTCTCATAACTTCTATCTAACTTCAATGAATTTCTTTTCTTTTTAATGACTTCGATGTAACTTAAAAGTGATGATTGTATCGAAAATTACGATGGTAGCAGTCCATTAAAAAGGCATTAAGTGAAAAAGCATTCCAGTTTGTCCCTTTTTTCGCCAAAAATCTTGATTCTGTTGGAACGATAATGATTTTTCTGAAAATTCGGTCACATTTTTAATCACACTCGGCTTGAAAAATTCCAAAATAGTACCAGGAATCCTCGCTACACTAAAAAATAGAGTTGAGAAGGAAGTCATAAGAGGATCCGGAGGTGACTCAACAACGGTGCTATCACCTAAACGGTCCCTTATACACCTACCTTCTCAATTAAGCTAGTTTTGAAAATTCACTTGAAATAACTACTGGTAATGACGTCACATATGTTTTTCCAGGTCTCGCTCAGAGATAATACCTTGATGTTTATCATCCCTCACATCTTGCAAACTCATGACTCCATTGATCTCACCTTTTGGTTTTTCTTCTGTAAAAAAAAAGAAAAAAAAAGAATATTAAAATTAAGAAGAGTTGAAGCAAGTGAAACACACTGAATTCGACAGTTATGAGGGAGAGACCGATGATGAGAAGAATTTTTCGATGATCTGGTCTTCGGAGAAACTTTGGAGGGTTATCATTCTGACGAACTGAGACACCGTGAAAATAATGTCTCACATAACTATTGGTTTGGTAATAGTGGATTTTCATCAGAAAATTGTTTGGGAGGATTTTTAAATGTGAATAATGTTTTCATCCTTATTTTTGTGAGGAATTATATGGCAGTCTAGCCTGAAAATTATTGGAAGTTCTTACGTCAGGCTTATGTTTAACTTCTTGAACAGTTCAATGCGAGTTCAGGCTATATAAATTGGTGATCAATTTTCTCGTCGAGTGCCTTTTATAAATTTCTAAAATTAATTACATTTGCAATGAACCATTCTAAAAAGAAAAAAAATTCCTGTACCTTTTGATCCTCTTAAAAGCTTTTCGATAAGTATCGTCGGTAGGTATAATGTTAGCGTCATCCAAACTGTTGCGAGGAGAACAGCGCCTGCATAAGCCACGTCCATCTGGAGAATATCACAAGTCATTATTGTTTATAATAGAAAATAATCCCTCAACACTTCCTATTATTTTAACATAAAGGAACTGACAAATCTTGAGATGATGCATTCTTAGAGTGATGCGTTGGCCACGCCGTACAAACTTTCGGTAGTGATTTTCATTATTTATTTGTATATAGTTTTCTGATTACATACCAGGCTGCTCGAAGAGTATAAATCGAACTTCACGGCGCTGTACGCACTGAAAGATCACAAAGAACAGAAAATCGTTCCTCTCACAATCGCAGTGGATTCCCGGCTCAACCTTCTTTTTCCGTCGTATTATAACTTATAATGGTACTTTTGTAGTAAAAATTATTTCAGGCCCCATAATAATGCAGCAGTGTTACCGATACCAAAAAAGTATTACTGGGACAAAGTTATTTGTTGAAGCAAAAATATCATTGTGCCTTTTTTCTTCTTCTTCTTCTTCTTCTTTTTTGGGTAAATAAAAATTACAGGCTGTATATTTTTATTTCCTGAAATTCACAAATAAGTAACAATATTATTGATACACCCAACAATCATTCATAAATTAAGGGCTGTACAAAAATAAAATTGAGAAAAAGAATATAAAAACTGTTTCGTTTGTTACAAATCACAAGGAAGAAAAAAATAAATGTCCAAAAGTTCAGAAAAAAAGTATTGGGCAATCTAAATAAATACCCTTCGAGAAGCTTGATATGTAATCAGGAAATTATAAAATACAAATTTTTGAAATTATTTTCGATAGTTGAAAGTATTTCTACTTCTTTTTAGTATTGAGTAAAACCTACTCACATTTGTACCCTCTTATACTACCGAATACTTACAGAATTAAGTAGTCTCGAATACAGAGGCACTCGGTTGAGTTGGAGCAAAGCTACCATCACACCTGCTTGCACCATATAAAATGCATAGGATAGTCGGCTGAACACAAGATATGGCGAATAACTCAGCATCCTGTTGAGGTGCTCTGAAATGAAATAAAAATCAATTGATACTCTTATTGATTTTGGTGAAGTCAGATAGATTATTTTGCGTTAAGATGAAACCCTTCAATTGTTCAGTGCAGCGAAAAAACAATTTCGGTGAAAAGAAAGTATCGATTTTAATATTGTGTATGAAAATACATTAACGAAAGACTTATTAAACCATTTTGAAATTTTCTTCATAAAAATGCATGAAGCGCCCCGCGCAAGTTTTTATGTCATTCCAAAACGTACCAACTTACACAATATTATAATCAATTTGGACAGATTGCGGGTCGTTCAGACAATATCTTCAATGCTGGAATTTTCGTTGGGACATCTTGAATTAACGGTTGTTTGAAGGTATACTCCATTTTTCACGGCGAGAAATACTCATCATAAGCATTCTTTTTGCTCCATACAGATATTTTTATCCGTGCCGATCTAGAGTGCACCCGCAGAGAGATTTCGGGCGCTAGGTCTTAATGGTACGCTCTTATTGCAACTCTTAACGGTTATCTTCTACTGCACGTGTTGCCAACCTAGGTATAGAAGAGCTCTATGTTGAAATATTTTTCGAATATGATTTACATAGTTGGTTTTAAGACAGAGTATAAATACGTCTACCTGTGTATTATGAGTATTCAATTTACAGCGCTGCAAGAAAATAAAACCTCATTTTCCGTCATTCTGAATCATTTGTTTGAAACGATTTCTGCCATAATTAAATCCCAAACAGTTCCACATATAGGCTGAAGTACCCAAGCTAATCATAAGGCGTCTTTAGAGGTGCACTGTACCGGATCGCTCAAAAATGATAATGTAAAAAATAAGGACACCAGAGCTAACAAAGTTGAAGTCATCAGGGCAATCTGATAAATTGAAAAACTCACGTGCTTTGCCCGTGAAGCAACTATAGATTAACCATCCGAGAGCGCAGTTAAACATGATTGGCTGCGCAGCTTTGTATAGTCCCATTTCGAGTGCATCATACATGTAGCCCGGTTCGGCGCATTTCTTCAGCCAAAAGTACGAGAAATACATTCCTAAGATTGCCAAAGTGTGTCCAATCACCACTGTTGGCTAAAAGTCGGAGAAAAACATCCAAATCACCACATGAGAGGAGCATGGAGGACAAAAACTTCGGTTCGTTTTCGGAACCAGAGGAAACATATTTAAGAAACCTTATGGTGTAAACTGTAGTACCTCCGTAAGTACCTGTAGTGACCCTGTAGTGCCTCTCACTATAGTGTCAAAGTTAATTTTGGTAGTCAACGCTCAAATTCGCCCAATCATGACTCATAACCAAATAGTTGAACACTTGCTATGGCAATCCTATAACCTAACTTGCAAAAAACTCGCCTAGCGAAGTACTTACCCTGACATTTTATCAGTCATCATTAGGCGAATTTTATTTGATTTTTTGCTCAGCAAGTTGCCCAACAATCGTCATTCGGCGGGAAGTAACATTGACCTCCGAAACTTAGCCTTCGCATCACCCGAATACAGTTCTTAGATTGTTAGTATTGTCTGTACAAAGAAGACCAGGGCCGGATTTATCTACTTGCCGCCCATGGGCCGCCTATATTTTGCCGCACCCTTCTTATTTGTTTTGAAACACCAATAAAAACCATCCGTGCCGGAGGGGGGGGGGGAGACGTGCCGGGCTTGTGCGTAACCCGCGTTTACTCGTGTTGGGCACATTTTTTGCGAAAGCCCTGTCAACACTACTAGCAAATGTTCTCGGAACTTTGCGCGGAAGTTAAGTTCCGTAAACCTATCTTTGTGTGAACAAGGCCTTCCATTTGTAAGAAATGAACGTAAAAATTATGCAAGAACAAACATAAATATGGTTTAATAATTTTAACTTCCGCCGCGCCGCCGCGAACGCACTGTGTTTGACGCAATGCGTGAAGTATTCATGAAGTCTAGTAGGCGCTGTGCATTTCACTCTGACTACACTGTTCTTGACGTAATGCGTGAAGTATTGATGCAGTCTTGTAGGTGCTAATATGTGTTACATGCCGACCGCCGTGCTGAGGGCTTCTCCTTTTCATCTCAAGTCTTCGTCATCATTGCTTTTTGCGCCGCGCCGCTCCATGCCAAATTGCGTGTTTGGTTTCTCTTTTAACTCGACAAATTAAAGGTGCTGTATCTTGTATCACCGAGAGACGACAAAATTAGAAATTACTATACCTCAGGAAATGAGAGATTTTGTCACCTTTTCTCGTTTGTAATTTTTTTTTCTGAATCCGATTTTTTTTATTACCTTCATTTAAAAAGAAATCACAAAAGCCGCCCCCTAAATTTGCTGCCATGGGCCAGGGCCGATGTGGCCACCCCCTTAATCCGGCCCTGAAGAAGACCAAACTTTTTAATAAAAGGAACTAGACTTTTCGGTCATACGGAATAAATTTTATTTCAGGTAACTGAAGTTTTTGTTTGATACACCATGGCTCGAATTATTTACGGGAGACTGGTTATCTGATCTAAAGTTCTGCTCGTACAACTAAAAATTCGGTTACCCAGTAACCGGCGCAAATTAACTCGGTGTTCTATTTGAACTGGTTACTTCAACAGAAGTTTATTGCTTCTTTTCCAATTGAGTGACCTGTGTTTTTGAGTCGTGGTAAAATGACATCAGTTCCAACAGAAGAGCAATTTACTAAGTAACAAAATGTAACCGAATGGCATGCTTCCACATCGACTATCAACTAAGTCACTTTAAAATGGCGGAGGATGTCTTTATTTAATCATTTTATCCTTATCGTTGTTTCTTTTTCCTTGGTCACATTTTTGATGTTTATACACATTCAGAGCAATCAGTAATGATAACTACGTCTCCAATTAACTTCTTCAATATAATAGATACCACAAACGACAGTTTACATCACCACGCAGTGGATGCCGCCTGACACGTACTTTTCGGAAAGGACGCCTTTATTTGACATATACTCTTTCTCAAAGGTATGGACATCCTATAGGCTGCATGGAACAAGCGAACAGAGTTTTTCTTCTTCTTCTTCTTTCTTTCTTTTTGCGAAAAATAATTAGTCTACTTCGTCATCAAACTTACCTTTGATACTCCTTTTGATTGAGTTTTCGAAAAATAGAGTGTGTAGCCCACTAGAATACCGATCAAGTATGGTGGCAGGCGAAGGAACGTGTTCAAATACAGTCGATCAATACTTTCGAGACTGAGAGAGAACCTGCACAGAATTATGGTACAAGTATTGAACATGGCGCTTCAATTTGAAACTTTTTAACGTGCGTGGGTACATGAAGATCATCTTGTTTCCAACTGCGTCTCCTCGTAAAGGTACATATAGGAGGTACGTAAGGAGTGAAGTACCAACAATTAAAGTGAATTCAATATTATTGAGGTAATTTTTAATAAATCAAAAAAAAATGTTTGTTATCAGTCTGATTAATCCTATAGCTACGTTAATTAAGTTGAAGGCGATCAAAATTGGTCATGATCTATATTTTACCATATGGAAAAATGGTTATTTACTATAATTTTGCCAAAACTCTCTAGTTTCATTAATTTATCAATGTATTAATTTTTCCGAGAGAGGGTTCCGCTTTACCCCTCCCTCCCCCGACTACATTAGTACTGAAAGGTTTCAACTTTGGGAAAGACTGTTTCTCCTTACAAAAATTATTTTCAACAAATTTAATGCAAAAGTTTTAGGCAATTTCCTTTTCATTTATCATTCATTTGATTATCCCTTTTTCGTACTCTTACTGCCTAGAACATGTTGAATGAAGACTTTCAAATACCTTTTTCTCGAAACTTTAGCTTTTGTTTGCAAACTTTAAAACTACAATAATTTTGGTTAGGTTTGATTTTTTGGATGGTTTATTTCTCATTTATTATTTATTTTTTTTATTTATTTTTTTTTTTTTTTGTGGAAAATTTGTTCTCAAAATATGTATACGAATAAGTGAAATATAATACAACAAACTTACGTCGTTCCATGAAAGTACACAGCAGTGAGTTTCTCTCGATAGACGATCCACCCACAGTAAAGGCTGATGGCAACTATAATGGAAGATATCAGGGTGTAAGCGGCCGCTCTGAACTTCCACAGAAATAATATGAGGAATGGTGACAATAAATACATCTGCATGTCCGTGTGAATTTGATGGGACACACTGTAGCACTAAAACAAAAATTTCAATATCATCAGCGAAATGTCACATTCTAGAAATACTTTCTTTTTCTCTTATTTTTTCTTTTATTTGTAAAAGAAATTTGTATTGTGGCGCGTACTCTTCCGACAAAAGTGCTTTTATGAGAGGGTACGTCCGGTGTTCTCGAGTTCTCTTTCTGCCCCGTTAGAAATATCAATGTGAACTTTGGAGTTTTTTTCACTCTTGAAATTATGTAGCTGCTGAACAACCAATGTGATATAATGTGGAGTATGCTGCACTCTTAGGGAACTATATAGCCCGCAAAATAGTAAATTCCATTCCGTATCATATCACTCTGAATGTTTGAGAGCTGTATGTATACGCTGCGGAGTGAGTGAGATACACCTCGAATTGAATTCATCAGTGTATACATTTGTTTTGAATTGAAGTACTCAGTCGGAAAAACTCAAGAGCTTCAAAGAATAGCACCACTAATCCATTTTCGCCTTCAACAGAATTTCAGTTCAGCCAGGTGACACGGCTTCTATTAATAATGTAGTACAGTCTGATAGGCACCAAGGCAGCAGTGTAAATGGAATTGTATAAGTTGTTGTTTGAAAAGCTTTACTGCCTCAGGCATAAAGTTATGAGGATAGATTAGGTCCATATCAGCGCCTAACTTGAATTAGGTACTTTGCATCTTTGTGACGAGGTTCGTATCATCCAGGACTGAAGGCGATTTTTGTCAAGTTGTTTGAATGTGGAGAAGGAACGTGCTGCACTTACCATATCTTTTAAACCGTCAGAATTTCCGGTGTATGTTAACACTTTCCAAATGTTTTCACAATTGTTTGCCAGTGAATCCAGGACAGTGATGTTATGAGGACTTCTGAAGAAATGTGGCATAAGATCGCGAACCATTAGGGCCATCACTAAGAACAGTGGAGTGAATCTATATTGCAATCATGGAATTGAAATAAAAAATATTTTAAAAATCAGCACATCTGCAATCGTTGATTTTTTTACACCATTGAAAATTTATTATTATCGCGAACTAGCCAGTTTTTCTGAATTAGATTATAATTTTCAACGTGGAACTTATATTTGCGGCTCATTTTAGAAACAACGCATGGGCCAGTAAGTTTTTTTCCCTGAGTCAAAAAAATGCAGAAGACTTGGTATATGCTCGAAAGTAATTTTCAACGCTGAGTCCGAAAATGACCTCAATTTTTCCTTTAACCCACCAGTTTTCTGGAAAATGAAGATTTTACTGGCCTAAACATGGGTCCGAGGGCCGATCTGGCGAAAAAGGCGAAAGTGTCATCATTGGAACGCAAACTCCGCATTATCGCCAAAATCGGTCCTCCAACTCATGCTATGCCAGTATCAGACTGAAAAAGTTACCAAAAATGGCCAAATTATGATGTATACTGAAAAATACATATAGACCTTCACTGAACAAAAAATCGTAGATTAGAGGAAATTAAGGGTTGGCTCAAAAGCGGCTGTTATCGATACCCCTCCCTTCCAGGGTGGCAAAATGTCATGAAAAATAAAATCTTGAAATTTCACGTAAAATATTTCATGAAATTTCAGAAATTTCTAGAAGATATTGAAAAATACCAGTTCCTTTTCATGTTTCGTAAAATGTAAAAATTGTGAATTTCTTCCATTTTTGTGTGTTTGAGTGCGGGTTGCATACTTTAGCCCTAAAAAATATGAAATATCTCACAGCCAATTGAAATTCCATTAAATATTTTACTGAAATTTTCAATCTTTCATTTCTTCCTTACGTTTCATGCGACCCTGCTGCTTTTTCGGAAAATTCGCACATCATCGAGAGAAACTTGGCAGTATATCTGAATGTTAATGTGAGGTTTTTCCCGAGGAAGACAGTCTAGCTTATCGACTGTCATAGATCAGTGATCGGCGCGAATGCAGAATTCGAAGCATGCAGGCGATGATGAATGCATTTCTTTTTTCCGCGTTAATTGAGCGGAGTGCACAGAGGAGGACGTACTTGGCGTATCGTTTGATGTAGAGAAGAGGAACGTTCAGCTTTCCACTGGACTGGAGTCGGGCGAGACCGTGGTAGGAGCAGAGCAGGCCGCTGAGCAGCGAGAAGGCGTCGATGTTGTTCATGGTAGCTCGCAGTATCATCGTCAATTCCTTCTCCACCACCTGGAATCAATCGGAAACGGAACACTTAATTAATCGCTGCAATTCACTTTCCCGAGTTTCCCGCTCGGAAAACCACTCGCTCGGAAAGCGATCAAAAACTGACCTTAATCCTAGCCTGATAGCATTGGCCCACCGGGGAGGAGGGAGGGGCATTGGGGGCATACGCCCCCTTGGATCTGCAATCTGCATACTATGTAAAATTAGGTAGCATTTACCATATTCTGGTTAATGAACGGCACAACCAGAGAGTATCGTAACTTTCATCAAAATTATCGTGAAAGGAAATAGATTTTTCCTTATTGGGACAATAATTTTGGTGGAAGTTACCATACTGTCTGGTTGTCACGGCCACAAAAAAATTAGGTAGCATTTACCATATTCTGTTAATAAACAGCACAACCAGAGAGTATGGTAACTTTCATCAAAATTATCGTAAAAGTAACAAGAATTTTCCTCAATGTGACAATAATTTTGGTGGAAGTTACCATACTGTCTGGTTGTGCCGTTTCTTAACCAGCGTATGGTAAATGCTACTCAACTTTTTTCCGTTGCTGGACTAAAATGATGCAAACTGCATGTTAAATGCCTCAAAAACCCTTCAATTTTGTGGGGGAAACTCCCCGGGCCCCCTTTCGCCCCATCCGTTTGAAATGTCTGGAGCCGCCGCCTGTCTGCTAGACACGGGTCTTTCAGACCCGAGTTTTTGTCTCTTGGATCGGAAGTCGAAAGGACCTTAGTCTGCAACAGGAATGATGTCATTTTTAGTTTGCACTTGCAGTTATGGCAAAAGTTCCCTCGCATTTAGTCCTATCTCTACACAGAGACTTTGACACAAAAATTTGGTTAATACGGGAGGAAAAACACAAAAGAACCCTAGCCTTCAGTTGATAATTTCAAGAGAAAATCCAGCTAGTTTTCTTGAAGAACTTTAATGAAAACTGAGGGGTTAATACCAACGTCGCAATCGAAGAAATGCATTTTCCCAGTGTCTCAATGGTTTACCGCGCAAAATTCACCGCAAAAAACGTACCAAAATCAACACAAAATTAGCGTTGATTTGTGTTTCACTTCCTTTATTAACCAAAAATAACACAAATATTTTTATCAGTGCATGTAGACACTTTCACCTAATATGGTGATTGGCTTTTCTGCCCTATAATGATTCTTCTCCCGTCGATTCCGTAATTTTAGGTGGTATTTTTGACATTTTGGAATGAATTTAAAACAAAATTGGTAGCATCATTGCGTTTCCAGCGTAATTTACGTAAAAAAAAATTAATTTACACATAAATTGAGTAAGGTTCATTAAGTGACAAACGAATTATAATACTTGCCTGGCGGACTATTTCAGTTCTGTTTACCAAGGGGAACCCAAGCAAGAAGAGAGACCGATGCGTTTCAAAAAGGATCAGCGCAAACAGAAACCGAAGACCGTGCAAGCAAGATACATCTGAATCGTCCTCTTTTTTCCGTCGATCCAGTAAGAAAGGAACAGTCCGCTTTAGAGAAAACGCTAAGAGCACTTTCATGGGCACAGCTGCCAACAAACAAAAGGTTTTCATCTAAGGATTTCTGCATGTGTTATCGCAAGCGCGCTGCGGGCTTAACTCAAGAAAAACCGAAAATTATAGTTTTGATAGTATGCTTTTAAATATATTTAGTATAATGATCTGTTCTCACATTGAACTCAATTCTCGAGTCAAATTCAACTATATTTCGATTTATTTGTCCATAATTGACTCAAGGCTTTAAAAGTGCCTCACGTAATTTATTTGCGTTCAAATTCATGTTTCTGCAGTTCCTTTTTATTGCAATGAGAAAGACTAGAACAAGGTAATGCTGAAAAACTCATTTGGAGACTTAATTCATTGAAATCTTCACTGGAAAATCTTCCGACCAAATTGTTTAGCCGTAAATGTCGCCATTTTAATGGAAATTTTATAACAATAACTCATTTTATTCTTACTTGCTTCCTTGATATTCGCTGCTGTTTGCGTGGCGGTGTAAAAGTAATGGTCGGTCAGTGTGCTCAGTAAAATAAGAAGGTGTATACCAGCTAGCAAAGCCCTGAAATTGACAATAAATTTACATGAAATCATTAAAAGATAGATGGACTTTTAATTGTCTGTTCCTCACAATAATCCACCACGATCAACGCAGATCAAATTAGCCTCTTAAAATCTCGGGCTTAATTTCATAGACATATTTTTCCTTCCTCTTCCCGTTTAAAGCACTCCTAATCAACAAGATTCAGCAAGCAGGAAAATGTTTCCATTGCAAAATGTATTAAAGTTAGTGAAAAGTAGTAAAACTTACTTAAATTGCCTCTTTAATTGTGAGCGGGAAGGGAGGTGTGAATTGAAGTTCACAAAAAGCGCTGTTTTTTCACTTGTGAGATGAGTTCGGAAAGTTTCAATGCATATTCCACAAATTTCTACAAGAAGGCATACATAATATCTCCGTAGGTCTATTGGTCTATTTGCTTTTTTTTAAAAATGATGTATCATTAAAGTACGTACATTCTAAAATAAAATGAACAAATGTATAAAAATATGGTTTAAACATGAGGTGGAACAAAGAATACCGGAATATTTACATGACGAGGAACGACCGGACTGTGAAGTTTTTCGTTAAATTTGTCGTGCATGACTCTTCAAACGGTATAATGTCGATTTTCAATCCGTTTTCGGTAGAATTTAATGGCGCCAGAGCTTGTTGAAGAGAGCTTTCCAAGTCGTCCAAGCTGCAGGACGATGGAATACAGAATCCCCAAACGAATTTTTGTCGTGCGAGGGGTGAAATCAGAGGCTGCAAAGGGAAAAAAATGGTTCGTTTTTACAAGTTTTCGACTCTGAGGAATTGACAATATCCTTATTTTCCGTAACAAGTGGCTTTTAAAGTTACGCTTATCTTTTATTTTTATATATATTTCTTCCGTTTTACTTTTTATTTTTAAAACCTTTTCATAAAGAGACAAGCAGAAATTTCATTTGCGACAAAAAAGTGCCCGGTTAAAAGGTTCAAGAACTTTCATATTGCATCATTAAAAGACCAAGAATTTTCTTACTTTTGGCTTTTTGGGACTCCATTAGGGCACTAAATAATACACGCCAAAAAATTTTCCATTCATCAAAAACTTACTGTTGCATTCAGTTTTTTTTTTTTTTTTTTTTTTTTTTTTTTTTTTTTTTTTTTTTTAGATTTCTTCATTAGATTTGACTTTTTACTGCCTGATGAGTACGACGGCAAAAATCGTATCAAATTTTGGACTTGTCAACACCTACTGGATTTGTGGTAGTTGCCACCATGCAACATTACACTCAAGACAAACAGATATATTTCGTTCAGCCCTATGACAGAACTCACGGATCACATCTCTGCATGTCACTGCGGAGTTTCTTGACGTTTAAGTAAGATAGGACACAATACTTACAAATGTATAGTACATACATATTCATACCGGTTTAATTTCTGGTCCATGGAATGGCCGATCGGAATATGCACTGTCCATAACTTCTCTCATAGATCCAAGATACGACGAACCCTTCTGAAAGTCAGCGTCGAATCCCAGAAGACAGTATTTCCCTCTGATGTGAGGATGACGAATGCTTAAACATTGCTCGTAGTCGCCATAAGTGTTGAGATTTCCGTTTAGGAGTCCCGAGTTCAATTTCCCAGTTGAATCGTACACTGAAAAATAATGAACTTGATTAAATGAAATTTTCATTCAAAACTTCCTCCGAATAAAAACTTTATAAATATGTTACATTTGGCTAAATTTTGTGGTTCCAGAAATATCAGCTATTGTATATATCAGGGCAGGATTTACCTACTTGCCACCCATGGGCCGCCTGTATTTTCCCGCCCTTATCTTATTCGTTTTGAAACATCAATAAAAACCGTCAAGTGAACGTGCCGGAGGGAGAGGGATGCATAAGACGCGTTTACCCGTGTTGGATACATTTTTTGCGGAAGCCCTGTCAACACTACTAGCAAATATTCACGGAACTTGGCGCGAAAGTTAAGTTCCGTAAACCTGTCTCCGAGTGGACAAAGCCTTTCACTAATAAGAAATGAACGAAAAAAAGATGAAAAAACAATCATAAACGTGGCTCAATAATTTTAACTTCCACCGCCGCGCCGTGCTGATCGCACTTAGTTTGGCGCAATGCGTGAAGTGTTCCTATACTCTTGTAGGCGTTATGCCTTTCACGCCGACCGCTGCTGAACGCACTCTGTTTGACGCAATGCGTGAAGTATTCATGCAGTCATGTAGGCGCTAATATGTGTTTCAAGCCGATCGTCGCGCCGAGGGCCTCTCCTTTTCATCTCAAGTCCTCGTCATCATCGCTCCAGGCCAAATTGCGTGTTTGGTCTCTCTTTCAACTAGAATAATGAAAGGGCAGCCAACCTTCTGACACAAAAATGTCACTGACAAAATTCAGACTCCAATGTCAGACCAAAACGGCCAAGAATGTTCATAAATGAGCATTCTGGACAAATTGCGTATTTGGTTTCTTTCATAACTCTACTAATTAAAGGTGCTGTCTTTTTTATCACCGCAAAACGTAAAAATTAGAAATTACGATACTCTCAGGAAATGCAAGATTTTGTCGCCTTTTTCCGTTTGCAATTTTATTTTCATACCTACATTAAAAAAAAAAATGCAAAATTTGCCGCCATGGGCCGCGGCCCATGTGGCCACCCCCTTAATCCGGCCCTGGTATATATCAGCATATAGGTAAATATCAGAATATAGGTAAATCCGATTTAAAATTCTAGCATTGTGTCTGTTACTTATCGGCGAAACTTCTCGTCCACGTTTTCGATGGCTCGGCGCATCACGTGATTTCCGCTATTGGAGCAAAAAAAAAAAAGGACAGAACGCCTTCATAATTTCAAAAATGCAACCTGGACATCCATAAAGCAAGAATAGTTGCCTTTAGTCATTGCGTCGCACTCTTTGGCCAATTTACGAACCAAATAATTTTGCATCTAAATGATGAAAATAACACAGCCGCATGGTTTAAATAGATTGTGGCCCAGATCTAATTTTATTCTTAGATGAAATCGTCACCCCTAATTATCAGTTGCGTGGCGTGCTTTGCGATATATCGGTTACCGTTAAAGTGCGTAATTCAGTTATTGTATACAGTAACTAGTTGAGACAATACTTTTTATTCCTAACTAAAGAGTTCAGTGAACGTCAAAAAAAAGTTTATTTATTTTTGCACGAAGACGAGGAATGACTTTTAGAATTACACTGTAAGCCTTTAGGAGGACTGACAACAGAAGAGGAGTCTCTTATGCAGGCATGTTTAAATAATTGTTTTTTTATTTCTTTCTTTTTTTAAATCACATTTATTTATTTCGTACGAAAACTTATCACCTTCCATAATTTTATCAAGTGGCATTCCTCAATCACTCAACCCGCCGCGCTCCCTCCTGCGCCCCCGCATTCCTCAGATGCTGGTTCTCGTTAATGAGCATTCTCCTCGCGAGTCGCTCGTTATAGTCTATAGAATAACTAGTTAAAGTACATTATCGTCGGACATTCTATACTTTAACGGATCTCCTCAGTTATTCTATACATTCACTAGTTAATGTATAGAAAAGGATTACGTACTTTAAGTGTAACATATCGATTGATCTGCCATTCAAACCTGTGAAAAATGATCGATAAATAGGGTGATCGCAACAAACATCTCAATAATCGATTCTTTACCGTAGTTTCAAATTAGGAAATATCAATAACCGATCATTCACTCCTCGCTACTGCTAATTACAGCGACCGGACCTCAATTTATTCGGATCTAGCTGAAACAAGTTGCGGTCCAGCAGTCACAGTAAGTGAGCGTTCCGCTACACCTCGAGTTGAGATCCAGCCCCGATAAATCAGAGATGACAGTTTTATCCTACGAATTGTGGCTGAGTCCCAAAAATTAGGATTCAGCCCCCAATAGCCAGAACTTTCTATTCTGTGCTGACAATGAGTAACGCGTAGTTATTTTAGTCTAAACAGATACTCACTCTGTAATGCCCAATATTGCAGCTGGTTGAGATCGTTGATATATTCTTGCGTGTCCGCGGAGCAAAGGTCACTCAAGTTACTTCCTCGAAGGGTGAAAGTCGGGCTGACGTTCAGCAATCCCTTAAGAAAATTCTGCTCGTATTCTCGGCTCAAATCTTGTTTGCCCAAAACCGCTGAAAAGAAACGGTACAGAAGGCTTTTTACAGAGAACTCAAAAGATCTTACCATTCAAGGGTATACAAATACTAGCCGTTATCAGCTCGCCGTGCGAGCTGTGACGCTTAGCCGGAGAGTGCCCCTGGACACCCGGTTCCTCGCTTCGCGATGAACTTGAGACTCGCTCCGCGAGCCGCCCCTCATAGCTTTTAACTTTAAAAATAATGATAATGAGAAGACAACATTTTTGCCACAGCCGCCATCTTGGATTTTGGAATTTTGAAAATCTGACTAAAAATTCGAGTTTCTTGTCGAAAAGTACTTTCAACTTGCATAAAAATCCATCGGAAAATACCCCCTAAAACCTGAAATTTCGTCTATAATGCTGTGACGGCACGCGACACGATTGAGCCTGTTACCATAGTGCGCGTAAACAACCTCGTATCCCCAATTCATTACTATAGGGAGAAACAACTTTTCGCTCTTGCGGGCGCCCTGGGCAACGTTTTCTGATCGGAATAATTTTGATCAACTCCTCACGACAATTGCTAAGCGTGTACCAAGTTTGAAGGAAATCGCTTTAGCCGATTTTTCTCTAGGAGAGGGGGGGGGGCAGAGTGAGCCGTTGCGGGAGCTTTATATAGAGTAATGGTTGTTTGGTAAATGCATATATTTGAGGGTGCCGCAACAAAACATAGTCATTATTAACACCGTGGAAAAGAGAGATCGATACAAGGTGACACTTTAAGAAAAATGTTTGTGTTCTTGTGTTGTTTTTGGTAAATTTAGGAGATCAAGCATACGAAACAATCAAAACTTTATGTTGATTTTGGTACAGTTTACGTCGAATGCCGCAAAGAAAAACAATAAAAAAACTAGACAACCCCAGCATCAACCGGTAGCCTGTGTTACCTTGTGTCGTATTAACCAATCCGCTGTGTTATTTTTTCTCCCTTCGTAAGTCAGCAACAAACCTCGGAAGGTGGCAAAGCAGTTCTTTTTACATTTTAATCCATAAACCGAACTGTACCGAACCGCCACTGTACACAGTGGCGTGCCGTGAATTCCGATGTATCGATTGTTCTGTCATTTAAACCGATGGTAAAGAATCGATTATTAAGGTGTTCGCTGCGAACACCGTGTTTATCGATCCTTTCCCATAGGTTTAAATGGCATAACAATCAATATATCGCAAAGCACGCCGCGCCACTATTTTTATATAATTAATTCTGCTCTGTTCGATCAGCAGATATGATTTTTTTGTACTGCCATCCAAATAACCAGATACCAGTGTTTTCGACCTGCAAAAACCGCTACTGATATCAACATTTTTGTTGATCCCCACAAACGCACTATAAAAATAATCAATATTTCGTTTATGTAGAATACCTCTCGAGAGGTCGATCATTATAACGGAGGAATGTCAATGCGTTGCCAATTTGTGAGAATCGGAACTGTCTCTTAATTAGGCTTTAATCGAATGAAAAGTGAAAATTCATATCCTGATAAGAACCATGAGGTGATAAGATTGTGCTAAGACCTTTGAACTCCCCTCGACCTTTGAACTCAAAATATTAATTATTGATTTTAATCAAGCAAGGAATCTCGGAAACTTACAAATTAAATAAAATTACAGGTTAAAAAAAAAAAAAAAAACCCTCCTAACTTGAGCGTCCTAAAAACGATTTTATTAGAACAGAGAGGATTATGTAAAACAATTGAAATTTATCGGAGCTCATGCATAGGTACATTATTGATTGTTCGCAAAGAGTTTAGATGGAGGAACAGCAAGATTACCGACTGGCGCAAAAAACGCCATTATCAGCGCTCAGCTATATATGACCTAAAAACTTAACTCGATGTGCGGTCTGTCGTGATCTCCTCTTTTTAAGCTCCTCAAAAAACTCTCAAGAACTTTCATCGGGGGAAAAACATGTATTTGCACGCATAAACCAAGGTGAAGCAAATTTTGCCGCAGGATGTCATCGGTTTTTTGTGCTGAAAGATGAAGCTCAAGCACATTAATCTCGACTTGAAAATTTTCCGGTGTTAATAGGCTGAATATGAGACTGCATGTTTTAAGAGTCACATTCTATACGTATGAGCGACGACTCCCATCAAATGTTGTCAATTGTATCGCTATTAACTCTAGAATCGTATCGAAGCGTAAGTTTCGAAAATTTTGATCCGAAATCTTAAGGAAAACTAATACTTATTTCCCTCGTTTTTTTTTTAAAAAAACCCACTGTGGAGACAGATGTTTTTGGAACATTTCATCTCGGGAACGGAATATCTTGGGAGTGCGCTTCAGGAATCTTCCTCTTCTAAAATATTAACTAAGTATATCAAACTATTCTGTGAACATGTTCGGTGAAGTTCTTTTCGCAAAAGAATATTCTTTTTACATTTAAAACATGACATGCTGAGAAATCTCGAAGAAAATTTGTGAAGGGCATCAATTCCGGTTCTATTTTCTTTTTGCCAGTTTACTCCCCTGCTGCTTTGGCAGACGTATAATGCGTTTAATTACTGTCAAATATATGTATATCTCAGAACACAAAATCTCCAGAAGAAATTTTGTATCAGGATATCACCGAAAATCTTCAATTGAACTGTTCCTCTTTAACATATGTCCACGCTAAAAACTTTTGAGCTGTGGTTTGCTACTTCCATCACGATTCTCAAAGCTCAATACTGCCGTGCTAAGGAAGAACGCCGTATGAACATTCGAGAGTTGCCAAATTACCTTCGATAAAATTTGTATTTTTGCAGTAGGTTATGAATATTTTTCATTAAAATTTTCAGGAAATTCAGGTAAAATTACGAATAAAACTATCTGAAAAATTGGAAGGAAAATATTCCTAAGAAATTCTTGTCTCATCAAAGGAAATTCGGGAACGCCTGAAGGTACAGACGGCGTTTTTCCTTAGCCCAGCAGAATACTGTCAGGCGCTCTTATAATGAGGAAAAGCCCACTTCAAACGTATTATAGAAGATTGTTTTTGTTTTTTTTTGGCAGTAACCATGACCTGCAATGTTGTCGCGTATGAATGAGGACACGTCGTCTCAGTTCATTCATTGCTATACCCCAAGCGAATTACTCAACGAGTTGTGAGTAAAAGTACAAGGCTACGATCAAAGCTGGTAACAGCTTTTATTTTTTTCCTCTTTTCTCACGTGGAATTATTTCTATTGATAATCTACGTCTTCTTCCTCAGAATAAGGAATTTTAGACGAGTGGACTTCATTTACCAATAAGAATGATTCATCCCTCTCACCCTTGGTCCCCTTATTCGTTGGGAATCCTTAAGCAGATGCACGGAAAAAAATACGGTTAAAATTACAATACCAGTGGTTTTTTTTAAATGGAATTATCAATTTATAGGAGCCATAATCAATAATAAGGATATATTTACTATTTTGTAATACTTTTACGAACGTAGTAATATTACTAAGGAAGTGGTAAAAGTATTTCACTATTTAATCAAAAGTTCATTTGAAACACCCCTCGAACGATACTTTTTTAGGCCTGCCATGAACAACACCCCACTTTACTAGCTACTTTGGAACTTGGCTATGGTGATGCTATGGTATGCTCTACGATAGGGTCTGTTGTTGATCATTACACACACGTTAGTGTATCTGATTTACCATTTTATTTCTTTAGTGAAAGCAATTGTCGCAGGCTGGCAATACAGGAGTTCATCGATGCATATGCATGAAGAACGGATTATATATTATTTATTTTTTTGTGGAGGGGGGAGGGGGGAATTTTGTCCTGAACGCGATTATTTAAAATAATTCCAAAAGTGGCCAAAATAGTGCGACCAATCTGCCCAATGATCTCTTTTACTTGATTATGTCAAAATTATCAAACCTCTGTTTTTTGCTTACCAAAAGGCGACAGAAGGGTGAGCACCGTCACCAAATGTATCTCTAATTCCTGGATCATCTCGTCTGTTTGAGTGTCTAGGGCGGCAGCAGAGTTATTTCTGTTTCCTGAAAAAATAAAAAGAGGAGTCTAAGTTATACTGATCAAATTACTCTCGTTGAATTGTGAAGATCATCATGATTCGGGGTCGATGTTGGGAAGGTGATAAAAATTGACCAATAATCAATTTGTAAGCCACGTGAATTATCGCTCCAGCAAAATGGCAGAGCATCGAATGTCTCAGAACATTAAAAAGTGACTTGGATTACGTAATGTTATTGAAGTTACATCTAACGTGTTGATCGGGAGATATTTTTCATTAACTAATTTATTAAATGTAGGTAACAAACCATTACAAATCTTCTGCATGCGTATTTTCTTTGTTCACATTCCGGACATTCTTCCATCAAAACGAATTCCACATGCTGTTAGAGACTGTTTTTGCCGCTAAATTAATCGGTTTTTAAGAGAGATTTATTTTAATCCTATTTTTAAATGATCGCCTTCATTTTTTCAGGATCACTTTCAGGGCTAATATTTTTACATGATTCCTTCGTAGAGATTGAAACTTTCATGGGACTTCCTATCAACTTTTTTTGAAAAATAATATCAATTTTGAAACTCGACTGCGACGTTGTAAGTCTTCACTCAGGTTTTTTATTATTTTTTTCTTTAAATCTAAATAAATCAACCAACATTTATTTATAAACAAGTTAGTGCATTTTCTTTAATAATGCGAAAATAATCTCAGAACAAATGAAAGAGACGTTTTGATTTGGTTTCTTTTAGAAAAATACAGCAAAATCATATTTATTGAAACTTAACAATGAAGGCACGGCTGGCACGGGCACGGCACGCATTTTTCGACTTTAGTCATCCATTTTATATAATTTTGAAGCCAATAAAGATTCTTAAGTTGGGAGTAAGTAATTAATCCCAATCATCACAATCTTACAAACGATTAAAAATTGAACGAATGTGAGTTTAATAAATAAAAATGTTTGTGGTTTTTTGTTTTGTTTTTTGTTTGCGGTTGCTACCGGTTTTACCAATTTGATATTATCGGTAAAACAAAAAAAGTGCAATGTACATACCTCATGAATTTTGAAGATGAATCTGAACGACGAAACTTAATAATAGTAACTTCAATTAATTACATTTGCATCGAAAAACTGAGAGATACTTTTTCTTAAAAAATAAGTAAACTCGTTCGCATCATTCGCACGTGGGATTCCACACATGTCTGTGTACAATATTGAAAGCTTTATATCTTTTATGGTGGTCAGCGAATGGACAAAATACAGTTTAGCACGTAGCAATAGATTACAGAAGAGTAAATTCAACCGTGCTGACATACTCCACCGATAATTAAAAGAAATTAAAACCAAAGAACTTTAATGACAGGATTATTAGTATCGAGCTAATTTTTTCCTGTTACAAAATTGACTTCAGCAAGCCAGTCATCGTCGTGACTATGAAATTTGCTACATAATTTAAACAAATGATAGTCAGCGTAGAATCATTTGTCATCCATTGCTCCATTACTCAATGTCTAAAAATAAAATAAAAAAAAATCCTCACTTGGTCCATCTACAAATCGCTGAGTTTGCAATAAGCTGACAAAAATTTTGTTCGTCTTATAATTTGCAGTATTGGACCTCTCTCCCCTCCTTACTGAGACTTACTCATGTTTTTTTCCTACTTTTACGATCCCTCCGGGAGGGGTGGTGAGGGTTGCGGATCGGGGAGCGTATACTCCCCCCAAATTTTGAGAATTTCGAAGAACTTTGCAGGTCTGATCACGTTGGCTTCAAATTGTAAAACTGTAATTCATTGATATGGGGCCTCCTAAGGAAAAAACCTGTTTAAGGAACGACTATGAATGCGACTTTTAGGTCTCGACCGCACGTGGTTCGCGGAACCTCAGGCGAACTTTTTCCCGGAACTTATTACAACTTCGCTATAGCTTACTCCGCAAAATCTCGCTTCGTTGAAATAATGCACCCGAAAGTCCCGCAAACCGCGCTCGTGTGGACGAGATCTTCAGCCCAATTCACACTATCAAACTTTTCATCCATCTCTTGGATGCAACTTGTCGAATAAAAAGTTGGATAGTGTGATACTGACGAGAGAAAACGGCAATTTGATGAAAAATTGAACGGAAACTTGAATTTGACGTCACATTCAACTCGTTTCGTTTTCGTTCTATATCCAATTGGGGCGCGAATTGGATGGAAAGTTGAACAAAAAGTTGAAACGAAATCTTCCGACCGACATGAGCCAAAGCTACACTGGAAAAAAAATCACTTTAGATCTAGAGTACAGACTCTTAAAACATCGACAAGAAAAAATATTCTTGATTCAATCAGATTTACGCTTAAATCAAGAACCAAGCCTCTTAATTTGAGCGGATTTCCTTTTGATTTAAGCTTAAATCTGATTGAATCAAGAGAGTCCTTTTTCTAGTCAATGTTTTCAAGAGTCTGGACTCTAGATCCAATGTGTTTTTTTCCAGTGTGTATCTTAGGCTGATGACGATATCTTCCTGCAACGGTAATTAAATCAACTTTTTTTGGGTCCAATTTCCATCCAACTTTTCGTTCAATCATGTCGGATGGAAAGTTCGATAGTGTGAGTTGGGCTTTAAAATAATTTGAGTGGCACGTTTTACCTGTGGAGTCGGGGAACGACGGAGGCTCCTCTCAGGAGCACTTGCTACCGCAGAGATCAGACAGGAACATCCATAGCTGGTAGATGAGGGGCGCGAAGACTAGGATGAGCGGCGTCCCGATGAGCGCCAGCGGGGTGAGCAGCAGGGCCAGCGGCGTGAACACGAGCGTCAGAGGATTGAACGCTAGGGCGAGGGGCGCGAACATATGCGCGCGGTGCGTTGGACGAGCGCAGCGGCGAGGAGACGCAAACGGCGAGACGCTCCCGACGGGCGGCCGAGCCAATTTGACGCCCGACGCCGATTCCCCAATTAAAGACGCTCCGCCAAAATGCGATTGTTGTCCGCACTCGACGCTTTTCTTCTCGTGATCCGAGCCATCCTTCTCCGCAGTCATTCTCGTCGCTCTCTCGATTCGCCGCCGTTTTCACCGCTCGTTGCTGCGTTTCCGCCCGGCTCTCGACCCGGCATGATAAGGCGAGTTTTCGCCGGTTGATTCGGTCGACTTTTCAACCAGCAGCGGCCTGATAACTGAAACTATGTCGGCAAGACTAGAGTACTGCCTTGCTAAGGAAGAACGCCGTATGAGCATTCGAGAGCTGCCAAATTTCCTTCGATAAAATGTCCATTTTTGAGAAAAGTTGTGAATATTTTTTCTTGATATTTTCAGAATCTTCAGATGAAATTGTGAACTAAATTATCTGAAGAATTGAAAGGAAAATTTTCATGAATTTACCAGGAAATTCGCGTTTTATGAAAGGAATTGTGGCAACGCCTGAAGGTTCATACGGCGTTCTTCTTTAGCACGGCAGAGTAGGTACCTGTATACTGCCGTGCTAAGGAAAAACGTCGTATGAGCATTCAGGCTTTGCCCAATTTCCTTTGATAAGACACGAATTTCCCGGTAAATTTATGAATATTTTCCCTTCGATTTTTCAGATAATTTTGTACGCAATTTCACCTCAAGTTCCTGAAAATTTCAAGGGGAAATATTCATAACTCTCCTCAAAAATGAACATTTTATCGAAGGAAATGTGGCAACTCTCGAATGTTCATACGGCGTTCTTCCTTAGCGCGGCAGTATACGGGAGAGTACTGCCATCTCTGTGCCGCTCTCTGATTGGTTCATCAGTTTTAGGCTAGCATGGAGCTCCAAAGTTTGTCCGATGTAAACAAACCCGACCCAGAGGAACACGTATTATCGGCTGAGATACGAATGATAATCGCACTCAATGGTTAATTTTCGGCAAAAATATTTATCAAAGTTCGATCCGAACTCAATTCAGAAGTTGGATACTTAAATTACATTTTAATGCTCGCACTTGATCAAATTTAGGATAATTATCACTTCTAATTTTTTGAAGAAAAAAAATATATATTCATTGTACTTGCCACTTACGATAGGACTAACTAGTTCATTAAAATAAGTTTATCCAAGACAAAAAATAGAAACAAAGTAAAGACTATACCACCTCGACTTTCCAATTCTTTAATTCACGCAAGTGGAATCTTTTCAGATTGTATTTTTTTAAGTTGAGCGATTAAGTATTACTTATAAAATCGGTTTATTAATTACTAGGTAATGTAAATTAGGTTTAAAAATAGGGTAAGAGTTAAATTTAGTGATAAATGCAAAGAATTGGAGTTAAATGTACGGCGAAAGTAAATCATTGTGCGAAGAGCATATCACTCGACTGCGGGAGATCACTCGTTGGGATACTAGATTAGTTGTTTTTTCTAACCGTGCGTTAAAGTCTCCTAGCCTATTTCAATAACTGGAATAAGTTTAACTCAAAGAACTTCACCACCGTGTAATAATTAAAAATATAAGGACGTAAGGTAAAAGTCTATTTTTCTCTACTCATTGCTCGCAAAGTGTAAATATTCAGACGTTGCCAAATTTCTTAGGATAAAATACTCATTTTGCAGGAAATTTTCTTGAAATTTCCAGAAATGTCAGAGTGTATTGCGGCGACTGATCCTTGATAAATTCAAAGAAAAGTATACACACGTTTGAAAGGAAATTAGTGTTTTAATAGATAAAATTTGGCAACGTTTGAATGTTCATAAGACTTTTTTCCTCAGCAATGCAGGGTTGCTAAGAGAATGAGGCCATAGGCTGGGAGCAGACCCAAGGTAAAATTTAGTTTATTTTTGCGTGTTTCATAATTGTTAACTCTCCACGAGGCTAATCTCACATCATTTATGTGCCTTTTTAGTCCTAAAAAATGTTCTTAAAGAAATGAAATCGAATGAATCATTGTATTAACTTACATGTCAACGCTAATGAGCACTTGAGCAGTCTTATGTACCTATCTTAAAACAAGTTCTCTCCTCTAAGTAGTGAGGATGACGAATGATGCCTTAATACAATGGACCTTTGTCTATGATGTTCCACGGCAGAATGGATGACGCTTTTTCATTCTCATTAATAGTTCATCTTATAACATATTCGGTGCTAGGTTGTTTTCTTTCGCTACTTATCTTTTTATCTATTTTTTGTTAACCTATTCATTACAATCGGGCGTCTTTCACGAGTAAACCTCTTCATGATACGTAATCATTTGAATTTAAGGAAGAGTCAAATTCAATTAGCTATTTTCAAAAATTGCTCTGTACCCATGCCACCCCTGAAATAAACCGATACCAGCACTATCGATTATCGGATGAGTTAAAATGAAGTGGGTTTCATAAATTTAATCATATAAGAGAAAATCTATTTTCTACTGGGTAGAAAAACACGGTCAAAATCTGAGCTCGAAAAGAAGAGAAATCTGTTCTCGATTAATCATCAAAAATTCAAGGCCGGTAAGATCTGGACAGCCAACGCTCAATAGGCGCATTAATAGGAAAGGCAGAGTTAAAAATTAGGCACCACCATACATGTTTCCTCATCAAAAATGTACGTAGAAGATGGTGGGCACATCAGAAATTTCCTAATTCAACTAAATAATAAGAAAGCATACATTTTTTTGTCCTCGCGGATCAACTTTCGAAAAAACCAGAGTCTAGTTGGACCACATTGGTCCTTTATTCTATAATTTCAGCTTTTTCTAAGGTGATATCATTTTCTTCGTGATCTCAATCTTTCTTTATAATTCCAGCGCATCAAAGTAAAATTGCATTTTCGTTGAGTCCAAAATCAGTTATTTCTTGAGTGATACGTTAATTTTTGACGGCTAATTGGACCTACGTGGATTTTGATTTTTGCACGCGGAAGTTTTATACATTAATTGGGTCTATTGTAAACTATGAGCACTTGATTTCTGTATTTTCAGTCAATTTCGGACTTTCAAACATACACAGTGTTTTTTGCGTGACATTCGGACGGAAAAAAGAAGCCGCTAACTGTAGTTAGTTCTTATTCTGTCCAGTGGTCTGTTTCTCCCATTTTAAGATCGCAGTTTGGTCGTGTTTTTTTCACCCATGGAAACGTGGAAGAAAAGCAGTGTATCCCCAAATTGCGAAAATTCTCATTGCATAATCAAAAAGAAAATAAGCGAAAAAGTCAGGCACGACGCATAAACTCTAAATCTCTGATACCTATCTTCCAAAAACAAAACGAAAAAACTCTCGACTTAAAAAAATCATAATAAATAATTTATTGTCACGAAAGTTATTTAAACGACATTAATTCAATTTGAAGACATAAAAAATATTCAATCGCCTCTACGAGTTGGCCACGGTGATTCAGATCCGATGATGGTGTCTTTGCGCTGAGAATTCAGCTGTTTTTACCTGAAACCAATCGAGAAAATAACTTATAAAACGAGAATTTTACAGAAAATTTAAGAAGTGTGCCAACACCTTACGTTTTGATTACCCTCTGATACAAGTGGTACATCGACGCTGAAACTACCAGACCACGCATCTCGTTTGCGATGTTAAGAAATTTCCGCTTCCATTTTATTTTTTTAAGGAAAAAAAATCCATAGCATTCCTCATTGTTTACACAGAGAAAACCTCGTAAGTTTTCAAGAATTGACGTTGAGTAGTTTGCCGTTTAAAAAGTAAAGTATGACAAAAAGTCTGCAATGTTGCAAGCGGAGATATGGTCTGGCAGTGTCACCGCCGACTTACTTTCGCGAGTCTCTAGACTATATAGTGAGTCTCATGCATACTTTTGCTAAATGCCGGAAAATTATCGCCAACTTTACAATCCACGCAAGAAATGAATTCCAATTTTTTAGCTTCCTGCCCCAAAAAGTATACTATAGCCAAGGTATAATTTGATACTTACAAATCATTCCGGTTTTATAACTCCATGCGAAACTGAAAATGGGCGCCGTCTTAAGACATGTAGGTCCTCAAATAATCTCTATTAAATTACCTTAAGTTCTTGTCATTTAACATAACTTGAAAGCGAAAAAGTGAAGATGCCGATTTTATGAGATGTACGGCTAGGGCCCATTACTCTCCCTTTTAAGCATCTCTTAAAAATATAAAAACTAAAAAAAAAGATTGGACGTTCATTAATCAATTTTAAGCGAGATCAGGCAAATGAAAGTTGAATTTGAGAAAAAAAAACTTGATTTTTATACCTTTTGGGCTTTTTAAGTGTTTTTCGATCAGATTCACGGGTAGACAGAAAATCAGTGTGAATAGAATTGAGTGGAACAAAATTTTCCCTAGAGGAGCAGTATCCATCTGAAAAAGAAGGGCATGAAAGAACTAGAGTAGGTACATTGCACGTAAATGTTCCGCGGAGCATTTAACATTTCTCATTTTTTGTAAACAATGCATGAAATAATCCAAAATGTCAGCGCTTATGCGAATGGGTTCTCTTTGAGATGTATTTTTAAAAAATGTACCTATCAGAAATCTTTTACTGAGAATAATATTGCCTCTCGCTCACCATAGAGATTGCATCAAGAACTAATCTGCCATGCAAAGCTATAAATCCATCAACATTTTCCCGCGTGTTTTTGGAACTTAACACTTAATAAGATAAAAACTGTTTTACCTACGCACCTCAAATTTTCAGGTTAAGTTCTTGATAGCATTTGCAAAGGAATTCTGTAAAAAACATTGTCCTAATGTACACAAGTTTTTCTGTCATGATACATCGTTTCCAAAGAATTTAAAATGTCGTTTAAGACGTTTTTGCGTCGCACGGCAGTGATGTGAGGCAATTCAATTATCCGTTTGTGAGCTTCGGCAATTATTTGCGTGTAACTGTCGAAGTTCCAAATGTAGCTCATCAAATTTTAAGGATTTACTGAGTTGGTATGTCTTTTACCATGAGTCTTCATTTTTTGAGCAATCTAATGGTAAATATTGATTGAACGGCTTTATCTGGAATAAAATATGGTTTCGTTGATTATGATACTGTTCAATACGTCTCCCATGAATTTGAACGTTCATAATTGTAAAGATGTTCGCAGTTTATTTAAGACTGAAAATTGTGATGTAACTGTTGTGAGGTAATTAATGGTCATGAAAGACACTTAGTCTGCGTGTAACGATTTTTAGAAAAACTTACGACGTTCAAAGGATGCAAGTAAGTAGGAAGGCGTTGGACGTGCAGCTGAAGTGTGATGTCCACGGCTTGGTAAATGTAGAAGGCGTAAGAGATCTTACTGAAGAACACGAACGGTGTCAGACTCAGGTACTTGTTCAACGTTTCTAAATCGAGAAAAATATAACCAAAGGTGTCAGAAAAATCACATACTACAATAATATTTGATCATCCGAATTCATCAAATTGTGACCATTGATTCGCCGTGGGCTTATCTGGAAACGTTTCTCATTTTCAAAAGCTCAAAGCAAAAGCCTGTATGGGTTTCAGCTTCATTGCTGCATAGTTGTAGTTGTTCTTCGATCAGCTCTTCTTCAGAAAGAGGTTCTGTTTTCTGTATAATTCACACTGTGAATTAACCCTCTATGGTATAAATTAATTTTGGATCTGAGATTCTGAGGACACCTATCTATTTTCTGCTTGCATAAAAAACATCGAGTACCAGTTTTTTTCTTAAAACTTTAGATTTTTTTGAGTTATTCGAAAAAAAGAGAAAAACTAATGAAAACTTGCAAAATGATGCCACAGAAGAAAGATTCAATCGTAAAAAAACTCCCAAAATACGTTGTTACGAATATTCGTAACGCTATCCCATAGAGGGTTAAGGGATGCTTTCTTTGGTTCCTTTCTGGGAGGAGACGAAGGGGATGCCCGGTGAAAGGGTGGCGACAGGGGATTTTAAATGAAATGAAGGAGTGCCAACTCCCTGACGGGTTGTGGGAGGACCGAGTTTTGTGGCGTTTAGACGTAGCAGAGTGCCAGAGAGCGCTATGAAAGCGACTCTTGTGTATGTATCAATGCTGAAGGAGGTCAGTAACATAGCGTCATATTATTACGAACGATTTTTACGGATTTCTAGTCAAATTCAACATCATAATTTTAGGGACTACACTTACTTGTTTGCCCAGTGTAGCAAATGAATATGATCCAGCAAAGGACAAATCCCCATAGGAAAGGATGCACCGCCTTGTAGATGGCCATTTCCAATGCGTTGTACTGGTAACCTTTTTTTGCACACCGCCAAAGCCAGAAATAGGAGTAATACGCAGCTATTGCCGCTAGGATGTGACCTAAGATTAGTTGTAGCTGGAACAATAATTGTTCAAATGCTTAAAAGGGAACCGAATTATGAGGAAAGTTGGGGGAAAAATTTTAAAAAAATGTTAGAGAAACTTGACTTCAATTTAAAAAAAGAAGATAGGAATCAATTCTTTTGGCTCAATTTTTTTTATTTCATTCATGTTTTCACTGCCAGGAGATTAATTAGAAAAAAAAATACACGTTGTACCTTTTAGTGCTTATTCGGCACCGTCCCTAAATTACGTAACGCTTATGGGGAAGGGAGGGGGGTCGAGGAGAGCGTTACACCATTGTGTTTTCATGTGTTAAAGGATAGGAATAGGGACCTGCGTCACAAAAGCGATACTAGGGGGAGGTAGGGTCAAAAATTCCGAGAAAGTGTGTCACCTAATTTAGGGACGGCTCCTCCTCGTAGACCGTTGGAAGGATAGTGAGGACTGGCATTATATTCCAAAATCTCTCATGGCAAATGTTGCGTTGAGTTTGTGTACCTACACTCAAAATACGCCATATCTATAAATTATTCCAAAAACCTTTTTTCTAAAACCTCTAAGTATCAGGTCCCTAATTATCAAAGGCCTGTATCTTACATTTGCAAAGTTTTCGAATGCATACTGCGACAAATATTCCAGATGTATATTGAGATCCTATTGAAACCATTTGTTTCCTTTGTAGGAGACAACACAATTTTAGCCTTTAGGTATCAAACGTCACATTTAATCTCCATGTTTTTTTTTTTTTTTTTTGGGGGGGGGGAGGGCTTATGACACGATCCGGTGATCAACTGCTTTAATTTAATGAGTTGAGTTATTACCTGACTTAACTTGATGGGGCGCTTTTTGTAGTGATGAAGAACATAACCCAACAAAACGCCGACTATATAAGGAGGAAGCCGATGTATAGGGTTCAGGTACATGTGATCAACACTTTCAATAGCTAGATCAAACCTGAAAAGATAATGTACGTCATAAATCGGAGAAACAATTTTGTAGAAATTTTCGGTTTAAAGCAAAGAGCAGGCAGTACATTGTTTGGATTTAATGCCATATTTTAACCCTATGCAAATTAAGTGTCATGGAATTGAGTAGACCTCACAGCGCATTTCCTTTTCATAATGATTGTACCCCAAAGCAAGCAGAGACCAACACTTATCGGTAATCATGACACATTTTAATAACAGAAACGGCAGACGGTTAAGAAGCAGTTCCGCAAAAATGCAAGGAAAACAGAGCTATATATAATTTTGTTAACAGTATAAGGTGTGAACTGTGATAATCACCAATACTTCTAATGTAAAAATGGAACGTGATCAATCGGCATTGAATTGACCTCATCATTAGTTTTTGAAATCTAAAAATTTAGATGTGATTGACAGGAAAAACTGTATGTAACTTTTTCAATGTTGCATTACACGCAATACGTGGTGTCAATACAATGAAAATGATAAATGTGTTAATACAATACGGGCATCATACATTGTCAAGCTCGTTTTATTCGCAGGAAATTTACCATTAATTTGTATACCATTATATTTTTTGTGAACATTTCTTTATCTTTGCTTCTTAAGTTTCCTGAATTAATTAAAATACAATAATTAACGCATTACACAGACAAGGAATGTGAAAGAGATGATGATCTTATTTTGCATTGTTTGAATTGGCCCCATTTGCAGACAAGTAATCAACTAAATAAACAATATCCGCAATAAAATCGCATAATTTGAAGTCACCTACGCTATTCCATGATAACCGACAGCCACAAGATTCTTGCTATAAATGACCCAGCCACTATAGACGCAAATTGCAGCCATGGCCAAGGAGACAACTTTAAAAGCTGTGGCTTTATAATGCCACAGGAACAACACGAGGAATGGTGACAGGAGGTACATTTGATAGTCGGTAACAACTTGGTGTGAGACTGGATGACACTGAAACAAATCCATTACAAGGGGTGATTATGAACCTCATTTTCTCAAGAAATAAAATCCGAATCCAACTAGGAGACTTATGACAGGTTCTAGTAAACCGAGTGTTTCTGATTTCAGAGGTATGTATCGTTATCTGCAGTTGAAAAGTTGAGTGAGAAGGTGAGAAATAAACATTTTAAAAAAACCAACAACGGAGCTGAAAAGAGAAACTCGAACGCATAGTTATCAGTGCTCTAAGACACTGAAAAACTTATCAAGCAACATGTTGGTATTGTAAGCGTATTTCAACTCTAATTTAATTAAATTTAATATGTAAACTATATTAATTTTATTTATTTGTCCTTTTTGTCTTTTGATTGCAGTCATGACTTTTAACAAAGAGATTAATTTTTAATTTTCATGTTTCACATCCTTTCTTCGTTTTTAAAAGTTCATAAGAGCAAGCTTCAGTGCATGTTCTTACGTAACGGCATAGTAACATGTAACCAAGCTTCCAGTAGCACGTGAAAACTTATTACTGGAAGCCTGCGTGGTAAAAATAAGTCGTGAAAATTCATGCATGCTGTTAAATACGCACGTGCTGATTAAAAAGTACATAGTATGGATTCTCCAACCCAACAGAGTCCTTATGTTTTGTTTTGTTTTTTTTTTTTTTTTTGATCAAAACTTTCTGTGTTTATTCTTTTTGTTTAAAAATGCTAGCCTCAATTAAATGTACTCCAATGAATCCTCACCATTTCATTTAAACTGTCAACGTTACTCGTGTACGTCAAGGTTTTCCATATGTTTTCGCAATGTTGATACCGTTCATCTAAGAGGCTGATGTTATGTGGATTTCTCAGAATGTATGGAAATATATCCCGAATCACCAAAACAATCATAAGGTACAGCGGCATGAACCTGGATAGAGAATAAAAGGGAGAAAATGAAAGCCAGTCATACATAAATTCGAAAGAATCGAGTAACCAAAAGTGTCCAATTTTAACAGCATTAGTTTCTCTCAGTAGACATTTTATAAGATTTTATGCCACCGGTAGTGATTTATTTTATAAACAATGATTAAATATTTCATTAGAACAGTTCCTTATGAGTCGTTCAGTCAACGTCGAAAGCAAAATCCATACAATTCCATTGTGAAGTTTCAACATTGTTGCAGATTTTTTTTTTTTTTTTTTTTTTTTTCATTAGAGCTTCTCGCAAATTCTGTAGAACTGCACATAACAGGGCCTTTGCCACAAAGAGTGTGCGCCAGAATCAACCGAAATTTCCTGTAAGTATAACATAGCAATTCTTTCTTAAGAAAATAAAAAATGCAACGGAAATTTTGAAACCTCTCAATGAAGTTGTGCCTCTCCTGCTCCCTAAGGCTCATTTTCAAGTACTTACTTTTCTCACCCTTTGAGTTTATCAATGATTGCATCAACAAGCTACCAATAGAGCAGCCTAGACGAAATCTTTCTCGGTAAGACTTTCCTCGAAAACAACATGAATTTGTTTTACAGCATTCAGCCTCCGCTCCCGTTCCCTTAGGTTTCATAAAACTGCAACGGGTTTTACGTAATAAATCAGGATGTTCGGGATTGCTTAACATCAAAATCCACATACTTACTTCATATACCGTTTCAGGTACATAAGTGGGATATTAAGTGACCTCCCAGCCGACAGCTGCTGAAAGCCGTTGAAAGAAACGAGCAGTCCACTCATAAGCACAAACGTATCGATGCTGTTCAATGTTGCCCCGAAGAACATCGAATAATCATGCCCCATGAGCTGTACAGAAAAATAAATTATTGCGATTCAGTCGAGGAAATATCCTAAAAATATGATGATCTAAACTTGGATTCATGACGATGTAAATGAATGTGTAAAGAGAGAGATGAGACACAATAGCCCGAATGCACACAACAATAAAAACACATTAAAATACATATTTCTCCCTAGCCTTGTAAACCCATTTGTTTTTGTATTTTAATGCGTTTTTATTGTTGAATGTGTAAATCTGAAAGTATATAACATTAACACGCTGAGTTTCCTTAATCTAAAACGCGATGTCATTGCAACGGCGAGGTGGAGCGCCTTCATTTTAAACATAGGCAAAATATGTATCCACTGAACAGGTATGGTTGCATGCAGGCGTTACCGTCTGAATGAATAGAATGAACCAGAAATACTAGAATCAAACCGACTGAAATTGACGTAGTCTAATTTAAATGTCTTACTCCTAACACAGCCCAATCCGGAAAAATGAAAATTGCAAATAATTGTAAAAAAAATAGCTTTGAGGGTCACACGCATCTTATTCTCCTTAAATTGAAAAGGTATCGACACGCTTTCTTGCCTGTTTCGAAAAATATTTAACTAGGAGGTATGAAAATTGTCAACACTAGGAGTCTGCAATTTGACTACATTTCAATTAATTTGACCATTTGATTATATTTGACTCTTGGTTCCTTTAGTTGTCCCTAAGTTCGAATCTCATTTGATTCAATCCAAGAGTCCTATCTTCAATGCTTTAAATGAAACAAGGGAGTGCCAACTCTCTCATGTTTCAGCTGCGTCCTTCAGCTGTAAGAGGACAGGTTACTGTGTCGGTTAGGAGTCTCAGAGCTCCAGAGAGCACCGAGTGACTTTCATGTGGGTATGTAAATATCAAGGACAATTTGGAAGCAGGAAATTTATAGGATGGGAATTTTGAGGAGGAGTTTAAAACTCTTGTGCGTTTATTTTCAATAAATTGAAATGGTATTGGCGTACCTGTCGCATAATGGCTGTTCTGTTGATGACCGGGTAGAAGAACGTGAACAACATCTTGTGGCCGAGGTATATCTGGATGGCGTAAAGGCATCTGATTCCATTAACGCATGACACATCCGACCCGTCGTTTTTAGTCCTGCAGTCTAGCAGATAAGGAACTGTTCTTTTGAGAGAAAAAGCCAGTGCAATTTTCATGGACAAACCTGTTCAAAAAAGAAATCATAATTTAAGAGTATGATAGGGAATAATCGGCCCAGCCTGATCATATTTGAGACGTTACTTGGATTGAAAATTGCAAGAAGGAATCGCGCTTAATTGAAGACCCTATATATACTTACGTTTTTTCCTGTTCAATGAAGTGAATTCAAAGTGTATGTGTATTTGTAATTTATGGTGGAGGTACTTACTTAACTTATGCACGTCAACGAGAACTCCAGTGGAACTTTGCCGAGACATGTCGTAGTACGTGCTGAATAACGTCAGGGCAAAGAAACCTCCAATCAAAGCCCTTAAAACAGAAAAGGTTCAAATTCTAAGAGACAGAAATCACGAAGTAGTATCAAAAATTTTCATTATTTACCTTTTTTTCGAATGTTGCCTTATGATACAAAATTACGACACAACTTTAAATTGACATCAAAAATTATAAGCAATTTGAGGGAGTAGGGTTATCAACTACGAAAAAAAGGCGCCAAAACTATTCAAACTGACTTCATGTATCCATTCCATATACTTACAAGTGCGAAAAAGAAAAATAAATACTCCTCTATATCAATGACTCACTTAGAAGTTAGAATGAATGAATCTAACCAGTATTGTATTGGAATCGCATCGCAGTGAATCTACATCCCTCTTCCTCTCACTTTAAAGCAAACGGAAGAGGTGATGACGGGGAATAAGATCATTAAAATGCCCTTTTTAAAAGGAAAAACCTGAAACGTCTTCCTGGTTAAATGTAGCTGGTCTTCCTCCAGACTTGCACCGTAGTTTACGTTTAATTTCACAACATTTCTCAAATTAAACGTCGAACAGTAATTGAAGAGTCTTCGTTTATTTATCGAAATTAAACTGCATTGCCGTGCACGAATCGCCATGCACGTCGTGTCTTGGAACGTGTTTCGCTTGTTGCATTAGCCTCCTTTTGAAGGCGATTCATATTTGGCGATACACATTGCGTTGCCAGTTGTCCAATAACCGTCGGGAAATTAGGCACAAGTGGCGTTTAGGTGTCGCAGCACGCAAGGGTGTGCAAGGGAGCGACTTGTATGATCTATGATATATATATGTCGCAGGCTAAAGGTCAAATCCGGCATTTAGGCAAATGCCTAGGCAAATAGAAAAGAAATGGTAAAAATCATTGAAATTCGTCGATTGCCTAGGCATTTGCGCAAATGCCTGAAGATTTGACCAAATGCCGAAGGCTGATTAGGCAAATAGTAAACTGTGTTTTTAATGAGGTCAAGGTGACTTTGACGCAGTGAGGGGGCAAATTGGCAACGATGTGTGTTGAGACGTGTGCGAGGGAGACATTGTTTTGAGGAAAGAAGTTCGAAATTATTCACCTCTTTAAAAGTGGAAGATACAATTATTTTGAACATTTCAAAATTTGATCGTGGTCCGTTGGACCCAAAAAATATCGAAGAAATTGTTCTTGACGTCCGCAATAATGTTTACCAAATTGGAACACCCGCAGGTGTCATCAAAAATTGGTGTTCGCGGGAAGAATTAAAACAAGTAGAGGCAATAAAATTGGAAATATCTCAGGTTCCGAGGGATAAGCTAGTGTCGGTCCGCGAAGCAGTTTCTGGCGTTTCGTTATTTGAAGGGCAAGGCTTTGTCAAGTGTTATTGCCAAGCCAGTAAAAATCAATGTGCGACCAAACGATGTTCTTGCTTCAAAAATCAGAGAAAATGTCCCAGCAAGTGCCACCAACCCATCGCGTGCTCGAACAAGTAACGCTACTGCCTCATTCTTCTCAAGTTACAGACTTTCTTTTTTTTCTTTTTTTCTTTGACCGTGGTTTTTTGGATTATTAAAAGCCGGATTTGACCTTTAGCCTGCGACATATACATTTGAAGCAAATTACCCTCGTAGTCGCGGACTCAAAGCGAGCGCTTAAAAATTAAAATGATTTTAAGTGTAAACTCACATGACAAAATAGGAGCGTGCGGTGAAACTTTTGCTCTCCTCTGTAGTGCAAGAATCGCCCATCGTGAACATCCTTATTTCAAGTCCGTGATCAGTGGAGTTAAAAGGTGCCAAAATTTGTCGCAAACCATTTTGCAAATCATCAACGTCACAAGAAGCGGGTATACAGAAGCCCCATAGAATTTTTCTTTGAGGGGGCGATCGCCCGCCTGGCTGAAATGAAAGCGCAAAATAGAATAAGTTAGAACTGAAGTACTAGGAATATTAACTCGGTTCTCATCTGCAGTCAAAGTAAAAGTCAATCAAATAAATTAACAAAAAAAAATGTGATAAAATTGGATTTACAAGCTTATCATATGCTATGGGTAATCAAAAGAAACATTACAACCTATTTCACAAGACTAACGCGTGTTTAATAATATTAACGTCAATATATGTATAACAGAGACGGGCATTCCAGGAGGTTTTTCATTTAAAATTACGAAACCTTGAATCAGTGTAAAAAGATAGGCAATTTTACCATCCAAATCAAGTTCAGGCTTAGTATAGAAGGTCGAAAAATTTGAACGAAATTAAGGATAAATTTCAACTTCCGTGTTTTCCGGAGACAAAATCCATCGTTTTTAAATTTTTGATCTTGTCAAAAATTCTACCTGCAACTATTTAAGCTGAGAATCTTTTTAATCTATGTTTTTGTACTAAAGTAGGGTTGACTTTTTTTTCCTATTCAACTTGGTTTGGTATTCGAACAACATGCAGAAATCCTCTGCGACTAATAAAAGCTTCTTCAGGAACTTTCAAGTTCACTTACATTATGTTTCAAATTTAAGAGGGGAGTTTCAAAAATATTGGACTACTTTTTTACAGAGGCATTCTTAAATATTGATAAAGCTTAAGCCGTCGAGCTAGATCAAGAGGGCCTCGTTTCACGAACAACCAAGAACTGGACTAAGGACTCAGTAACGAGGAGACTTAAACGAAAGGGTATGAAAGTAAACAATTTTTATGTTCTTAATAAACGCAATTGGTACCGCACAAGTCAACGATTTATTTTTTTTAAATAGACCAAAATGCGTTTTATTTTAAAAAATAAACGAAGTCGCGGCTGAGGGTGACGGCAAACGAGTCGCTATAGTTTGAGGATTAATGCAAGTGAGTAGACTTTCGATTTTTTCTTTTTTTCTTCTTTTTTTTTCTTAGGATGAAAATTTAATTCTTATGTTGACATTTACGTTTTATGAACCATTAAGAACTGGGCCTAGGACTCATTAACGTGGAGACTTAAACGATAAATCACGAAAGTTAGCAATTCTCATATTGCCGTGTTGTTATAATGTATAGTTTATGATAGGTCCTTAATTTTGAATTCCGGTATTTTTGAAAGTCAAATTACGTGGCTTATCTGGGCAAATCAGTTAGTTAGTTAATCAATGGCTGGTTAATTTGATAATTAGTAACGTAAATCAATTAAATTATTTTTAAAAATATTAAAATGAAGTTAAAATCCCAGCGGCAATACCCCAATAAATTAAGTTACGAGCCCAACTGTTTCATTGCTATATACCACAATTAATTGGAAATGTCCATGTCATCCAACAAAAATTGGGACAGAACCACAAATTCACGGGATAGCCCTATAGACTTTTTTTCCGTGTTACAATCGCTTTTGAAAGAGCATCGCTACCAGGGAAACTCAGCTTCCCATTAAATAGGTACTGCACTTGCGATGACGCCTCAAAGCTCCAAAAATATCCGATCCACACCAGCGCTTCTCCAACATTTATGATTACTCCTTTCCACTGCACCGAAACTTCTCTACCTTGACACCCATGCTATTTGGTAAGCACGCCGAGTTTTCAATGCGTCTTTACGCTGTGCCGCACAGTGGATCGAGTCAATAGGAGAGATCGGACAAAATTTAGAAACTTTAAACGCTTATAACTCCGTTTATACAAAACTTTGGGGTTCTAAAAGTGGTTCCGTCGGTTTTCTCATGAAAGTTTCCTCTACCAGCACCCCTTAAAATTTAAAATATGACAAATTAAATATCAAAATTTGTACACTGGAAAAAAACCACATTGGATCTAGAGTCCAGACTCTATGTTAAAAACATCGACAAGAAAAAATACTCTTGATTCAATCAGAATCTAGCTTAAATCAAGAACCAAGCCTCTTAATTTAAGCGGATTTCGTTTTGATTCAAGCAAAAATCCGATTGAATCAAGAGTACTTTTTCTTGTCAATGTTTTCAAGAGTCTGGACTCTAGATCCAATGTGTTTTTTTTCCAGTGTGGTTTTAATCAAAAATTTTACATCCGACTCGATCCACTGTGTGCCGTGCGTCTCCGCCACCAAAGATTGGTTAAGATAGGTAACGCACCGCATTATGGTTGGGTCCATACCAGACGTAGTCCGCGTAGGCGCCTTCGAGGAGATGCCGGACGTTGCCCCTGTACGTTGACTTTGGGTGGAAGTCCACGTCGAAACCCAGGAGACAGTACTTGCCCTTAATGCGAGGATGCGAGACCCCCAGACATTGCTCGTAGTCCCCGTAAGAGTGCAGGTTCCCGTTCAGCATCCCTGAGTTGGGTTTTCCTGTCGAGTCGTGCACTGTAATTCGGGAAACAATAGATTTTATAGCAAGAAATAACATGGCTGGAGTCTTACTGTACAGAGCAGCAAAGACTGACTTTTTGGAATTTATAACGAGACAGGGTAAGATATTGAGCATTACAACCCATATTTTCTTTGAGCACGTTGAACATATCAAACATTTTTAAATTCAGGTCATGATGAGAAAAATACTGCCGTGTTAAAGAAGAACGCCGTATAAACATTCGAGAGTTGCCAAATTTCTTCCGATAAAATGTTTATTTTGGAGGAAAGTTATGAATGTTTTCCTTCGAAATTTCCAGAAAATTAAGGTGACATTGCTAACAACTTTACCTGAAAAATTGGAAGGAAAATCTTCATAAATTTACCAGACAGTTCATGTTTTATATCAAAGGAAGTTTGGCAACGTCTGAAGGCTCATGCGGCGTTCTTTCTCAGCGCGGCAGAATAAGCGTTCGCAGTTTACAGCACAAATGCAGTAAACCCAAACTTCTTGCTAACAAAAAGAAAAAATAAAAAAAAGAAGAAGAAGAAGAAGAAGAAGAACTCATAATGATAAGTCAGTTACGCTAGTCACAAAATCGTGTTTTGATGATTGATTCTTGTAGATCAGCTAAAAATAAGAAGATCTGTCCAGCCAGCAACTTTCTACGTTCAGTATTAACCAAGATATTGCGCTTTGAAATATTCGGTTTATGACGTCATCCATATTTCGGTAGTGACACCCTTGGTTTCTTCAATTCTTCTGTGCTTTTATTATTTCACGTTGAGTAACCAGTGAAAAGGTGTGTCTCTCTACAAATGAAATCAAGGTGGGAGAAACCAAGCATGTCACTACCGCTGTGGATGACGTCATGAAAAGAATTTTTCAAATTGCTATATCTCCGCTAGTATTGAACGTAGAGAGTTGCTGTTTGGGCAGATCGTATTATTTTTAGCTGATCCACATGAATCAAATGTCAAAACACAATTCTATGACCAGCGCAACTTACCCATCAGCAATGATTTCAACCTAAACGTTAGGCAAATAACTAGAACTTAATTTTACACTCATTTCCTTCCTTTCCTGATACAAGACACCTTCCAAATTGTCAAAGAAATATTACTACACAAAGCAATTCTTCATTGTAAAGTGTACCAAAAGTAGTTCAGCTCGATTTGCTTGAGTGAACTCTGTTTTTTATAACCACGTGTAATTTTGACTTCTCGGGGCAAATTGATGGGCAAAATATATGATAAAACGTCTCATTGTTTTTTCTTCCCTTACTTTGGAAAGCCCAATACTTCAGTTGTTGGAGGTCCCGCGTGAACTCTTGGAAGTCGATCTTGCATTGCGGGCTGAGGTTCTTGCCGCTTACAGATAAGGCAGGACTCATGTGAAATACCCCTTGGAGAAAGGATTTTTCATATTCTTGCTCCTTGTTTACTTGACCCGTCACTAAAACAGATAATTAACAATTAAAGCGTTACCAAAGCAAAAGTGGTAATTGTTGAAAATTCGTCCCCTGTGAGATGATTATTAACCATTTTAGTCCGAAAGGCACGTCGCCAAGAAGAGATATGAAGTCATCTTACCGTCTGGAATGGACGCATTCATGCTAAGTGGAACATTATGTACAAATTGATGAAATCAAACTGTCTATGTGCATAGGATTTGCGAGTTTTATAGTTAAGATTCAATTTATTTGCGCATAGTAAACGTCCAGTCGATGATTATTTTGCAATGGCTTAGCTTTTGACTCAGTTTGTGCACATAGTATACGTGCTCTGTGGGTCTAGACGCAGGAAAGTAACAAATGGCGTGATCTTTTATGGATATTCATTCGTAATTTATTTTTTTATTTCTTGCAATTGAACTGTCACGTTGCGTCCGTCGAACACTTTTCAATCACACCAAAAAATTACAACGGACTTCAAAATTTCAATTTTTTTGCGCTGTATGATTTTTTCTAAAACATACCTTTTGATGAGAATCGTATCGCGATTGTTGAAAAGGACTAAACTCACCGCTGAGAGCAAATAAAAATATTGCTGGAAGAGTTATCGGGTTGAATCCTATCATTTTACCACTGCACGAATCTTTTTCTTGGAATCATGTATTTTGATGTTACCGCATTGAATATAGAGGTTCTGAAACAGAAAAAATTGACAATACATTTAGGAAGTTATTCGTAACCGAGCAGGATGTAGACCAATATCAAAACTATTTTAACTAAAACTATTTTTAACTATCTATTATCTTTCCTGTTGATAACGTTTTTTTCAAACTTTAAAAATTTTACTTATCTAAATTTTGGTTTATTGAAATCTTTCTAATTAATATAATTTATTCAAATAAAGTTAGGTAACTTTAGGTTTAACCGCAACTGCTGGCACCCAGTTATCTGGTACTTAAATGAATCCTTACAGTATATTGTTCTAAGTTTTGTAAGGCTGATAAGTGCTAACCTTTTGGATAGTATCTTAAAAAAAAAAAGATAGTTAGGAAGTATAAAAGTTTTTATTGCCAGGCAAAACGTAACTTAAACCATCCATTATTTTTTAATATAACGCTGCTATACCCTTCTATCAACTATTCAAAATGAATTCTACGTTCACGACGCCCCAGTTCAATCAAAGCGCAGACGCTTCCGGGTTAAACTCCGTCCGTCCCTCTGAGAACGGAACCGACAGGTATCATTACACCTCTGGGTGTATATCTCCTTTCTAATGTGCACATAGCACACTGTAAAAATATAATTATCTGATCAATTACTGGCGTTATCATAAGAATCCTGTGGCCACTTGTAGAAGTCATTTGATTCTGCCACTGCACTAAGAAGGTCGATCGCTGTTCCCAAAGTTGCCAGACTGACAGACAATCGGGTGGATTTACACGAAAAAGCGAATTAACAAACTAGCAAAGGAATGAGGATTCTAATGGGTGTGAGAAATCTAAAGAATGCGAGTTGGATCGAAATGACCTTATCGCTGGAAAAAAAGACTTAATTGATTCACGCAGAAATATTCTTGATTTTGAGAAGAAATTTCTCGTGCATCAAGAAGGAAATAATTATGCTTATACTAAGGAGGAAGTCGTTTGTATAAGTAGAAACCTGCTTTATTTAAGAGATTATATTTTACACCCCAGAGATGTTTTCTTGACGGCAACTTCAAATATGTATAAAGCCGCTTTTATAGCGCTTTCTGACGCTCTGCGACACCTAGCCGCCAAAGTCCCCTGTCCTCCCAAAGCGCTTCAGGGAGTTGGCAAACCCTCATTTCTTCCAAAACCCCCTGTCGCCACTCTTTCAAGTAACTTCTTTCCAATGTGAGTGCGTAAAATGAGACCATAATCGAAAAAGGACGGCGAAAGTCGAAGGAGATGCATCTCGCTTACGCCGCACAGTGGATCGAGTCAGTCACAGAGGTCGGACATAAAAGTTTTGACTAAAAATGAAATTTTTGTTTGTTTATTTCGTCACATTTTAAATTCTGAAGGGTGCCTCTAGAAGAGAATTTTACGAGGAAACCAAATGAGCCACTTTTAGAACCTCAAAGTTTTGTGTACACTAAGTTATAAGCTGTTAAAGTTTCCAAATTTTGTCCGACCTCTTCTATTGCCTCAATCCACTGTGCGCCGTTACTTGTTGTGTCGTTGCAAATTGTATTCGTCAGAGAAGAACTGATAAGGACCATTTCTATAGATTGCACTGATTTTCTCTCGTCGGTCAAAATTTCAAGAAGTACAAATTTTGCAAAAAAAAACCCGTTTCTATTTTTTTATGTTTCCAAAAATATTTTTATCAACATTTTCAAAAAATAACTTTAAATTTTCTTCGCAATAATATTGTCATTCAAAGAATCTTGATCACTTTGGCAGTTTTTCAAAACTATCGCTGATTTACAGGGCACCGATCGAAACAGAACTCATCATTGCCACATGGGTCGTCTTCCGTTTCACATTGCCAAAGTTTCACACTATGTACCACATTCCACTATAGGACGTTCATCTGTGCAGTGAGTGTTAGCGGCAACGGTGTCTAATTATGAGAACGGCAGCGGTGCATGCGGTTCAAGCATGGTATTTTCTTCGTTCATTGCCGCTGTTCCTGCCATCATCAGCGGCATGGCAATCGAAGACAGATGCACGGATCGCGTAAAGCAAAGGACGGTATCATTTTTACACGTTTTATTTAATAAGCATCATCACGGCGGCCGGTCTTGCCCTCAGCGCTCTTCCCTCAAGATCGATGAAAATTAGAGGGCGAATCGATCTGTAACATTGATCTTGGACGCGTGTGGCTAATTAGTTTACTACATTCTCTGAGCTGCGATAAGGAGGAAAATCCGCCGCGTGCGCCGTCGGATTAGTCGCGCGTGCACTGTTTAAAAAAAATTAATGCTCCAAACTTGGCGCACGTGAAAGCTGGATCAATCATTTTCTATACCTGGAAGTTTGTGTCAAATTGGTGCAAGAAAACTCAGTGAATTTGAGAATTTCAAAGAAAAGTCCCTCGAATATGATGAAATGAAGCACCAATTGAGGAGCTTGGAGGACACTCTGAAACAAAAAAGTAGCTTGGATCAAGCATGATAATTCTTGAATTTGCCGCCAAGAATTTTCTTTATCTTGCTTTAAGCTGACTTTTTCTTGATTCAAGAAAAATAATGCTTGGGTTAAGCAAACAAGTAGCTTATATTAACCAGCAAAATTCTTGATTTAAGAAGAAATACTTCTTGGCGGCAAATTTAAGATTATTTTTTTTTTCCAGTGAAGGCGCACGAGTGTAGTTTTTGGTATTTCGCGAAATACGTGTTTGAAGTTCCGAAATTACACGGATCCTCATGGCGGAAAAAATAGTGCAAACTGACTTTTTGATGCCTAGAAATTGGAATTTGGGAACAAAATTTTCACAGAATATGCATTAAGATTAGCCTCACTTGAAATCATTTAAATTTTAGTTTTTTTTCAAAGACTGGACTTATACCCCTTGTCCTTCAAACCCCTCAATTAATGATAAAAAGCAGGAATCTATAGGTATCATGTTCGAGTGACCTTTTTTCATTACTTGAAAATTTACTCTCGTATTGCTACTTGACCGCAAATTTTAAGAGACCTCGAGGTCATAAAATATTTGACCTGGTTATCCTATGTTTGCTTGGTTTGATTATTTTAACAATGCGCCGCATAATCGTTTTACGGAGGTCGCCTCAATTATTGAATGGAGCTATTTCATTTAAAAGCGGAGAAAGCGGGGGAATCGTCAGACGGAGAAAAACTTCGGCCCATGAGTACCGACGCTTTTATTCCCCGAAGAGACTAGATACAAATGACTCAACGAAATGAATACACATCGACACCTTCAGTTGGCCACTAGACAAGCTATACATTAAAGCAAAACACATCTTATGTTTTCTGCAAAGTTTCCCGAGGAAAACGAATCACACAAGGAGAAGTCTCAAAATCACTTCCCAAGCAAGATATAAGAGTTTACCATCAACGTTAATCAACTGGCAAAAATACAAATGACGTCGTCTGTGTAGTCTAACTTCCACTTGATCTATGTTGAAAAGACTTTTTAATTTCTTGTTCGAGAGTTGATGTTAACTGCTCGGTGCGTCAATCGTTTCCTACCAGTGGCGTGGCGTGAAATGCGATGTATCGATTGTTATGCCCCTTAAACCCATGGTAAAGAATCGATTGTTAAGGTGTTCGCTGCGAACACCCTGTTTATCGATCCTTTTCCGTAGGTTTAAATGGCATAACAATCGGTATATCGCAAAGCACGCCTCGCCACTGTTTCCTACGCAAGATTTTGAAAAGGAAACGTGAGGAGTAAGCTACTTACTACTAAGTGAACTAACGTGACATTTTGTTGACCAATTGTAAATCAAAATTAAATATGCACAAGGGATTTGAGTAATTACTAATTCCTTTTGGCTCAAGTTTGGTAATATAGTTGTTTTAGCATGCGGGTGAAGTTAAACAGATAGTAAACGAGTCAAAAAAAGAGGGTTGAAGGTTTATTTCTTCAAAAGAGGAAACGTTATAGTGATGAATTCTAATTCAGATTTTCATGTTAATTATATTTTTTTTCCGGTGAAATTTAACAGAAGAAAACATAAAGTGCAGCTAGTCACGTCCAAAACTACTCCTAACTCATTTTTTACCAAGATATGGCTTTGGTTCGCGTTTGTACTCAATTTAGTCTGTAACAATGTTAATAATTCTCGCGCTGAAATGGTTTTTGTAACATACCAGTCCTGAGATGATGCTCCTTGTTGTTTCCTTTCAAGCTTTAAAAAACCTACTTCGAAGCTTAATGCTTAACATAAAGCTTTTGAAAGTCACACTTTCATTGTTTTATTTCTCTTTCGAAGACTGGGTACGTATCATAAAACTAATATTCCAGTAGTAAGTTTACTGGAGAAGCAGTGCTCTCTTAGCTAGCATGCTGTAAAAGTCTCTGCCAGGATTGGTGTTTTCTAATTCAGGCACCTAAAAGGAGAGCCGTTAATAATTAAATATTGATACTTTAAAAGACCTGCAACTTTACATTCTTGTCCGTATAGTTCATCTCAGCTTCTCTTGCCCTAGCAAAGCTACCGGACGGAGCGTCCACAAAAATGAAAGAGTGTCGAGTTCTGTTCCCTACAACTAGATGTAGTTGAAACTGAAAGTAGATTCATGACCAACGGAAATCGTCTGGCCACAGAACGCACAGCTCTCAAGTGACAGGTAATAAAGAACACAATGATGGAATATGGAAAGAATTATATGTATAGTATATACTGTGCACGGGGATAGATAACTACTGGATAGAAATTCGATGTTTACTCCAGTTTTCCGGCTAGACTTGTGCTGCGACTTCACGCGTGCGGACTCTTCCCCATATTTGTTTGGTCCTTACGCTAACCATATGAGTATATTTGAGAATTGCCAAATTTCCTTCCAGGAAATGTTCATTTTTGAGGAAAGTTATGAAAGTTTTTCCGACAAATTTTCAAGAACTTTAGGTAAAATTGCAAACAAAATTATCTGAAAAATTGGAAGAGGAATATTTACAAATTTGCCCGAAAATTCGTGATTGACCACAGAAAAGTTAGCAACGCCTAAAGGTTCATTTGGCGTTCTCCCTTAGCACGGAAGTATAGGAAAGGTCCGCATGGCTTTGATAAATCCGCACGCTTGGAAACACCATTTTTATGGCTAAAACTTCGTTTAATGGCCCACTCTACGACCAGCGCTGTCATATCATAATCATTCATAATTTTACGCATCTTGCTTACTTCTAAAGCACTTCCTCGATGATGCCACACGAAAACGAGAAAGGCGCGTCAATAAACCAGCCGCACCAAAAAAAAGGGTGGAGACAATGATTTCCAACTCACCTTAAAAGCGAGTCAACAAATGTCGACTTGAAAGCCCCACCACTTTACACCAATCCGCGGTTCTGTTTATCTTCTCCAGCACCGATATAACCACCGCACAAATAAAGCAATAAAGAGTGCAGAGTCCTCTGCAACTGGATATAGGTGAGAATAGATTTATAATCGACGGGAATCGCCGGGCCCAAGATCGGAGTTCACGGAGGGGTGGGGAGCGGGGGCGGGAGGGGAGGGGTTGCCGTGGGAAAGGGGCAATTATGACGACGGATAACGACGGCGACGACATTGCGGCCGGGCCCGAGGACGCGGACCGCGAGACGACAGGAAATGCACGCGAAAATCAATGGAAATTCATACGCAGCTTCGATCTAGCGCTGGCTGCGAGACGGGGGGCAGGACTTTTGGGCGGGGAAGGGCTCGTTTGGGCGAAAAGTTGGGGGCTTTTGGGCGAGTAAGAAACAGTGCAAAATAGCCTTCCCCCGATTAGGGAGGGGGTCTTATGGGCGAGAGGAAAAAAGGTACCTTTTGAAGGAAATATGTGAATGTGGCAACACCGAACAACATGTTGAATGAAAGAACAGTATGAAACACACTCACCATTGTATGTAGAGTTGAGTAATATAAAAATATCACAGCTGTAGGTGGCTGGTCGTCAATTGATAAAATCTGGATGAGAATTTAAATTTTCTTAGCTTGGAAATGGTGACCTAGGCGCTTGAGGTAAGTCAACCGAGCTTCTCGATCACGTTTGCTCGCCGCGTAAGTATTCCAGGCTTCTATCGCATAATTATTTCGGTCAATTGTCGGTTGTTTAATAGTATTTGTGACATTCATGTTGACGGAAGTTATTTTAGTTAACGTTTCTGCTTGAATCTGACGTAGGACTTCAACCACGTTGTGAATGTTGGGATGGGTATGATAGAATTCTTTATTATAGTTACTATGAAACGATTCGTTGCCATTTGTAGTGCGAGGGCAATTTGACGGCGGTCCGGCCCATAAATCTGGAGGATACTTTGACAAAGTCAAAATATAGTTATTCAGAAGATAATTTGAAAATTCCGTTTGTGTTTCTTGAGGTATGCCGTCAGGAACGATAGACATTAAATCTAGGAAACCACCCAACACTTCGTTTGGCGGTAACAATGGCAAGCCAAAAAAATACCTTAACCATTTACCGACCGCTGAGCCTTTAGTGTTATATTCTCGCAAGAGGAATGAATTGGATTGAATAAATCGGAACCAGGATTGAGATAAATGGAAACGGCAGCAGAGTAACATACAATCTGGGAATTCTGCATGAATAGCGTTATGAGCAGCAGATTCAAAATCAGCATAAAATGTGGGAATGACGAAATTTTTTCCAGTCAGAGAAAGACTCAAATTTTGCAGTTCTCGCCACATTAAACGATACGTTTCGCAGCTCTTAGAGGGTAAGAAACAAAATGCGACTGGAATGTAAAAGCAATTTTTATACACGTGAATTGTATACAACTGGGAAAAATGGTCCGGTGCATATGAGAAAGTCCCATCTCCGAAAAAAAGTTCGCTCACTTGCATCAATTTTAAATTTGATTCACACGTCAAGATTACCATATTTTTGGCTGCATTCACAAAACAGAATTGCTGTCCTTTCACTAAAATTTTGCGTTGTAAATCATACAGCTGACAGTATGCTTCCTGTCTCGATTTTGGTATTGGAGCAGGGAGAGATTTTTTTCTTTCCTTATACATCATTTTCCGAATACCAGGCAATTCTAAATTTGATAATTCACAGGCACCATCTAATAAAAGTTCGCGTCTTATAATCTTACTCGGTTTTTCGATTAAATTTTCGGCCGCTTTCCTTTTGACACTAACTTTAAATTTTTGTTTGGTTATTTCTTCCGACGTGTATGGCTCATGATTATGTTCAACAGCACTAGGTTGGATCACTTTTTTTACAGTTTCGTCAACTAGCACACTTGCCCCGCACTTCTTATTAGCGCACCTGAACCTAATGTTTCCGGACTGTAAAACATTCGATTCCGTTAATTTATACAATTCAATTATAACACACCGTTTGCCGCGAAATGTCCTAAAAACCGATGAAATTTCGATATCCATAACGTGCGAGTTTTAAGCGAAGTCACTGCGCTACTACGGCTAATTACGACGCGGTGAATCGCGGTGACAAACATGGGAAGTCATCCTGATAGCATTCCGTTCTGTTTACCCGAAATCAGTCTCCTTCGTCGTTATCACATGCTCATCTTTCTGCGGCAGGCATAGCTGCCAGATTCACGGTATTTCGGTGACTCGGCCACCCGCCCAAAAAACCTCCCTCATTTTCGCCCAACTTGATTTCATTCTCGCCCAAAATACCTCTCTTTTCAACAAAAGCTCGCCCAAAAGGGTTCTCCCCGCGAGACGCGTCGCGCAGTGGATCGGGTTAATCAGAGGGGTCGGACATGAAATTTTTGACTGAAACTGCAAATTTTGATGTTCATTTTGTCACACACTGGAAAAAAACACGTTGGATCTAGAGTCCACACTGAGAAAAAACTATGGTTTATAAACCTATTAGAGGTAAATATGGAACACCTATAATAGTCGTAAATAAACTAATGATTCTCGGTCTGTGAACCATACTAAGGTCTCTGTACCTAATTAAGGTACCCCGTACCATAACTAAGGTATATGTGCTATTATTATATGCAGAGGTACTACTATTAGTGGTGTTCCATATTTACCTCTAATAGGTTTATAAGCCATAGTTTTTTCTCAGTGCAGACTCTTAAAAACATCGTCAAGAAAAAATACTCTTGATTCAATCAGATTTAAGCGTAAATCAAGATCCAAGCCTCTTAATTTGAGCGGATTTCCTTTTGATTTAAGCTTAAATCTGATTGAATCAAGAGTCCTTTTTCTTGTCAATGTTTTCAAGAGTCGGACTCTAGATCCAATGTGTGTTTNTTTTTTTTTTTTTTTTTTTTTTTTTTTTTTTTTTTTTTTTTTTTCCAGTGCAATTTAAATTTCAAGGGGTGCGTTTAGTCGGAAATTTCTCGAGGAAACCACTTTTAGAACCTCGAAGTTTTGCACGGACGGAGTTTTAGGCGTCTAAAGTTTCCAAATTTTGTCCGACCTCTCCTATTGACTCGCCCCACCGTGCGTCGTCGCACGCTCAATCATGCGTCGCTCTCGTGTTGCCGCTCGCTCGGAAAAAATTCGAATAGTTTTTATCGAAAAAGGACCTGTTTTTGAGGGAGAGGCCTGTGCATAAAACGAATAAACCCAACCGGCGCCTGTAAGTTTTTGAGGATCTAAAATGATTTATTCCCACCAAAATTAAAATTTTGGTGGTTACGGCCCTCCTTCACTAATCTGTTCAGTACTACCATTCCGTAAAAATGAGGATCCCTCATTTGCTCGACAGTTAATTCTTCATATTCTTGTCCGAAAAAATTAACCGACACTCCACGTATCATCTGTAATAAAACCACGGTTACACGAGGAAATGCGGAGAAATCGGGTAAGAGATAAAAAAATTTTAAAATTTTGGCGGATACAGCTCTTTTTCCACTAAATCAATCAGTACTGATTTTTAGCAGTATTGTGACGATTAAGTGCACGATGAAAGTATTAAAACTTATAGTGATCATCGTATCGTATCCAACGTTACCATGTAATATTAATGCAATTTTTTAGTTTTAGTTTTAAACCATGTAGATAGATACCGGGAAATACTTGTAGTAGTTACGTTTTATTTAAATGAAATTCCCTCCATATATATATATTGTCTCATTTATTCATAGTTGAAACCATGAGGAAACACCCTCCGCTGGGAGAGGTGGCTCGGAAATCACTACTTTTTTTTACTAACGCAATATTAAAATGCTCAAGAAAAGGCAAAACCCCTAGCCCTAGATGCCCAAGCCGGGTCAAATCACATCACAAAAATTACATCGTAAAAAGAGATTATCAAATTGAAGAAAAGAAAAAAAATTGAGTGTTAGGGAATTTTTTGGCAACTATGTCTCTAGAAACCCCTAGCCGAGTGAAATTGACCCGACGATCCTCTGTCGGGGAGTTATGGTGCCGGTACATACAAGCCTAATATATAGGTGCACCGGTACAGACACATTTGAAAAAAACAATCGGATGTTAAATTGTAGAAAAAAAAAAGGAGAAACAAATCGAGTTTCAACACAGCCGCAGATAGAGGAGGCTTATTCGGGCTTCGCTTTCAACTTTTCCCGAATCTGAGTGACCTCTCACAAGCAGCATAAAGAGAAGCAATGCGAGCTCACACTTCGCGCCTTCAATTTTGCAGATACAACACGGACATCCATCAAGGACGAATAGTTGTATCTCTGCGCTGTCATAACCCACGTTGAGGAGTCTCTTATTTTTAAAATTTAAGAAAAATTAACATTAGGTTTGTTCAAAATATGAAATGATGTGTCCAAATCAATAATCATGTCGAAAAAATAAATAAAGAACATGTGTAAAGGTCTCTTAAGCGCAGGGCCGGATTTACCTACTTGCCGCCCACGGGCCGCCTGTATTTTGCCGCCTCCCTCTCATTCGTTTTGAAACATACCAATAAAAACCATCAATTGAACGTGCCGGAGGGGGAGGGGTGCATAAGACGTGTTTACCTACTCGTGTTGGATACATTTTTTGAGAAAGCCCTGTCAACACTACTAGCAAAATTTCACAGAGCTTTGCGCGAAAGTTAAGTTCCGTAAACCCAGGGATGGATTTACCTTTTTAGCGCTCCTAGGCAAATCTTATAGTCGCGCCCCTCAAAGAACAGACGACCGTATGGGGAGTCTTGGGGATACCCCTCAGCTAAAAGGGGGTTCGGGGGTCCCCCCCCCGGAAAATTTTTAAAATCGGGCATTTGATTAACGCAATTCAAAGCTACTTTTAGGTCATTTAAGAGAAAAATTTGGTGGCTGAGATGACTCTTGTGCTACCATAATTTTCAAAAGGTATAGAGAATTAGAACAAAGCAAAACTAAACAAATGCGAGGAAAGGTTGGAAAAAGTAAAAAGAAAATTTTACTCATTCATGCAGAGGGGGCACGGGTTTTACGAACCTTATTAGTAGACAAGGACAGATTCACAGATATTCTTCTTTTCGCGCGCCTCTTTTTCCGTCCTTATTTTTTTTTTATTGATTTCAATTCTAGAACCCTTAAAAAAGTATGCACGTGTCTCGAAATTTTGCGCCCCTCAAAACTTTGCGCCCCTAGGCAGCTGCCTAGGTCTGCCTTGTGGGAAATCCGTCCCTGCGTAAATCTACCTCTGTGTGGACAAGGTCCTCCATCTATAAGAAATGAACCAAAAGATTATGAAAGAACAAACATAAATGTGGTTTAAAAGTTTTAACTTCCACCCTGGATGAATAATTGTATGTCCTTCACGCTTTATAAAGGGAAATCATTCTTAGTTCTGATTGTGAGGAGTGACTTACGGCAGGGGGGGAACAGTTACGCAAAATTAAAAATCCCGCGTCATTTTTCCCGCTTGAATTGATCAGCCAATGATAAGAGTTTTCATGTATTGAACGGCGGTACCACCATTCATGGTACTTGTGGTAGAGCTTTGCGCAGCTCACAAAGAGAGAAGATGCTTGTCATAGTTTTTTCTTGAATTAAATATGCAAGAAAAGTTTTTCCCCTTTCAAAATGTTCATTAAGCTAACCTTTCATGCATAGTGTAGGAGTTAACGTTATCGCTATTCCTAGTGTATTTTTTGCTTATAAGTTGCAAGTTTGCTTAACCTCACTTTCACCTTTGTTTACATAATAAAGCCATTGATAAGGCTGGGCAAGCTTATCAATACAACATTGTGAAATTTTCTTCCCATAAACTTCTCTTTAGAATTTTTTGAATTGAAGTCATAAATTTTTGAGGTGTTTACTGTAACTGACTCAGAACTTTTCATATTTCCTCCAGTGGCTCTGCACCGTCTTGTAAGTTGTGCTCAGAGATCAAGTGATAGCAGTCCGTGTTAAAATGTCCAGTTCAAAATTGATTGCCCATTCTCAGTTATTCAAAGCCCTCAAGTTAAAATGTCAGCAACATCAGACTCAACGCTTTTTAGCAGCCATCGCAGAACCAAAAGTAGATCAAGTTCGAAGCAAAATGAAGGCTTGGCAGATTCATTCTTATGGTGGCCTCGATGAACTCCAGCTCTCCGAAGCTAGGTTACCCAGCATTAGTTCTGATCGTATACTCATCAAAGTGTCCACATCAAGTGTCAATCCATTAGACGTAGCTATGACAAGTAATTATTTTAATATCCTCATTAGTACTTAAATTAGCTTTGCTTTCAAGGGTCAGTTTTGGAGTGAGGCTCCTTTTCATGCGGTAGGTAAGTCGATCACCAAGTTGCAATGCAGTTGTGAAAGGCGCTATCTCTTCATAACACTTCATCAGTAGTGACCAAGGAAAGAAATATGAAAAGCTCGTGAAAAATATTGTAACACAAAGTGAATTTTAGGCGAAGGTGACTTGTTCTTTCACAAAACTCTTTATATTCATATAATCTACAAAACCCTGTTTTGAATGCGTTTTTGAAGAAAATAGTAATTGTAACCTCTGTCAATATTGCGAAGTTCAAAATGATCCTTATAATAATGCATCCTTCCCAATTTATTTTTAATTTAGATAGGTACCTAAAGATTTTACTAATTATTATGCTAACTTAAATAATAATATAACTTAAAAAACACTAAATGTTGCCCTGAATTTATGTCATAGAAGAGCAAATGAAGAAGAATTCATTGCGAAGGAAAATAATGCTCAGTCTGAAACAAAGCACAAGTGATCCAAGTTTATTTCTAAGATGTAAAGATCAACTCTATTTTTCATGAAATTTACCTTGTCTTTAGATCTACGATTTTACTTTTTTACATACAGGGTTTTAAGAGCTTTTGCAACTGGGACAGCTTTCTTCAAATTCTTTCAAAAGTATCCTAAGTACCATTTATGCTTAGAAGCTGTGTTGCTGGAAATATCAATATTACTTTGAAATATTTTTAATACTTCTGCATAATCCTTCCATGAAAAAAGGGAGTAATCTTGATGTTAAAAGTAATACCTATTAGGTCCAATTTCAAGTAATTCTATTTTTTTTTTTGGTGTGTGTGTGTAAAAAATCGGGCAAGTTTCAGGAATTTGGCAACATAGTGTCGAAGCACAAATGGTGCTTGTTATACTTTGGCCAAGAGGTGACATGTTCAGGATCTTTATATGCCGTGGAGTCTTTTTCACCAGACGAAACCTGAATTAAAAGAATTCATTCACAGATTCAGAAAGGAGGTGGCTAAAATTGGTCTCAACTCTCACTTTGATTGGGTATCATTGTACCAAGCAATTGTTACATCATAATAATGGTGCCTGTTTGTCCACAATTCAACTTTTTAATTTTAACCCAAAATTCTTTCCAATTTTCGTTTCAGATGGCTACGGAGCAATTCTGCTGAACAAGATTCGCCAAACAGAAGCTGGTAGCTGTGAGCCAATTGTTGAGTTTCCTTTGACTCTGGGCAGGGACTTTTCAGGCACTATAATTGCTAAAGGAGACAAAGTTGGCTCTGAGTTTCAAATTGGAGATGAAGTTTTTGGAGTTACTCAACCTCATGAAAGCGGTTGTCATGCAGAATTTGTCACTGCGCATAAGTGTTTAGTAAGTTATTCTAAGAAGCTATGCATTGTTTGCTCGTCCTTCTTTGTATTGTAGTTCGCAAACTACATAATTTTTGCAATCAATAAATGCATTGTCACAAAAGAAGTTTCTGAGATTACTTATCGCTAACTCTGGGGTATTTAGTATCCACTGGGAGAGTCCAAAAAAGTTATTGAAGGTTTCTTGGGCATGAAAGCATAAAATGAAAACTTGAAATTCAAATCAATCCTCCAAGGCATGTAAGAAACTATCTCGGTTCTCAGTGAAAAACATTAATTTTTTGTTGTTTGAAGTAGTCCAAATGAAATTCTTAGCCTTTCAACCATATTACTTATTTTTTACCAACTGGATTAAATCTGGTCAAGAATTTTTATTTAAAAAGTGCTTTTGCTAACTGAAATGGGACTAAAACTTTAATTTTAAAAGAGTAAAAAAAAGAGCTCTGCTCTTCTTCTAAAGAGCTTCTTAATTAAGGTGCAATCTTGAAATTTTCATCGCAATTCTTTGTCCCCTCGCTGAATTTAAAATTTTGCCCTCAGGTTCATAAGCTTCCAGAAAATATAAAGCCAATTGAAGCAGGCTCAACTTTGTATACTGGTCTGACAGCATGGTCTGCGCTGAAGGTAACTGGTGACTTGGCAATAATTCCACCAAAGAACAAGGTTGTACTCGTCATCGGCGGTGCAGGAGGTGTTGGCTCTGCGGCGATTCAGTTGTTGAAAGCATGGGATGCACAGGTATTTGATCAACTCAGCTCTGATCTGTTTTGCAGACTTGTATCATCATTATAAAATGACAACTATGAAAATGCGAATCTTGATTGTGGCGCTCTAAAATTTCCTCTTATTTTTTACTCATTCAAGAGATTATAATCAGAAATTGTTTTCAGGAGTGAGGAAATAACTTTTTCTCCCCGATTTTTCACTTGGTATCAATTATTTTATCTTAATCATTAACTTCTGTAACGTACAATTCGTAACTAGACATGTTTTTTTCTTTGAAATATTTCTTCTTCAGAGATAATTCGTTTTAGTTAAAAGGAAAACGGTGCAGAATTTAACACAATAATATTGATGAGTCAGAATTTAACACAATGATATTGATGAGTAATAACCTATGAGCAGCCCCAAAAAACTTTGTTTCGTTAAGCATTAATTTCAAACAATCATACGAGGTCTGTTAGATTAGAAACCGGATTTTGGTCATAACTAGCTCACAATGCGTCCGAATTAGGTTTTCTTGAGCTTTCCTGATAGCTGGAAATATACTTAAGAACGCTACGTTCACAGATTTTGTTTATTTTGATCAGTGTTTATTCTGTGTCATCTTGAATACGAGTAAGTCAGGTGCGTTTTGCGATTTTCAGCATGCGATCACTGATAGAGCAAAGACTCAACATTTAATTTTGTTTTAAACTCGGTATACCTTGTACCGAAACTTTTGGTATGCTAAGTAAAGTTTACCAAGATCATTGTATGAGATGTTCCCACTGTTTTGAGTGGCTTAAACGATTCAAAACTGGTCAGGAGTTCGTCGAAGATGAGGAGTATGGGAATCGACCCTCAACGGCAACTGACATTTGTCACGTGGAAGAAGTGCGGGCATAAGTGCTCGAATATGGTCGTTTCGAGCTTGTTGAACAGAGTAATATTTCTGAAGGCTCTGTACATACGATTTTGATAGAATATGTAGAAACGCATCGAGTTTCAGGTACACTTGCCCCTTGCTTGTTGTCCGTTGAACGAAAATCCAACCAAATGTCAATTTCCCTTTAGCTGCTTGAACGTTCTAACAATGATCCTATATTTTTGGATAGGATAATTTTCGGTGACAATACTTAAATGCACGGCTACGATATGGAGACGAAACTCCAATCGTCCTTGTGGGTTGAAAAAGGTAGTGCAAGACCGAAAAAAGAGAGACAAGCTCGGTCAAACATAAAAATCGCAAAACACCCTTGAGGTTGCCTCACTTCAAGCCACATACCAAAAAAGCTAATTATGATTTTTCAAATTTGTGAACGTAGCGTTCTTAAATACATTTTCAGCTATCAGAAAAGCTCAAGAAAACGTAATTTGGACGCATTGTGGGCTAGTTATGACCAAAATCCGGTTTCTAATCTAACAGACCTCGTATGTATGGTTTTGCTGACTTCTAGGGTGTTGTTTACGCCATAATTTTGAAAAAACACACCTCTAACCAATGGAACCAATATCCCAATTTTCAGTTTTCTGCCCCTGGATCCTCCTTCCCGTGGACGGTCATAATGTATGTAACTCATGATAATTGGATTTAGTAAGAAATATCCTGTTGTAGGTGGTTGCCACGTGTGCAGCAGACGCCGTTCCCTTGGTACAGTCTCTTAAAGCAGATGTTGTCATCGACTACTCATCCAATTCTTCGAAACTTATTTCTGTCTTGCAATCTGTTGGAAAGTAAGTCAATACATTTCCTCCAAAAGATCTAAAGAAAATCATTTTTCTGTACAGGAAAAGTACTTTAAAAGAAAAAAAAACACTAAGAAGTGGCTCGAACTGTATGTAACAAGGTGGAGAAGTGGTGCTGGGTCCACATAATTTCGCCGCACCATTTTCTCGGCTTTGTTTTCCCCTTGAAATGGTGTGGACCCAGCACCATTTCTCCACCTTTTGTTACGCACTTTAAAAGATGCATCCATGAAAAATATTTGTTTGCAGTAAAGCAACGTTGATTTAATAATGGTTAAAATGTGCTTTAACTCACAAGAGGTTGATCCCATTTGATGTCGCAAAAAACTGAAGATTATGCATGTCAATCTCACAATTTTTTCCTTGGATTTTTTTTTTTTTTTTTTTTTTTTTTAAATGATACAATTTGCCCTGCAATACAATTTCGTATCTTAATTTCCAGGTACGATATCATTCTTGATGCAGCTGGTATTCCGGAGTCAGAAATACCCAACTATTTGCCCTTACTGAAAGAATGGTCCTTAGCCAAATTTATTACTTTGAAGTCACCTTTGTTACGCAACATCGATGAAAATGGTGTTATCAATGGGATGATTCTGAACGGTTTCAGCCTTTTGGCCAACAATCTACCCAATCTATTCAAAGGAAGCACTGTTCGTTGGGGATTCTTCATGCCTTTGAATCAAGGTGTTAAGGAGATTGCGCATCTATTGGAAACAGGAAAGGTGAGTTTGTTTAGGAATGTTCTGACTTATTTAACTGGTATTAAAGGAGGTTGCTGAGCTGTAGCGAAATTCAATATCTCTGATGTCTGCAAGACCATGACTCTTCTTCTTAAGTAGCATCGACATTAAGATTTAGACTTTAAAAACGTAAAAAAGTTGTTGAAATGCATGCGCTCAAAACCCTTTTTGCCATTTTTAAGTAAGCTTCAAGTAAAATTTCAATAAATGAAAAATTAAGTGGCATACAAATTTTTCATGTTCTAAAAATCCCTAGTGATGCTGAACACAAAATGAACCACACATTTTGCAATGTAAAAAAAAAAACTAAAATTTTAAGTAGTGTTGATGTAAAATTGTTATTAAAATTTACTGAAATTACAAGATAATAAACTTGTTGAAGTTCAAAGTGGCATTTTTACTTAAATTAAAAACAAAAAGGGTTTTTGAAGTTTGACAGATTTTTTAAGAATTTTTTCTTTAAAATTTATGAGTTCTTTCTTTCTTTCTTTCTCTATATTTAACAGACAGTGCGTCTAGAGTGCCTTCACCTCCTTATCTCAAGATTCTTAAGACCTGTTTTTAAATTGTCGAGACATCAACAGTAGGAATCAAATTAGGACTTTTGAGCGAAAATTGCCTGCATGCAGTGGTCTCTACCGAGTAATGCACCAACTATGTAGGAGACCAAGTACAATATGAAACAGGGTGTAATGAAGTCTGCCGAAAAAATTGATGAGTATGCTCTTGGCTTAAAAAATAATTGAAAAATAATTTTAATGTAAGCCGTTGTCCTAAAATTTGAACAAGCAGCCAACCTTTCAATCCTATCATGTACAAACATATATTGCGTGTTTTATACAAATTAAGAGTTCACTCAAAGATATTTTTCCAGTGTCTCAATTTTGACTTTTTTAAACTTGTCACCTGTTCTCTAATACTTAAAATTTTGTGTTTTTCTCCCGCAGATGAAATCCGTCATTCACAAGGAGTTTGGCTTCCAAGAGCTAAAAGAGGCTTATCAAACAGTCAAAGATGGCCATTTGAGAGGCAAAGTGGTTGTGAAAATGGAGGATGAAAAGTAACTGAACCCCTCGTGCACATCTCCAAACTATTAAACCGGTGCGCTTTTGTTCCTAATTGTGTTTACTGAGTGCTTGTTAAATAATATCCTCTTTGTACCTGTAGCATCAAAGATGTGGTCATTAAAAAAGATCTCTATAATCAGAAAAAACAAAATTTTTCTTAAGAGTACAAGAATATTTTACTTTACAAGTTGAAGAGGTAGATTTAGAATTTGATCTTAAGCTAAGCTTGAATGTTTCCAAAAAGAGCTTTAAATCTATTCTTCATTATAAATGTAGATACTCATTCAAAACCTTTCTTGGAAGCAGAAATAACCATCTTTCAACTGGATCTGATCATTTTTTTCTTTCAACAAACAATTAGAAAACAATTGCCTTTCACCGCAGACCTCTCAAAGTCAAACAGTATTTTTTAGTACTCCAGCACATTGATGTATATTTCTCATATCCTTACCTAGTCATGTTGCCCAAATTCTAGTAAGAAATTAATATTCTACATGATTTTTGCCTGGAGAACGCAAGAAAATATAAGCACATATAAGAACTTGCAATATTTATAATAAATAAAAATGAGTACTTTTATTCATTTGATTTTTAAAATATGTACCGAAAATGTGTTTCTGTAGCCCAGCTACTTAAATGTACAATCAGTCTGTTAGTGAAGTTTGTATTTTACTTGTAAAAAGCAGTAAGAAGAAAGATTTTACTATGAAGAAAAAATTAGGGACTCAATGCTTTTAAAAAGAATACAGATATAGTTTGCTACCTATGATTTGTTGTAGCTACTCCAACGCATAATGATGAAATTTTACTTATCTATCATTATAGCACATTTAATCAAGAATCAACATCCAACTGTTTTCATTTTTAGCTGAAAATGCTGCTTTTGTTGTCTATTGGATCATCACAAACAAACAAACAAATTTTTCTTGTTGTATTTAAGTAACTTTAATCTTGTTGTTTTTTTATTTTTTGCTCAAATCCATAAAATAAAATTGTGAGTTTTTTTTACTTCTGATTTACTGATTTATTGTTGACTGATTTATTTTATTTGCATTCCAACAACAAAGATAATATTTCCTATCCTCCAGTCCTAAGCTAATGTATCGTGACTGCGTTTTCCCTGGTTTCGCATTTTTATCAAGGAAAAACTTCTTAGCAACCTCATTGCCCTCAGTATTACGTATTCAATTCTTGGGACTCATAGTAGGTACCTTGCTTCTGCTCAATATGGTTACCTAGAAACTTTTTTCATGATCACTAGATTTTTCTTGGTATTCACATATATGCAGGAAAGCGTAGGTATCTTGTTTATAATGTTTTAAAATCTCCATTATATTTATTAAAGTAGAATAAACCAACGCTATTTTTTGAAATTTTCACAGAATATTCGAAAGGTTTTTAAGCAATGATGTATTGAGTGAACATTAAACAATAAATACACGTGTACAAATTGTGTACATTAATTTCAATTTATAGGAAGTCGGTATAGGAAGTCGTTTAGAAGGGTCTCTAAGCGTGAAAATGGTGATGGCTAGAATAAACAAAATACTCTACCTCCTATTCATTTCTTACCCATACATTTTCTTTCATTAGTACCAAGTTTGAAATTTTGTCTATAGACGGCTGTATAGGTTCCACATCTGGAATATAAGCCAGTAAACCAACAGAAGAAGAAGAAGATTTCAATTTAATTTCAAATATATAATTTTGTTCTTATTTCTTTTTTTACGAGGAATCCTTTGGAAAAATCATAATGGAGGGCAAAAGCATCGTTTGGAGATTTTTGCCCTGCGGGCCACGCTATCATTTGAAGAGGGCAGGAGGGAAGGCTTGTTAATTAAATTTTGTTGACATGTTGATTAAAATTAGGGTCAGTTATGATGATTTTGATGAAGTTTTGAGAATTCTTTTCAAGTTTCACCCTGCTCGCCCTTTAAGTTGTAAATGTTGCCTCTTCTAAGCAAATCCCTCCCTTCCTCTAAAGCATGTACGCCCGCAGGAGGTGCCAGAAGAAATTCAAATTTCGCGGTAAAACTAATTCAACTCTCGAACGACATCACTCATCAGTTATTTTACCGGTTATTTTTTTGAGGTTAAGTTTTCCTGTTATGCTGTTGGTCTAGTTTATGATCTGCATTTCGCCCTCGGCTTTAATTTTTTACACCCTCTCAAATCTAGGATTATAATGTAATACTGTTATTATCTGCTTCGTAATTACGTGCTTACAGTTCTGTCAATAATTAATGGTATTCACTTACTTTATTTCAGTCGTGAAGTAAAATTTTCTCCATTTCTTCAACCTAGTTCTTCATGCTGTCCTATTGAAGTAAGTAAAATGTACCAAGGAGCGTATCAAACTCATTTCGCATAATTATACTTCATTTGTCTCAAATAAAGAGAGATCACAATCTTATTTCTTGTTTGGTGTTAGTTCCAAACCTCAAAATTTGTCCTGCTGAATCGTGAAGTAATGTAGATGGAGATCACAGTGTTTCGTTTACTTGAGCGTTGCAAATAACATTCTGTCAGCACACGTCTGCTCCCATTCTGAAATCTATTAAGCAGATTTGATCTGTACGAAATGTTGAGTCTGTTTTTTGAATACCTCCTAAGTTGTGACTCGAATGAAATCTAGTATCTAAATGCATCCTGTCATCCAATACTCATTTGCAGCAGATGCTGTTTAGCCGAATCTAGTTTTACAGTCAGTGCAATCCAAAAGAACATCTATTTTGTTAGCTCTTCTACGTAATTTTTATATTGGCCATCTAATGTGAGCTGAGGGTGTCAGTGTGTTGTCTGATGTTGCGTTAATGAGCTCATTTATCACTGCCTCGTTCATGGAAAACCACAATCCATTCGTCATATCAAGGAGAGATTGGATCCATGAAATTAATTTACCTCTAAATTAAGAGAGTGAATTAATCATCCTGATTCTCTAATTTTAACGTTGAACTCGCCAGTATAATAACAATCATACAGTTAAGAGCACTCTGGCTTTCTTTGTTATTGAAATTCATGGCATAAAATTTCAGTAACAAAGAAAGCCAGAATTCTCTAATTTAGTTGCTGTGCTGAAATGAAGAGGATGTATCCTGTCACATTCTAAAAGTCACCCAACTGATTTGATGCCAACTCAAGTATATAATGATTGCGTATCCCCAACAACAGTAAATTAAATGTTTTGTCAAGCATGTGCTTTATATCAGCTTTCAGAAAGTAATTTCAAAGTTTTATAATTGTAATTGACCAATTTTCAAGCAATCCATCGTAAAAGAGTAGCGGAAGGCCTTCCTAGCCGTTTGGGTACCATCCGACTCTACCCTATTCCAGTACCTTGATTTATACTTCTAACCTTGTGTTTGTTTTCATTCTCATAGGATAATGAATTCCAGTAGCCTTTTCAAGTCCTCTTTTCGAGGACTTGATGACAGTTTAAGTTCGTTACCATCAAGTGTCCAAGCCAGCCATGCTCGTCGGGAAAAAGGTAATTATAAAAATGAGTATAGGTAATGCAGATTTGAAACCAATAGTTGTAGGTATAGAAGAAAGAACCTCCATTTTTACGAAGTCAGGTCTAGGCATTTCCACATCAAGATAAATCTCACTAGAATTCTTCTCTTAGAAATTGTCCTACGTATTTATAGAATGCAGCACACGTCTGCAAAAAATGTCTCTTTGAAAAATGCAGAGGCCTAGAAACATTCATGTACTCTTGTGTAAAAATGGAAAGAGTTTTTTCAAAAAATTCTATCAGCACAACTCACACCTCCTTTTCTGACAAATTTATTTGTTTCAATACTCAAATTTAAAAATGAAAGCCCTTTTGAACATGTATAGATAAAGTTGCTTTACAACGCACTTTGGCGTTCTGCGACACCCAAACGCCACATATGCCATTCCTCCCAGAGGTTACTCGGGCATCTGACACGGCAACATCTCTTCGTCAACGCCCTGCCGCCACCCCTTTACGGGACATCCCCGTCGCCTCTTCCTAGGAGGTACCCAATCCAAAACTTGTTTGGGCAACCTCTCCTCCGACATTCTTTGCAAATGTCCATACCAGCACAACTACCTGGACATTACGTCGTGCACGATATCTTTTTTAACCTTCATCACCTGGCAAACTCTTTCATTACGGACATGATTCCGTCTCGAATGCCGGCAGATAGCTGCCAAAAATCCATTTCAGTTGCCCTCAACACTTCTTGCGTTCTCTCTGTCAAAGGCCACACTTCACTACTATAGAGCACGATACTTTTAACGATAGCGCCATATATCCGGTGCTTGTTTGCCTTTGAAATGCTCTGATCCCTGAGCATTCCGATCAGCATTGCGATGCTGAACATGCCTTTAATATAAATTCTTGTACTTTATCCTCAAAAATTTGAAGCTTTAACTTTGGTTAATTTAATAATAAATAAAAGAGAAGAAAAACGTAAAAAATAATGTAGAAATAGGTTACAGTTTATGATAGTTCATAGGTTTTGATGAATTAAAACCCATCACTATCAAGTCGTAAGAGCAGAATTATATGTTGTAGTCCAAATGTCACGGTGCGCCAAATTATGGGACTTGCCTAAGTATACCCAGTGAAGGGTAAATATCCATTTCCACAAAAAGCTCAAATCATTTTTCACTTATCAAGTTGCGAAATCCTCTTTGCTATGGTTTGTGCTTTCAATGATATGAAACTTATTAGGCTCTAAGCTTTCGTACTTAAAATCAACTGCACTTATCAGATATCTCGTTTGTTTGTTCCTCTAGCTCTGGCCAGCAGTTTCCTCAATGACTCTGATGTTTATTCTCATCGACCATCCAAGTACCTGAATGATCTCTCGATCACAATAAATCAGAATGAAATGTCAGAGCTTTTTGACTCTACTGTCGCTACCACTACTACCAAACAACCTGATATGGGTGAGATATTGAAATAATTTTTTATTTTGCTGAAAGTGGCCTCTAAGCAAATGAACAGGTGCAGAATGTTAGCTCAAGATTATGCCTGAAATTGAGAGGCTTATGTTCTATCAACTATTTCCAACAAAAATATAGGAAGAAAAAAAACAAACACAAGATGGCCTCCTTAAACATTTCAAAGGAAAATTGTGAACAGATACAAAATACATCATTGTAAAAACTTAGCATGTCATGTGTTTACTTTATTGGAAAAAGGTTTGAGCATCTCAAATTTAAATAGTTTTGGCTAAGAAACTCACTGCTATAATCTTTCTGTAGTTTTTTTTTTAGTGTTTGCCAAAAAAAGTGGTGTCTCGTATCAGTCTGATAAAATTTTCCAACAGATCCGAATTTAAGAAACTTAAAAAATAACCGTTCATCTGCCTTTTTTTTACTGCGAAAGTCAGTAACTGGTCTGGGAGAGGAATTCTTGTCAATTCTCAAGAAATGTTTCCTTGAAAAATTTTATTGTAATAAACTCTTGAGGCTTTTAGTGAGATTCAAACTCTCCTGTATTGTGTGAACTTAACTACATATACGTAAGCTTAATCTGGAGAAACAGTTGCAAAATTGAAATTAAATAAAGTACTGGAAAGTTTCAAAGTATTTCACAATTTGAAGCAGCAAAGCCAAATTTAAGTACTGACTTATTGTCCTACTGTTATTGCCAACTGGAGACACTGAGGCTGCCAGTCTTGAAATAACTGAGAGTCACTCTTCCCTTGATTCAGGCATTCAAATTTTTTTTATGGTGTATTCAAGATGTTTAAGTTGCCTCTCATAACACTTGAGGCCTCCCTTGTAACCATTTTGTATAGACTTAATTTTATTTAATATGAATCATGTTTTTTTTAATTTTTTGTGTTTATTTCCTTTCCAGTTTGTGATTCCCTTTTCCGAGAATTCCAAGAAATTTTGGAGTCTCATAGCTCTTCAGGACAAATTTTCCAAACTATTTCTGATCTTGAACAAAATTGCACCAATGCCATTGAAATCCTTTCAGAAAACAAATTTAATTCCTCTGCTGTAAGTTGAATTTAATCTTTCTTTCCGTAATTTTCCTTTTAGAGCTTACTTTACTTACTTACTAACGGCGCTACAGCCCTGGGTGGGCTTTGGCCTCCATAACAATTTCTCTCCACATCCCTCTATCTTTGATTTTTCCACTCCATCCTTTTATTTGCATTTTCTTCAGGTCTTGCTCAACTCCGTCTAGCCACCGAAGCCCAGGTCTTCCTCTCTTTCTTGCTGACAATATTTTAGCTTTCAGCACCTTCTTCGGCATCCTTTCTTCTTCCATTCTTTGTACATGGCCAAGCCAGCTTATCCTTTGCGATTTGATAAACCTTACGATATCTTCATTTTCTAGGATCATTTCTATTTCTTGGTTGCTTCTAATTCGCCATTCTTCATTGATTTTCACCGCTCCATAAATTCTTCGTATGATTTTCCGTTCAAATCGCCTCAGCATGTGCTGGTCTCCTTCTGTCATGGTCCAGGTTTCACCACCATACGTTACTACTTGTCTTATTAACGTTTTGTAAATTTGCATCTTTGTTCTCCTGGACAGCAGTTTGCTCTTTAGCATCTTCAGGTTTGCGTAATAGGCTCGGTTTCCAGCCTGTATCCTGTCTTTAATTGCTGTCGTTGTTTTTGCTTCATTATCCAACAAATTGCCAAGATACTTGAATTTTTCGACGCCTTCAAATTCCTTCTGGTCTATGAACAGACTGCATGGTTTTCTTCTCACTTCTGATTTTGACAATACCATATACTTGGTCTTGCTGACATTCACTATCAGGCCCAAGTTTTTGGCTCTCTTCTCTAATTCCTGGTATATTTCAATTAGTTTCTCTTTCGTGCGTGCTATTAGCGCTATATCGTCTGCATATGCGCATATCTGGCTGGACTTGTTGAATATTGTTCCCCTTTGATCGATATGTTTTACAGCTAGATGCAATGCCACCAGGAAAAGGGTGCCTGATAGTCCATCTCCCTGTTTTACACCTTTATTATAATTTAGAGCTTACTACACTACTTTTAAGCTGAAAAATATTTAAGTCTAGTTGAGAACAGTTGATTCTCCTCTTCAAATCATCTATTGTCATCAAGGTATTGAAGATAAAATTCTAACTGTCGTATTATAGCACCATTGTGCTTAACACTGAAATAAAAAGTATTTCAGCACATGAATGAGAGGCTTGGCAGCTGGAAAAACTGACGTAAGGTATGCTAAGAGCAATGGAAATTGATTTTTCGAGGAGGTCAGCTGGAATTTCTAGAAAGGATTGGGTCTCTAGTGATAGAGTGCATCAGATCATGCAAGGATGCAGAAAACCTAACCCTCCCCATCATTCAATCAACCTATCCTCATTTTTAACAGGAATTCATAATCTCTCTCTCGAAAAGAAAAACAAATTTCTACCCTAAAATCGGACTTTTCATCACTAAAATGCCATATTTACTAGGGAGTTTTCCCATCTCTCGCAACTGGCATCTAACCAGGCCGGTTAGTGGTCGAAAAGTTTCTGCACCTCTAAGATGACGAAAGTTGAAAATGACATCTTATCAGACGTCATAACCAAACAACTAGTCTGATATGGTCACATGAGCAGGATGACAGAAGAAAAACTGCCAAAAAAATTGCTTAATAAGGTTCCTCTTGGGAGGGGACAATGGGGAAACATAATGAAAGGATGATGAGACAGCTTTGATCAAGGAATTAGAGAGTGCTAGCTCCCAGAGGGGACCTGGGGAGTCAAGGCATCAAAAAGCGGTGTAAAAGCGCCCTCATATACGTAAATACTTACCATTAATGTATTGGATGGTTTACTTTAGCTGGACAAGTATGAGACAATTTATTATAAAGCCACAAGTTGATTCAATCAGGAAACCTTTTATGTAGAGGAAAGATGACTTCTGAGTAGGAGACTGCTACAGAAGAAAAAAAAATTAACCCTAAATATTTCCAAATCACCTGTAGAAACTTGATTAAGTAACCCAAATTTTTAAATAAGTTGCTTTTTCATTCCAGCATCCAGAAAAATATGTCTCCTAGAAATGTTAGCCTCTTTTAACAAAAAGTCCAACTGTACTTACTCAAAGTATGAAAACTAATAAGATTCTTCATAGTGTTGTTATAAATGTTTGAAGCTTTGAACAAAGTCCTTTTGTGAACCTTATTTGTTTCAATTTTTCAGGAACTATCTCGACTGGAACTTGAAAGAAATACCTGGAGATTATTGAATGCTCTTTATCAGAACAGGTTGAACCCGGACAATATGGACGAAGATGAAGCTATGAACTTATTCTCACCAAGTGATCGTGACACAGTTGCTCTTATTTTGAACAACAGCAACCGTCTGAGAGAGGTAATAAGTGGCAATGGGTGTATTACTAGGAATAAGAGAGCAATTTATTTCAATTATTCGGGTATCAATGTAAAGATTTAAGAAGCAATTCCTAAGTCCAACTCTTGAAATGCGTTCCACAATTGTGTTTCAAAATTTCTGTTTTAGTTAGGTTTTTACAGGGTCACAAACCATCAATTTTGTTTGAACATCAACAAAATTTCCTTTGAATGAAAAATACATTTTTCAAGAGGGGACATTTGAGTTTCATCCATTGAGAAGAAAAAGAAATTGGAAATGAAATCTGGACAGCTTGACGATAACCGCTCTCAAAAAATGTGCCTCTCTGTGGTGAAGTCTCTTTTCCTGTGAAGCATAGATTAAATTTTGCAGGAAGAAATGACTATCTCTGGCCCACCTACGAAAGTACTTTCTGTACAGGGAAACTATTGTCCCATAGGTTGTTTCAGAAATGAGCCAGAAAAAAGTTTAAAACAAAATCAAAGGCTTACTAGCCTAAGTAATTTTTTCAAAACATTAATTATTGATTTTAATCAAGCAAAGAATCTCCAAGACTTACAAAATAAATAAGTAGTTCCTCATCGCCAAATGTAGTCCATGTGTCTCATTTTTGCCCCTGAAACAACGCCAACATTTTTAAGGAGAAACACCAGGTTATCTGTACTTTTGAAGAATTGAACTCTTAGTCGCACTGTGTTTGTTTCTCAGTTTGCATCTAATAATGTCTAAGTACTCTTAATGTGAATTTTTTTGACTTGTTGATTCTCCAAATAAGAGGATCTAAATATTTATTTTCTAATAACTTTTAGTGGCAGTTAGTCATTGATTGGCTGGAAAAGTGTGCTGCAGATCAGTCCAAGCGTGCGATGCAGCCAATGGTTGGCCATTTCTTAGACAAAACAGTTGGCTGGGAAAACACATTGTACCAGTTACAGGTAGGTTTCACTGCTATCCTGGAAGTTTTGAAGTGCTTTGTCTCATTGCTGCCATTGCGATTTTAAGTTTTGTTAATCGTTTGAATTTAAAAGTTTAAAACTTAAGCGGAATTTTTAAAAACTCTAGAAAACAAGTTTGCTAAAGAAACTTTAAACAGCATTAACCTCTCCGTTTGAATTGGCCACGAAACAAGGTTTGAAGCAAATCACTACATTATAAGTTTCCTTTTCAAAATTCTATGCAGTAAATGCTTTCTAAGAAGCTTAATTGCGTATGGATTTATGTACTCCTACGAGGTGTACCCGCATCTATAACTCACTTTTTTGATGAGTCAGTTATCAACTGTCACATGACAAAATATTGGCCTTTGATCTGTCAGCAAGTGAATAATCAAGATTTTCTAAAAACCTGTGATTGGCGAACTGAAGTGTCACAGAAGAAAAATACTAAAATTGTGGTCCAAATGCAGTAAGGAATAGGATGGTAGAATAGTCCTGAGTCCACACAACTCTGCGGAGAATTTAAAGCCAGGAAAAGGATCCCATATCGATGACCAAAGTTTGCAACCATGTATCCCTGTTTGCAATGTTGGAGATTTCCTGTCATACTTTACCTTTTTCTTTGTAAAACTCGTCAAAGTAATTTCTTGAAAACTTCTTCAGCTTTTCCTTCTTGTCAGCATAATATTCTGTATATATTTTCAGCTGTAAAGTTGTCTGATTTCTCTTCAAAAAAATAAAATAGGAGTGGAAATTTTAAAACAAGGAGATACAAGATTTTGCACTTCATATCATATCAATGTAGTTCTCACAGCAGGAAAAAAAACCACCTTATCAAACAACATATGTACTATCTAAGGATGGAATCCATGAAAAGTGGAAAATTCAATTCTCCTATAAGATACTTGTCCTAAGATAATAACCTAACCTTTATTTACTTGCTGGTTTTTTTTACATGCAGAATACTCAAATAACTTATCAAAGCTCAAGACCAATCATCACCGAATTGGATCCTGATGCTCCTGCCCGTCAGAAGAAGCCTCTTCACGACCTAGATGCGGTAATTTTTTTCCTTGGTTTTATATGCACTACCTCAGTACGTCTTCTCCAAGATCATAGACTCATGTAAATTGCCAAACATACCTTTATTTGAAGATTGTTAGCTCAACTGAAATTCTCGAAGGTTAACTCTCGAGTCACCAAGTTTTTTTTTCAATTTAATGGCAAAAAATTGAGTGTATTATTTTTATTGTATACCAATATCATCGGCTAGAACCAAACTTTTACATTTATTTGAAATTAACAGCAAGAAATTGATGTTCATCAAGAGAATTCGATAGGTAGGAAGTTTCAATCTCCTCAACATTTTTAAGCAGAAATCTTGCCTCTTCTGGAAGAAGAGTGTTAGAAGTTAAATTTTTGGACAAAGTCTGACATCTGCAGGTTGACTAATTAATTATATTTTAACATGACAAGGTATCAAAATGTAACACATTGCATGGTAAAGATACAGCTTTTGTCTTGTCTTGTCGTCCCAACATAGTCTTAATAGGGGTTCTGACGGTCTGGAAAACCTTGACAGTCAGGGATTATACAGCGATCTGAGTATATCAGATAATGCATAGAAATTGTCGGGGAATTTTGCGTTCTGGCTCAGTAACTTCAGCTGTCACCATCGGAGAAAGCAGGAACAACTGCCAAATGCCTTTAGACGTGAAAATTTCATTCATAGTTTAGCAAACGTCAGTTTAATTGGATATTGCCTTTTTCACTTTTCAGGAAGATGAAACCAGACTATTTGAACAAATTTTAGCAGAAATTCGGTGTGGTCGTTTAGATTCTGCACAGAGCTTATGCTATCATTGTGGGCAGCCCTGGAGAGCTGCAATTTTAGAAGGCTGGAGGCTCTATCATGATCCAAACTATACAGCAGCTGATTCTTCAGAGCTGTATCCAATCGAGGGAAATCCAAATAGGTGATCAATCTTTAAAATATACAGAGAGTTGCGTTTTAAGAAAATTACATTAACTCTATGATAAAAGGGACCCTCAAACCAAAGGGACCTTTACAAAATTGAACATTGCCTACAAGAATGGAGAGGCTGTAACTACATATTTTGTTTCATGGTGTCAGACCGTAAGTATCCATTACTTATGGAAAACGAGGATCATCTCTGGGTTATCCAAGCTTCGATGAATGAGACAGTCCCTGTGTCAACTAATCAGAGAGATCTGAAGCTGCATGAGCAATTCGTTTGGATGGTAGTGGAGTTACGATTTCCGATATGTAGCCTTTATTCCCACAATTAATCAGGCTTCATTCATGGACTAGTCGGTTTTTCTAAAGTGGATTCTAGTGAATTTTTGCATCAAGTCAACCTTTCAAAAAATGTCAGCATAAAACCAACGGGCATCATACGTTTTCCCATAAACACTCATGTTAAACCGCAGCAGAGTTTCATCCACTAGTGTAACATCACAAAAACATAGTTGCGGCCTTTCCATTCTTATAGGCAACAAATCAAATGCTTTTTTTCCACCATTCCACCATATTGCACTTTTGTGAATTCATCACAAAAATCCAATGAGTTTAATAAAATCAAAAACATTTCTCTGTTCGAAGCATAGTTGGTTTATAACATTAAAATTTTCAAGATTTCTGAGTTCTCCATTTTTTTATAGTGTCTTGTAATTTACGAGGGGCGTTCAATAAGTAAGTATCCCTCCTCTCTAAAATCAATATGAATGGACCAATTTTAAAAAACTTGGGCTCAAAATCTTTCTTAGGATATATTGAGTTCAATAAAGCAAACCGCAACAAAATCGGACCATGTGCGGCGGAACGCGAGCCGTTTGAACGCGCCGAGGTGCATGCTGCTCCCGCCGAATCCGCGGAGATTTGAAGTCCGCGACAAGAGAGGAGCTTCTCTGCCAACGCTCCAGTCGTTCATCACTGACGAAAAATCAAAGAAGTTTTTGTAGAATAAGGGGTTTACCTCACCTCTCCACATAACCAGCTCGATCCAAGCAGGTCTGATACTGATTGTGAGACTGAGAGAACAGCTTTTGGATACCACGCGTGCCGAAGTCTTTCAACTGGCTGGGGATGAAAGAGTTGACGGCTTGTTTGACCTCCTCCACTGATTCAAAATGAACTCCCCCGAGTTCAGACTTTAGATACGGTAATAAATGGTGGTCTGTTTTGCCATTTATCACCGTTTCTAAAATCTGAACTTGGGGGAGTTCATTTTGAATCAGTGGAGGAGGTCAAACAAGCCATCACCTCTTTCATCCCCAGCCAGTTGAAAGACTTCTGCACGCGTGGTATCCAAAAGCTGTTCTCTTAGTCTCACAATCAGTATCAGACCTGCTTGGATCGAGCTGGTTATGTGGACAGGTGAGGTAAACCCCTTATTCTACAAAAACTTCTTTGATTTTTCGTCAGTGATGAACGACTGAAGCGTTGGCAGAGAAGCTCCTCTCTTGTCGCGGACTTCAAATCTCCGCGGATTCGGCGGGAGCAGCGTGCACCTCGGCGCGTTCAAACGGCTCGCGTTCGGCCGCACATGGTCCGATTTTGTTGCGGTTTGCTTTATTGAACTCAATATATCCTAAGAAAGATTTTGAGCCCAAGTTTTTTAAAATTGGTCCATTCATTTTGATTTTAGAGAGGGGGGATACTTACTTATTGAACGCCCCTCGTATGTTCTATAAGAAGTTATCTACTATCCTTTCTTTTTAAAATTGAGAGGGAACTATTCCCTTGCCCTTAAAAAAAGTTAAAATTCATGGAGAGAGAATGTTAGTCTATGTTTGATGTTCAGAATGCTAGGTTTCAAAATCAAATATATTTCCAACAAGTTTTCTTATATGGTCATAATCTCTATTGTTCATTGTAGAGGAATCTGGAAGTTGTGCGCCTATCGCTTGTCAGAAGAGTCCAAATGTTCTCCAATCTGGCGTGGAATTTTAGGTGCTCTGTGTGGAAATATCAGGGCACTATTACCTGTTTGCAAACAGTGGGAAGATCTGTTGTGGGCATACGTGAAAGTGCTCGTTGATGTTCAAGTGGAGAAGGAGCTTCGAAGCTACAGTACTGCTGCTCCCATGCCTCCAGCATATTGGAATTATCAGTAAGTATACTATAAACTAAATTGAATACTCTAAGTGACAAGGACGGAAATTAGAGGTGATGCAAGAGTTAAATATTTGCAAAATTTGAAGAAATTTCATCCAGAAAAGATCAACTTTTAAATCAACTTTTAAATGTCCTTTTTTTTTTTTTTTTTTTTTTTTTTTTTTTTTTTTTTTTTTTTAATTCTTGTCTCGTTCGATGTACATATATTCTTTGTTCAAATATATTTCACTAGTCAAACAGTCAAATGCTCAGTTTTAAATCTCTAAAAAAATACTACATTGGCAGTGAAATGTCTTTGCTGCAATATTTTTGAGAAGCAATTGAAAGAGCTTGATGCAAAAACGGCTTTTTTCGCCCCCCTCTGGAAGTTCTTCAGACTTTGCGCTTCTTTTCCCAAATTTTCAGACCCCCAAAAAATTTTGGGGGGGAGCTAGGGGGGGTGGAAGTCAAAACCTGTGAACCTCGATATCTCTTGAACAAAGAAAGATATTGAGGTCCAGTTTGGACGAAAAATCGTCTAAAATTGCATACTTTAAGATTCTAAAGGTCAAAATCCCGATATCACATTTTTAAGTTAACATATGTGCTTTTTTCCAGTTTTTAGGTCAAGAAAATTTCTTTTAAACGAAAAATTTACAAAGATCTCAATTTTTTATTTGAACCAAAACCAGTTTTTTAAATTGTTCGTCTTTTTCCGCATCCAACGAGTGGTCGTATAAGCTGGGGAACCGAACGGTTCCGGAGTTATGATCGATTGAAGTTTCCGCTCAACGCGCGCCGACCGATTTTCGCGCGCAAAAAAGTCGGATTTGACTGTTATTAGATCAGATTGAATGTTCAAACTGAGCAAAATGCTTTATTAGGGACTCTTGAGGGTCGCTGAGTCCAGAAATTACAGATACTTCCAAATAATTTACGTTTTTAAAATTACAGCTCCGCAGCGCTATTTTAGAGGCCCACTGAGCGCCGACCGGCCGCTCAGTGGTCCTGTCCGAAGCTGCAATTTTAAAAACGTGAATTTTTTGGAAGTATTGGTAATTTCTGGACTCAGCGACCCTCAAGAGTCCCTATTAAAGCATTTTGCTCAGTTTGAACATTCAATCTGATCTAATAACAGTCAAATCCGACTTTTTTGCGCGCGAAAATCGGTCGGCGCGCGTTGAGCGGAAACTTCAATCGATCATAACTCCGGAACCGTTCGGTTCCCCAGCTTATACGACCACTCGTTGGATGCGGAAAAAGACGAACAATTTAAAAAACTGGTTTTGGTTCAAATAAAAAATTGAGATCTTTGTAAATTTTTCGTTTAAAAGAAATTTTCTTGACCTAAAAACTGGAAAAAAGCACATATGTTAACTTAAAAATGTGATATCGGGATTTTGACCTTTAGAATCTTAAAGTATGCAATTTTAGACGATTTTTCGTCCAAACTGGACCTCAATATCTTTCTTTGTTCAAGAGATATCGAGGTTCACAGGTTTTGACTTCCACCCCCCCTAGCTCCCCCCCAAAATTTTTTGGGGGTCTGAAAATTTGGGAAAAGAAGCGCTCAAGTATGAGTAATCAATAGACAAAGTCTGAAGAACTTCCAGAGGGGGGTGAAAAAAGCCGTTTTTGCATCAAGCTCTTTAAAAATATACCATAGATGTATCTACTTGCTGCAGATTTGCAACGTATTTCCATAGACAAGTTTTTCAAAAATCCATTTACCAGGTACCAGGCTTCCCGTAGCAGCAATTATTTGATTCCCTCTCATGAAACTTGCCTCCCCTTTCGTCCCCCCTTCCCCCCACTCTAACATCTCTAATCAGGAAAAAATATTCATGAATTACTACAAGTGAATTGTAAAAAAACATTGCTTATTATTAAACCGCTTGGCTGAACCATTGAAAGTTTCCTCTGCACTTACTTATCAATCATTAGAGGCTAACCTTGAGGTCTCATTAAGTTTAAAATTGTTCATTAGTTTTTAAAGATCAGTTTTCATACTCTGTTTTTACTATCTGCACATTCTCTATGCCTATCGATGTTATTCCTCAGGTTGAGTATGGATGAGATTTTCCAAGAACTCTCAGGTAACCCCGACTTCAAAATCCGCAATGAAGCCCAAAAGCCCTCTCGCATTATTCAACAACTCTTGATCCTTAATCGACCATCAGAGCTCATGTCAACAATGGCGCAATGGGTCACGCAAGAAGCCTGTGACCCACATTTGATCCGTACTGCTGCACATTTAGTTTTAATCTTGAGGTTGCTTGGTCAGTCTTTCAGTAGCGCCAGCAGTGATACCATCTTGCGTGCCTATGTTAAGGTTCGTTGATTATGAATTTTACCATACTTCCCAGAAATTTCAATTTTATACCAGGCTTAATTGAGGACCATGCCGGAAGAAGGGCGTATCTCGAGATACGCCCTTTTTTCAACATTCTGCTTTTCTGATTCTACGTCGAATAGTGAGAGTATCCTCCAAGTTTGAGAAAAATCTGTCGATTTGTTACGTGAATAATTGACCTGTAAAGTACACCGAAGATACGCCCTTCTTCCGGCCAACGAACTTTCTCCTCTTATTTACACATTTTGCCTTCCGTGATATGGATTTTTACCTGTTTTCTGGTGAAAGAAGTGTCACTTCCATTTTGTTCTCATTAGAAGGAATAGTTTTAGCCGAATAGAATGATTATTTATTCATTTTTATTTACTGTACATCACAGAACGTGAAATGTGAGAGTTACGATTTATTGCACATATTACATTAGTAATGTTAATGCAGTCCGAAGCTTTAAGTTTCGGAGTTGTTCGGAGTTGCAAGTTTATAAACAAATTCTCGTGACTCTATGTATGTTTGATGTAAGATACACAAGTACGCGATAGTGAAATCTCCCAAATGGCTGCTGTGATGACGCGCCGCAGCGTGGAACTTCCTACATATATCAGCCACCTTACTCGCAGGCGCGAACGTATACTTCTCGAGAATATTACGAAAAATATTGCAGAAACTTTGCAACATCGGACAGATCTTAAGTTTTTTAATCAATAAAAGTGGAAATCTGTCGCATGAACAACTACAGAATATTCAACATGGGTTTTTTTATTGAAAATGATTACCCGACGAAGCGCTTGGGGGGTTGGAGTGGGAAGCGGTCAAGGGGCGTACCTTATCTGAGAGTTAATTAAATTTGGCAACATTATAAGATCAATGAAGCTTAACAGACAAGAGCTTACAGAATTTTCATCAGATACTCTTGAAAAATGACAAGAAAAGTTCTCTTTTTTTTTTTTTTTGAATGATTAAATCGACGCATTTTCCATCCTCATAAAATTGGAGCATTCGGTGATGAAGGTTTGGCCATTGAAAAGTTCATTTTTACGGACAATGTATCAAACTTTTAAGCAACACTCGGTTCAAACATATAAGGAATTCCACAGTTTAAAATGACAACCAAAGAAAAGACAATAATTTTAAGAAGAAACCGCTATACCAATAAGGTTCATTTCTGGACGATTGGCAACACAGCATATCCCATACCGTTGGAAGGGGGGGGGGCAAGATGTAATTGATATTAGACAAACAGAATCCAATGGGTGCAATTCGTAACCAATTGAATGTTCGACCACCTTTGGAGACCCTCCAGACTCAATAAGGAGCAACAGCGGATTATAACAGTTTTCCGACGACAATAACAATGCACTTTTCTCATGTACGTGCAACCGGAAAAGTTCAGTTTTTTCCGCTAATAAACCTCCGATTTTAAAAAACTATAGCTCGTTAGAAAGCTGAAGAAATTCTGCAGAAACCGTTTTCTTTGATTTCCTTTAAATTAATTTTGTCACGAGATACAAAAGAAGGAAATCAACTTAGTAGTGAATTTAGTGTCTTCAGCAATCACAAGTGCGCCCAGAAAAAGCTGGGTTTCTCTGCAACCAGTGACCCGATCTTTAAAAACTTTGGATCGTTAGAATACTGAAATGTATTAGCAGAAAGTCATTTCCCCGATTTTCTTCTTTTTCATTACTTTATGAGTTATCGAAGAAAAACGATCCTCTTTTTTATCGTACATACAAGGATTCCGAAAGAAGGGCGTATCTCTGGCTTACTTTGTCCAATGATTACAGAGGGCAAATTATTTATTTCTTTTAAACTTTTAATGGATTTCAAAGCTGTAGGATCTAGTTTAAGAGAATTGACTTTGGTTTAACCAACTGCTGCATTTCATTTTTCGGGACACCATTTCAAATCTTCAAATGCGTTTTTCTAACGACGCTGAACCTTGTACATACGCCCTTCTTCCGGCATGGTCCTCAATTGTTCAAGGCTTTGCCTTGGAATAGAATTTTTGCATTTAATTGGACAGATTCCTCTCTTCCAAGGCTTAGATATTCTTAGTTATATTCATAGATTACTAGAGTGATCTTTTTTAAAATTTAAATTGTTACTTTCTGTCGGCGTAATTCAAAAGATCAAATCATATTATCATCTCTGCGAATAAGTTGTGAACAGGTTAGCTCATTTTCATGCCAATAGCAGGCTTAGAGATAATGATCCCGCTCTGAACCAAGGACAGCAGACTACAACTGTAACGAACTTTTCTGCAAAAAATGCAATTTTTTGAAATTCTGACCTCAAGCTTCTATAACTCGACCTAGGTTTTCATCTCTAGGTGGTTTTTCTAATGTTTATGAAATTATTTTTAAATACTCATCTGAACAATTGTACCAGTATCTCTACTTTAAATTGCTCAGCAATGAGGTTTTTACCCTGCAAACTGGTTAGTATGAATAGTCGCCTCACTTCATATCCTTCTTTATATGCATGTAATTTTGAAACATGGAGTTCAATATTTAGAAGTTTGTTATAACAGCTTATCGACGGTGTAAGTCGGCAATCACATAACTCGGTTTGCGACGTTGCAGACTTCCTGTCATACTTTATTTTTTAAATGGAAAACTACTCAATAGCGATTCTTTAAAACTGCCGTGATTTTTTCTCTTTGTGTGAAGAAAATTCTGCATAAGCTTCAACGAATGATGTCAATTTGTTCTCCTTAGAAAAAATAATATAGAGGCGGTGATTTTCAGACACTGCAAACGAGTTAAGTGACTGCCGACTTACACCGTCGTTATGTAACTGAAACGTCATATTTGAGCTTGTTTCAATATACATTGTTGTTGTTGCACATAATACATAATCATTAAAGTAGATAGACAGCTCATGAAACCCTCTACTTTTTGTTTGAATAGAACTTGTTGACACTGCATGGTGGCAATGAATTAAACTGATAGGGAAATGTCTGAGTGCTTCCAAATATTTTAAATTTCTGTTGGTAGACTTTTTAAAAATTTATTTTACACCCCTTTCCTAGATTTTCTGCGTTTCTATTCTTCAATCTTCAAGGATTTCTCATGTAAAATTAAAAAATTCTTGCCTACAAATCAAATGTGACCAAAACTTCGTCAGAAATGGATTACTTGGGTCTCAAGAATCAGTTAATGTATCCTTGTTAATTTCGAAAAATTTTAGTCAAGTTTCATGCAGGAGTGCCTCCACCGATCTTTTAGCTTATAGTATACAAATAGGTAATTAAGGACATCCTCTCCTTTTTTAGGTTTTAATGAATCTTCGGGATCCAAATTTAGTAGCGTACTATACTGCAACACTCTCCCGTGATGATCAGATATCTCTCTACTCCCAATTTTTGGAGACAATCACCGGGCTGGAAGAGCGAGCTGCTTGCCTGGAAGCTGCAAGTGTATGCTCCTTACCAGTTGAAGTTATCGTTCAGAAGGTTGTGGAAAACAGCAGGTAACTTTGAAGACTTGCTTCTTTATTTGGTTGACTCAAAAGCCTTTTAAGTGTTACTAAGAAATTCAGGAATTGGATGATGTACTAACTTGCCAATGACCCCGAATGAGTAATTGAAGAGTAATTGAAGAGTAATTGAAAAAGAGATTGTTCACATGGTCGGCTATAAACTTGGAAACCAAAGAATAAGGGCATATCATACACTCGTTAAATATCCTTAACACTTTTTTAAGAAAAAGTAAGTACAAAGATTGAGTACAGAACTAACTCTTATTTTTTGAGGGTACCTACAGTCCTTCATCATCGTCATTTTTACTGCAGACCACATTTTGATTCCGTAGGGATCAACTGAAGATCCATCAAATTGCGAAATCTACTTTTTTAAGGTATCTCTAATGGGGGCTCTGCATTTATTCTCATTTGTGTGGCCGTTCAAATCATTAGGGAAAAATGAGAGATCAAAATTCTAATGAAATATTATTATAATAAAATAATATTCTAATAAAATAATTTTTCCTCAATGTTGAATGATTTCAATGCCTTTCTGTTTTCAGATTAAAAGAGTCTGATCTTTCTACTACACTGGTTCCTGAAACTTCAGAGGAAGATAATGCAAAGATTTCAGCCCTTGATTGGATAGTATTCTACGAAAGCCAACGAGCGGAGGCATTGTGGCAAACAAACGCGCTTGTCCGGTACTTCATATCTCATGACAAGCTTGATGCAGCTCGCAAAGCTTTTGATAAGGTGTGTATCGACAGAAACATGTATTTTGACCACTTGTAGATTGCATATATGGATGACTGAGCTAAGTGATTTGTTTGATGTTGTTTCCAAAATCACAATTGTTAGAGAGTGTGGCCAGCACAACAAATATGGGCCCCTTCACTGGCTCATTATTACAAGAAATTATACCATTGAAAATACATTAATATTTTCTTTTTATTTTCCTTCCTTGTGAATGATATCAAGTATAATCATTTTGATTGAAGAGGAGTCTTTTGAAAGGCTACATTGTTCATATGTTGCCATAAAAAACAGACTTAATCTATTGTTTACGACAAAGCACAAAAACATAGCCCGAATTTACAAATAAAGAAGGAGATTTAATTAAAATATGGGTGAACAAGGTTAAAAATTATTGAAACCCTAAAAGGCAGGACGTTTCGAGCTGCTACCAGCTCATTTTCAGCTGCAAAAAACACATAAAACCAAGTAAAAAATTGTGTGGCGACCTGACCCCAGCCGTTATCACGTAACCACTGAGTAGTTACGTGAGAACCGTTCTCAATTTTTTACTTGTTTTTTATGGGTTTTTGCAGCTGAAAATGAGCGTAGCAGCTCGAAATGTCCTGCCTTTTAGTGTTTCAATAATTTTTAGTCTTGTTTACCCATATTTTAATTAAATCTCCTTCTTTATTCTATTGTTTACTTGGCGACTTCAGTTAGTATGTACTTTCCTCTCATCATAAATATCGACAAGTGTCTGTACCACTCTTACTTATTCCCCATCATTTTTATTTCAGATTCCACCAAATTCTGTTGTTCTTGTCTTGACTCAGCACCATTGTTCTGTCATTGATGATGTCACAGATTTCAGCAGAATGCCAAGTAGAGTCAATTGTGCAGTGCGAGAATTTTTGTGCTACAAAGCATATCTAGTAAGCTTTTACTGTTTTTCTGGGTCCAAATCCAAATCTTTAAGCTATCTTTTAGTCATCTCCCTTTGAATATTTCAGACTATATTTTAACGTATTTTATTTCAATATATTTTTATTTGCTTGAAAGTCACCTTTTAAGCTCTTTTATCCAATTTATTTTCTAATATTATGGCTATGCTCTCAGAATGGCAATTACAAAGAGTCTTCTTCGCTGCTCATATCTGAAAAATTCAATCAAAAATTCAGAACTTCCTCAAGGAAAAATTTGTCTTTAAGAATTGTAAGTACAGGCAAGGGCATATGCAGAGAGCTTATCCAACAGTGCTACCGCATGAAGACTGATCATCAATAATGGGCTAAATGCCAAAAAGTTTATTTTGAGTTATTCATGTTTTTATTTCTGACAACTGGCGCGGAACATGCCATTAACGCTGTTTTCTGGACATTATATGAATTTCTCTAGTGTTAATGGTACTTAGACCATGTTGCATCATATTGTCCTTGGTGCCAAGAACAAAATTCCATATCTAACTCAATTTTCGATTTTTTGGCACTTTGCTTGTCATTGATCATAAGTCTACATATGGAACGTATCTTGATTGCACTTTTTCATTTTATCCCATGAACATTTCAATTTTTCAAAAGAGAATGAATTTGCATGAATTTGCCTGAAACTTTCAGCGATTATTTCTTACATTTTTGATTAAAGACGCTAAGATTTCATAGGTAGTCTTGTAACGGTTCTTTAATGAAAAAATGAAGTGTTCGAGAAATATTGAAACAACTCGAGCAATATTTGCTCCTCCGTGCAGGAGACAACGATGTATAATCCTGCATCAAAGTACTGAATATCAGTGCACATCCCTAATTCTTTCCATACGTAAATGTAAGAAACATTTGAACAAATTCTAACATTTATGCACATACTTATTCAACCATCTTATTTTATATTGCTTCAACTTTTTTCTGTGCTTCAGAATGTTAGCCAAGTTCAACCCCAACATTGCATAGAAAATTATAGTGATGTTGTTTGACCCCTTTTCGTAATTTGTAGAACCTTTTTAATTGCATTTTCATAATTTCGGTCAATAGCTGTAGGATGAAAAAATAATTTTGACGAAATTCCTGCTCACTCAATTGATGGGGTTCTATTATTATGTACTTGGTTTATTCAAGAATTTTGTACATCACTGGTGTCTGAACGACTCCTCCAAATTTGAGTCAGTGATCAATTCTTTATTGAATCTTTTAAATTATCTGTAGTGTACATTGTGATGTACTGGTGTAAATTCTCAATGAATCATTTTGTTTATTGTGGATGATTTTTTTAGGCTGCCGAAGAATCGTTCGTTGATTGGTTCAAATTGTTAAATGAGCGTCCTCAGATGTTAAATGAGTTACCTGAAACCGCAACTTATTCGGAAAAAGTTGCATATGAACATCTAATAGCCCAGTATAAAAATGAGTACAAAAGGTGGAAGTTGGCATTGGACCATCAAACAAAGGTAACTATCATTGATGGAACTGAAAAACGCCGCATCTCGGTTGCGGTGTTTCTAAATTTTTGCTCTTAAAGAGAAGAAATATCATTGAAACTTTCAAGGAATGATGTTTAGTAGTGTTCCGTGTGGAGAATGAAGAATGACAGGAAGTCTGAAATGCTCAAACTGAGAAGTGCATTTCTGTAGTTTCACCATCGCTATATTTTTGGATGACCAGAATGATCAATTATAAACCTCGACTTATTCAAGATGTTTAACAAGGAAGGTTAAGTCGGGCAAACTACAATGGATTGCATAGAATTACTAGAAACCTGACCATACGAGGATCCTTAAGTTTCCTTGCTATTTCTCCTAAATGTGTAGTTTGAAATGAGGGATGTCTTAAAGTCTAAAAATCTGTCATTGGAAACTGTCAGAGTATGTGATCAGGTCAAGTGCATGAGAGGAAAGTCAGGGAATTTTATGAAAAATAGAGAAAATCTAAACAAATCTTGAAATTTGAAGAAACATCAAACATCAACAGCTTTGTGCCCAAAATCAAATTGAGCCTTAGTTTAGTTTGAGGCTCAATGCTGTGAGTTATACTTTGAATGCTGAATGTAAAGAAAAATAAGTTTCAACGAGGAATGGACCACTGGACTAGGTGCAAATTTAAGCGTTCACCTATATGTTTTCTCCTCAAAATTTAATGTGGAATACTATTTGTACAACAAAAATTAATGTAAGTAACTCCTATCAAAGATATTAACATTTTTGAATGCATAAATTCAAACCTCCTGCTCATAAAACAACCATAACCTAATTGAGAGAAATCGCACACTAGAAGTAACCTTGACAGTCTTGGCAGTATGGAAGTATCACAATCTCAGTATTGGCGCTTTGGCTCAGCTATTGCACAATGTCAATACTTTGAAGAACATAGGAGGAGGAAAGAACACTGCTCAATTAAGGTCCCTTTCAAAACTGCTGTAAGGCAGGATATGATTCATGTAAACTCTGGTTATTCTTGTAAGTGGTTAATTTAAATTTTTCGTAACTAGTGCCACCTTAAAACGTTAATATGTTGGCTGGAAGTTAGTGTCTGTAATTTTCATTGTGTAAATCATATTCTATGTGAAATTGTGAAGAGAAAACATGTATCAGATTGCTTAAATTAGTACCATGTTTAGCAATCTATTTCAATTTCTGATAATTGAATGATCAATACTTTAAGAAAATGGGTTTATGTGTTTCTATCTTTGATTGTGAAAGTGATGCCAAAAATTATTCATTTTCACTTATGCACACAGATTTTTTAGGGATCAGAGAAAACCTGGAAAAGTCACAGAATTTTCCTCCCCTGAGCCTGTAGAGATCCCAAAGCCAGATTAAGCACCAATTTTTTTGCTCATTTCTCAGGTTCTTAAGAAAGTCCAATGCAAGACAGGTGCTGTTCATTGGAAGAAGGGTTAAAGACTGTGAAAGACTGGCACAAACAAGCTCAAACATTTCACAAATAAAATCCTCTGAAAATTCTCCATCAATAAGCACATATAATTTGTATAGTATCTTTCTGTGTGAATTTTCAGGCTGTGAAAGAAACATTTCATAATATGATTTTATTCCCGGACGGAGGATGGCTCCGAGATCCACCAAACACAGAACAAGATGACCCAACAAGAGCACATCAGATGGCCGCTCTGCGGAAGCTCTGCATCCCAAAGGTAGGCTAAGTTTTTACTTAAGTGGATTCAAATTACTTTTTGAGGTGTAACAATTTGCACAAAAACCCTGTAAAGAAAGGACGGAAAGAAGGCAGAACTTTTTGAGAAAAAAGTTATTATGGTCATGTGTAGGTTTATAATAGTTCAATTCTATTCTTCATGCCACCAGACTTGACACAATTTTCAGTTGTAATTTTTGTGTGAGTAAAGTAGAGTCTATTACTGTCATGCCGTGCAAAAACTGTGGAATTCCATTGTAGATTTTGAGGGTCTTTTTAAGATTGAACACTTCGCAGAAGAAAGCCTGAGCATGTTCATTTTGTATTCTTTCAAGATTTTTACTTCATATCATACTGTATGTATTCTGGATTTAAAAATTCTGTAAGTATGAAAGTTGTCAAAGGTGGTATTGGAGAATAACTTACAAAATCAGGAATGGAGAATGGCATTTCTAGCTTAGTATGACAGATCATTGGAATTTTCATAGTGAATGTCAAAAATATATTTTTGAAGCATACAGAAAATGACTCCACAAAACTCCAAAAAGCAACTATTCTATGCATAAATTTTAAATTTTAATGCAGCTCTTGACCATTGGAAGTTGTACAATTTTCTTATTTAGGTACCTCTGGAAAAAAGTGTAAGATTTTGAAATCAGCTCTCAGCCTAGTATCGAAGTTCTTTTGTGGCATTTCCAAATCGAATTCTTAATTTTTTATCAGTTTGCTAGAGAAAACGTAATAATAGACTCAAATGTTGTTTCTTTGCATTCTTATGAAGATAATCTAGAAACTTAGAAATCTTAGAAACTCCCAATGTTCTGTAGATATAGGACGTGGAATATTGTATTGGTTCTCCTCCTTTTGATAACTTTACAATGCTTGAAAATAAACAATTTTCATCTTTTAATAGAAACATCATAATCATCATAAAAACTGTAAAGGAGAATTGAATTTTGCCAAGCCTATCTTTTCATTCCTCATTTCGTTTAATCTTTTTCAGATGGTTTTATTGCTTCACAAAGTTCTCCATAGCAACGGAGATTATCAAGAGTGCATACAATTATCTGAACTTGTCGTAGATGAAACTCATAAAATTTACAAGGTACGTACTAGACTTTTTGCATGTTCTTTTTTTTCTTACACAATAATGTTGTGAAAATTTATTTTTGTTTGAATGTGCCCATCCTTCATAATTTGGTCTCTTTTTATTATTCCATGAAAGTGATGGAAATAAAGCTGTTTTATGATCACAGTGAGGGATTGTAGGAAATTTTCAGGTGTAGAATGCAAGCTATATCTGAATAGAAAGAGTTTTCTTTTTAAGATAAAATCACAAAAAGTCCTAGGTTTTTATTTTATTTCTTAACTCTTAGCAACTTTTGATTTTTCCTACAATGAATTGAAATGTATGTGTGCCAATTTCTAAGAAAGCTAAGCTGAAATGTGTATTCATTGTTACTTTTTCATGTGTTTTCTGGAAGAGATGCAACATATGTTAGCTACTCACTGTTATCTTTCAAAAATATTTTGCTCTCTCTATCTGTCTCATCTTCCTAGGCAAGAAGGAAGAACCTTCCCTGCCTATCAAACCAATGTTGCAACATTTTCGCCAGAGAATGCTGTACAAATTATGAAATTTTCATTTTTACAACCCTGCTTTCTCCATAGTAGCACATCAGAAGATTGATTTAGGGATCATTTAAACAGTTAAGAATCAAAAGCTGCAATCTCTATTCTGCTGTCTAAAATGGTAGCAATCATTTTGATTCATTGGAAAGAGAGCAGGTGAGCCTTTGTCTGCGTTCTTTCTCAAGAATTCCTTACATAATAGTGGAAAAAATAAGGTAGTATTTTATGCAAGAAGTTTTATGTAGCTGAGACTTCTGTCAAATTTTTTGACAGCAGAATGGAGATTGGAGCTTTTGATCCCTTGCTTTTCATTTTTAATTATGAAGAATTTTAATTAGCTCCTAATCCTTTGATTTTATGTGCAGGAGTTTTTCAAACTGTTGTAAGTATAGTTTAATTTGACGTTTTCAAGCAGTTTTTGGTACCAAAATATTCATAATGCATTTTTCAATGCATTGATACCAATAACTTGTTTTGAGTTTCTTCTTACTTAGATCCATTTTCCTATTGAAGGTTACCCTTTTTTTTTCATTTCAAATAATGATAACATGAAAATCAACTGTAAAACATGCTATAGAATTCATTTGATTTCTTCATGCTTTTCAGGAATATGGCAAACAAGAATTGAATGAGCTTCTTTTGAAAATTTGCGACTCGTCTGCTGCTCTTCTAGATGAGAATAAAGATGCTTTTGGCTATCCATTATCATCATAACTACCTGCGTGAGTTAAAATGCAAGTCCTGTTTTCGTACTGATGTTCTGTCTCAAATTAGTGTTCTTGGGTGAAATTTTAACCAGTGACAGAAAAAATCTCTTTGAAGAAAATTACGGGTTATTTTATGAAAAGAATTCTGTGATCATTAAATCTTCATGCCTAACTGTGTCCAAGAAAATGTATTTCAAAGTTACTTTTGCTCTTCAAAGCAATAAGAAAACTGCCGTTGTTTCCTACCATCATCATTAAACTGCAAATTTTTTCAATCATTGAAATTGTTTTGATCATGGACAAAATTTTTAGAAACATAGCATTCCCAAATGCATCAAAAAGGGGGATTGGCAATGGGAAATTTTGCATGCTGCAAGCACCTCTTGCGGTTTTGAAATCTCTTAAAAACTTAGATTTACGGAAAAATTAAAATTGTACCAGCCTCATCCATTTTTCTGATCTTGCTCAAATGGTTTTTGAGTAAAATAAGTAGACATAAAAAAGAAGAAGAAAAGAAATAGGAAGAAGACATCCATATGCACTAAGAGTTTTAAGGATGGAAACTTTCTAAGAGATGACACTACTGAGATACGTATGATGATCTTCTAATTTTTTGATTAAGATGGGTCGTTCCTGCCTATTGATGTCCATATGTGAACATTATACTGGCAGTCAATAACCCACCTCTGTATAAATGGTCTTTTTATACTTACCATTTTCTCTGCCTGTTAATATGTATGTAAATTGATTTGATTAAGTGTAATTAGACTCAAGTTAACTTTTTAATTTTCTAACAGTTGGTAATCTTTAGATGTCTTTGAAGATGAATGAAATTGTGTTTCAAACATACAAACTGAGCAAATTAAATAACATTACGTAAATTGAAAGATTTTTCAGACATCAAGTCATGTATATTCCTGGTGGGTGAGGAGCAGAATTTCCATCTTCTCTTTTATTTTTCTCCCAAGAAAATCCTGTGTATAGTTAAATCTTTGTCAAAAAAAAAAAAAAGAAGTCAAGTTGAAATATTTTCATGGGTGTTTTGAACCAAAATTCGAATAAATAAACAGCAGTCTGCAGTATGTATTCCAACTTCTTTCCAACTGTTAAGGTTGTTTTGAAATTAAAACACAAATAAGGCAAGTTTTAGCAAAAGCAGAGACTTTATTATCGCATTGACATGCTAGATACCTCTCATCTGGCATGCCTATGGCATACCTGTTGATTTTTATTAAGATATTTTAGTTTTGTAAAGTGCTGTAATCTGTATTAAGTGTATTTGACTGTGTCTGTAATCACTTTGATGTTCATTTTTTTATCTGAGAAAAGAAAAGTAAGTACAATTTTCTACAAGATACCTTAAGTCCTTTTTCATTCACCAATTTGCAGGCACTCCCTGCAACCCTAAACAGATTGCTCTTACTGAAATGTTTGTAGGCAAAAAAAAAAAAAGAAGCTATTCCAATCAAAGCACTTAAAACTTACCTTCTATTTCCCTTGGACCAGATTGCTTAAAAAAGGAGGCACTTTGATTTTGAATTTTTTAGAACTTCTAGTCTCTTTCAAATACTGTGAGAGTTTGCACTTGACGTCATCAAAATTAGTAAAACTTCATAGTTCTCTATAGTGGTGTAGCCAAACATTTTCCATTAAAGGAGAGGTCTATCGTCAAAAATTCCTCTTAACAATTTTCAAATATCGTCGAATAAAATATAAAATACACACAAAACTAAATATCCAAAATTAATATTAATATTAAAATTAATATTAGTTGTTTAGGTTGAAACAAAGTAAGTACAAAAAATGATACTAAAATATTCTTGTAATTAGTATGCCTCAAATTTTATTTAACATTCAATATCCCTTTTCACTGTTACAAAATTTAACTGTTAACAGAGATAAAATATATGAAAGATGCCCTCTTTATCTTGTTTCTGTCAGTTCAAGTTACCACTAATGATATAATGATTTTATGCCTGGACAGTCAAATGATCACCGCAGCTTTAATACTTTTCCAGAGCTTCTTTTCAGTGATCATATGTGGTTTTTACCACCACCAACCGCTCCTCGTTTTCGTTTGTGGTGGTGGTGGTGGTGGCTTGTGTTCTGGAATTTTTGGTTTCAGGTCAACTGGCTCAGGGGCCACTGCAAGTTGTTTTGCCGCAGTTGCTGCACCCTGGGTAACGGAGCTTACGCTGACAACACCACTCTTCAGGAGTGCTTCAGTATGCTCCATTGCACTGGCACTACTCTCCAGTAGCACGCTCAATGCTCGTTTCATGAGCTTGATAGCAAGGTCTGCATTTGTAGCCGCTAGTTCAACAGAGGCAAAGACATTTTCCTCATCCTCGACTTGATCTGTGTGTTCATCTCCATCCACATGATCCTGATGAAAAAAAAAAAAAGTTATGAGACGCAAGGTCTTCTTGGTTTAAATTAACGTATGGTCAAAGCTAACAATAGTGTTGAGTGTCTGTTAAGAAACAAATTCTCATCTTAAGAATCACTACCAGCTTCAAAATTAATCCAATGGAATGATAATGTGAAAAAGAATGTATCAATGGCTAAAAGCGAAAAATGTATATCTTAATTGCATCGTATACAAATTTCCGATGATTTTTTATTCTCCTAAAGAAAAACCAACCAAATCACTTCCTTACTGTGTGTGATTTTTTAAAAATAAGTTAAAAGAATTCAATGAAACTTTTAATGAAAAATGTTGGTTAGTTTTCCTTTGAAAAAAAAAGAAAAACATGAGCGGAGATTTACAACATTTCAATCTGAAGAAAGCATTTTTCAACTTAGCCATTGAAACAATTGTGTTATCGATTTTGAAGTAATTTCTTAAACAACATGAACACAATTCCCAATGGTGAGTACCTCCCAGAACTCAGTGGAGGCTGTGAAAAAAATTTATTTTGACAAGTTCTAAGGCAATTCTCACATCTTGGAAGCATTGGGTTTAGTCAATTTAAATGCATTCATATCAATCGGTATTTATCAAAGCAGACTGCCATACCTATGTAGAGTTGAATGAATGTCATTGATTTAAATGGAGAACAAAGAATGTTACCAACTTCCAAGAATCACAACTGGGTAGGTTATCTGTTGAGGGTAGCACAATTTTTCATTTTGTTACTTTTTTTCTAGTCACTTGTAAGTGATGCACCACGGGGAAGAAAAGAGTAAAGAATAAAATATGAAGGAAATAAGAATCAAATATGAATGAGATAGGAATAAAATATGCCCTGATGAATTAAAAGCTGGCAAATACAAGGCAGATATTTAATTTTACACCAAACTGAGCCACTGCAAGGGTAAATTATCCCAAACAGCAAGGCCAACACTCATCTCCCTTCCTCCTCCACCAGTCAATGAGTGGAAGGGCTACAGAGAAGCACAGTGGCTTCATGAAGTCGAATTAAGCTTGAAGAGACTATAGAGTAGGATTAGTGTTTTGTAGAACTCAGTGTTGAAAATTTCAAAGTTTAAAAATGACAGGATTTAGGATACAGATATGATGTTTCAGAGAAAAAAATTAGAATCTTTTAAAGACTAAAATACCCCTCCATTCCATATTATCATGCTCTGAAACCTCGGGAAGTTAGGGAAATCGGGAAACTTGGAACCTCTTGCAATGGGCCAATTGAGCTGGTCACAGAATCGTGTTTTGACGCTTGATTCTTATGGATTAGCTAAAAATAAGAAGATCCGTCCAACAGCAACTTTCTACGTCGAATATTAACTGAGATATCGTCCTTTGAAAAGTCGGGTTTTTGACGTCATCCACCGCGGTAGTGCATAACATGGTATGTGCCACCGTGGTGGATGACGTCATAAATCGAGTTTTTCAAGGCGCGATATCTCGGTTAATATTCAATGTAGGAAGTTGCTGTTTGGACTGATTCTATTATTTTTAGTCGATCTGCAAGACTAAAGCATCAAAACCCGATTATGTGTCCAGCGCAACTGACCCATTAGAAGGTGGGAAAAGAGATGAAGTTAAGTGGACTAACGGGGTGGGTGTCGTCGTGTACTCCTGCATCCTCTGCCAGGTGGTCCTCGGGGCTAACGAGATGGCCGCCCGGTTGTTCCTCGGGTTTTGGCGTCGCTGGGGGTTGGGCTACCACCGCGACGGCGGCCAGAGTGACCAGACCGGCCACGATCAGAATTCCGCGCATTTCAAGTAACCACGATTACGACGCGCACAGGTTTAGCAGATACTCAAACTTACACTCTTTAGGGCGGCTACGATTCCCGCTTTCTCTTTTATCCGTACAGTTTTTTCTTTCCTTTTGCATCTCGCGTGCTGTTTTCCGACCAGGGGTTTTCCGCGTCACGCGTTCATGCCGAATTTCAGCCGCTATCGTCACGCGATCCGTCGATGGTGTCTACCATGCAGTCCCCAAGTGTAGGAGCGGTCTGGCCAGGGTTTCAGGGTACTACACCACCCCAGAAATTCTGACGGGTGGCTCAGGAGGCTGCGGCAGGACTCCTGCAGGGGCCCTCAAAACTTGAATAACCCATCTGAGGGGCTTGGAGGACAAGGCGCATGAGTGCAGTTTTTGAAAAAATTGAGAAATTAATAATTTCAAGTAAAACTAGTCTTACTTATTGCATATTCTGTGAAATATACGCTCCCAAGTTCCAATTTGTAAGCATCAAAAAGTCAGTTTGAACTTTTTTCCCGCTTTAAGGATCCATGTAATTCCGAAACTTTAAACACGTATTTCTCGAAATAGCGAAAACTGCACTTAGGTATGCGCCTTGTCCTCCAAGCCCGTCATTTGAAGGAGGACTTTTAGTTGGGGTACCCAAGAGGAGGGGCTCCGAAAAACTATCAGCACCGCCAAGAACTTTCGAGCCAGACCGACAATGCCCAAGTGGCACAGTGCAACGAAAATATTAGGATACGATTGCAACTCAATGCAAGAAAATTGCGATTCAATGCGATGAGCTTTTTTAAAGTACCATAATATTGAACAATTTTGACATAATTTATCTGATCGATAAATGCCTATTTTAAGCGATTAATAGGATGCATTTCTGTATCAGGAAGAAGGGCAATTTACGATGCAGAAAAAATTGCAATTTATTTAAATTTTATGTAAAATAAATTGTGATGGGAGAAAACCTTATTTCCATGAGTAGATAAGCAACATGCACAACACTAGGATGCAGCAGCAGGCTGAGTTTTACCATACAATCGCACTTTCTTGCATGTGTGGCGCGATTTCCATTCACACCTCCTTTAGCCAGAAGCAATTCCGGGGAAATATCGGCATCACCTACACGTTCAATCATTAATTTTGAGTCGCGAAAAACTGGAAATATCCACTGGGATTTGTCAGGGAACAAAAAATCTTCAGAAAAATATGGAAAGTACTTGGTCCTAAGAACCGGAAATATCTTCTCTCTTCCCTTCGAGAGCATTGCGTTCACAAATTAGGTGGCTCGCAGCGACGCGACACCACAGAATCGCATGTAATTAAAATTAAAAAAAAAAAAAGAAGGAGTACTGTTTCAACTCTCGAGAAATTTCAACATTTAAAACGTAAACCTGTTGTGGAATACCCATTTCAAGGCCGCCAGCAACCTGAAAAAGACAAAACACAATTGGACGTATTTCTGTCAAACGGAACTATGTGCATTAAGGCATGAGCCCTGAGACCCGTAAGGATTTATGCGTACCTATCAGGTCTCATGTAATAATGCACTTAGTTCCGTTTGGCAGAAATACGTCCAATTTGGTAGGAAAATCACCGTGCCCTGGTAAAAATTGGCGATAGGAGCTGCGTTTCAAAATACCATAGGAATTCTTATAGCCAACTAAAGAAAGGCTATATTGAAAATCATATAGCTGGCTGTAGAAAGCGGAGCGAATCATATAGCCGGGCTTTACGAGGCTATAAAAAAGTATATAGTGGGGCTATAGTTCCTATCGCCGGGCATTACACTTTATCGCCATCGGCTATAAAAGGCTATAAGAAATTGTGTAGAAATCCGTGTGCTTTGGAAATCATTAAATTTGATACCGAACCACCATAATATTTACAAAACACACATTATATTTTCCTTTAATACATATTTTTTTCATCAATTAAAATGAGAATAATCCTTACAGGATGTGCAAACATTTCAAAATCATGTGTTGAAAAACGCTGACTCCTCGAGATTATATGTATATTGGAGTCTAAAACAGAGCGGAGCGGCGCGGCGTGCTGCCAGCGATAAGCGCGCACTAGCGCCTACAAACCTAACAGGGATACTTCACGCATTGCGCAATGCGATTCTGATAAATTGCAGACGTAGTAGGCGTGGTCGAATGGAAGTATTTTCCCGAAACTTAGGTTAGGTATTCTCAAAGACATCTCATGGGCTGACCAAGGCTGACTGCGTCCCTCGTAAAAATTCAGACTGCAAAGAAATCGAATTTTTTTCCTTTTCGCGATGAGAGCTCAGTGGCATGGTGACCCCCCCCCCCCCTCCCCCCCACCATGCAGTCACCATTAAAGATTCTTGCCTTTCCGTGGTGTGGGTTTGTAGAGCCAATGGATTAGTATTCAATAATTACGCGTTAAAGGGATCGCTTACTTGTTCCCTCGGTCAGGAAATTTGTTGGGTAATCTTATTTGATTGATAGGTACCTATTGACACTCTTGGCGGCGCGCATCGAAAATCGTCTTCTCACGTGAAGTGGCAACTGAGCTGTTCTGTTCGCACAAAAAAACGTCTGTAACGCTCGCCTGTTTTGACTTGTGCGTCGAATGGAAATTGGATTTAATTAGATTTCGAGGAGGAAATTAATCACCGACAAAGTCTCGTGTTTTCGTGAATGACGTGTTGTTCAAACGTCGTTCAGCCTGACGTTGGCAGAGTCATCCGTTGCAACATTGTAGGCAGAGCACACTTAATCCCCAAAACATTTTTTTTCTATTTTAACCTATCGTCCAGAGCGAAACATGTATTAAATGGATAGATCATCAGGCGAGTAGATTGAAAACAGGTCCAAAAAAAATACAAGAAAAAATACAAGAAAATAGCTATGAAATCACGAAAATCTGCCCGGTAAATCTTCAGAACGAACTTCGACCAAAAATTGACAATTACATTGTTAAAATTGGAGAAGTTTTAATTTTTACCCAATGAAATGTAGCAAAACCCAGGGTCATACCTCCAAAGTCTAAATACAGCGGTCTCAACTAGGGGCTAAAAAATGTCGATAGCCACAAGAGTATGGAAATCGACCCTGAAGAATGTTTGAACGAACTGAGACGAAAAATGAAAATTTAGGGAGTCAGAGAGCTTATAGTAATGCATTTGGGGGAGGTGGACTGGTTTTTTTTCCAAAAGAAGAGCAGTTTCTCCCCCCCCCCTCCTATTCCCACACCACGAGAAATATAGTAACACGAAAATCATCAATACATCAGCGAAAGTAGGCGAGGGCGGGAGGCAAAAAGGCACCGTATCTAGGGGGGGCCGGAGTCCCCCATTGAGGAGAATATTGTGGGACGACTAACCCAGTTTCTAAGGAGGATTCTCGGGAATTCTTTAGTGCCGAAGGAGCAGGATCCAGGAAAATCCCTTCCCCAGAACATTTTTGAAAAATTAAGCCGTCTCATCAAGGAGGGACGTTTATCATCATTTTAGCGCATATTGACGGCGCGGCGTAAGTCCGCCATCACATATCTCGTTTGCGATGTCTGGAAATCTCCGCCTCTATGTTTTTTTAAAAGGAGAACAAATTTACATAATTCCTTGAAGTTTATGCTGAATTTTCTCCACACAGAGAAGAAAAATCACGGCAGTTTTAAAGAATTGCCGTTGAGTAGTTTTCCGTTTAAAAAATGAAGTATGGCAGGAAGTCTGCGACGTTGCAAACCGAGTTTTGTGATCGCCGACTTATACCGTCGATATATATTAGCGCACTTTTCCTTTTTATGACCGTAAACTTCACTCAAATCTTATAGGTATAGGCGTGTTTATACTTACATTTTGAAACCAATTCTGCGCATTATATTTGAAAACAAGACGAAAAAATTAACACGCACGTATTTAGCAAAATCACACACATTTCTTGGGAGAAGCAAAGTAGGTTTTTGTAGGGAAGTAATGTAACGAGCACCACGGTAGATCTTGCTGCACAGGGAAGCTAAAGGCGCTAAGGGGGGCCTTTGCAGCCGCTGGGAGTTCTTATCTTTTCAATGGAGGGTAGGTATGGATTCGATCGACATGAATCGATCGAAAAATGAAAACGTGAATCGATCGACAAATTATTAAAAAACCGGTGTCGATTCGGTCGATATAAACGAATAAGAACGTGAATCGTGAATTGATCGACGCGAATCAATCGGCACCGATTCGATCGACAAAATTTGATCGATTCACTGGCTTGTCGATCGACTCACGGGTTTGTCGATCGATTCACTGGTTTGTCGATTGAGTCACAAATTTGTCGATCGATTCACGGCTTTTGTCGATCAATGCACGGGTTTGTCGATCGAATCGGTGTTGATCGATTCACGTCGATCGATTCACGTTTTAATTTTTCTATCGATTCATGTCGATCGAATACACGCGGTTTTTTTTTTAAATTAACTGTTGATCAAATCGGTATGTCGATTCTTTGTCGTTTTTGTTTTTCGATCGATTCATGTTGATCGGATCGACACCGGTTTTTCAATAAGTTGTCGATCGATTCACGTTTTCATTTTTCGATCGGTTCATGTTGGATCGGTTGAGCATAGGGGAGAATTTCATGAGTAGCCGCTAAACCCGCGGCGGCGCTGTGGCGCACTATGGTCCACAACTCAAGAATATGAAGAAATAAGTCGGATAATGACTGAAAGATCAAGAAAGTTTCAAAACGGATATCTTTTTGAGTCGCAAATTTCAAATTTGATGTCAAATTGCCTACATTTTAACACCGTGACCTATTAATTGTGGGCAAGTTTATGGAACACTGCGGCGCGGCGCGCGGCGTGCTGCCGCTGTCAGCTCGAAACGCGCACTGACGCCTACAAACCTAAAGGGATACTTCAAGCATTGCGCAATGCGTGAAGTAGCCCTCTAGGTTTGTAGGGGTCAGTGCGCGTTTCGCGCTGCAGCACGCAGCGGCGCCCCCAACGGGCGGGTGGTGAACGATTTCTTGTGGGGAGAGCTCCCTGGCGGAGGAACTTGTATATCGTGTACATTTTTTTTTTTAATTTTCTACTTTTAAAGTTGCACACTGGTCTTGTGAAGTAATTAGTGAACTCTCAAAACTAGATGAAGTGTCATAATGAAAGGCGGGTCGTGCGCCATGCGTTCTACGGACGGCTCATGAAATTCTCCCCTGTGATCTGCCGATCGATCGAATCCATGCCCTCCCTTTTCAATTTGATTCTGGGGTTCGCGGCTTCAAACCAAGGTCTTTTTTACAACAGGACTCTCTCTAATTTTTTCTCTCCCCTTTTTTTGAGGTTTGCGGCGTTTGCTGGAGGGCCTCAGTCTTCCAGTGTAGTGTCAAGAGCGATCCTCTTTTTTTGACAATTTTCAGAGTTCTAAAGTCCCTTTGAAATCCTTGGAGGCGTTGGACGGTCCCGAACATTTCACACCTACTTTTAAATGTGGAGTGGCGAGGGCGAGGGGGTCGTTTTGAAATTTGATAATGGGAGGGCGTGGACAAATTTTTGGCGGAGGGCCTCAGAAATGTTTTTGCNGGGGGGGGGGGGGGGGGGGAAGAGGGCTAGCGAAAGTCCGTTACCCCTCCGGCCCTCCCCCCGTCCTGCTAAGATTCGTTCTATGTGGGTGTTGTGCAGTGGCGTGGCGTGCTTTGTGATATATCGATTGATCGGTCATTTAAACCCATGGAAAAGTATCGTTAAACAGGGTGTTCGCGGTGAACACCTTAATAATCGATTATTTACCACAGCTTTAAATGGGGAAATATCAATATATCGCAAAGCACGCCACGCCACTGCTGTTGTGTGAAAAAATCCGGTTCAAGGCAATGCGAATAATGATTAAAGCCGCACGGGGGCATTTCAGTCGAGTCAAAATTGAAATTTTCCAGATGTATTTTGGGGCCGTCCATAAATTACGTAATCCTCTAGGGGGGGGGGGNTAGGGGGGGGGGAGGGTTCGAGGAGAGGGTTACACCATTTTTATACGTGTTGGAGGATCTACCCCTGGTAAAAATTGGCAGTAGAATCTGTGTTCCAAAATACCATAGACCTACAGCCGGCTGTAAGATTTTCAATAGCTTCTATAGACGGCTGCACAATTTCTTATAGCCTTTTATAGCCGATGGCGATTAAGCAACAGCCAGGCGATAAAGTGTATGCTAAATGTTACTAATTACGGATGCTAGGACTTAGTGAGTTTTTGGACTACCTCTCTATTTTTTGGCCGTAGTATCTTGATTTATTTTGCGCGGAAAGTTCCGTATTTTTGAAGGATGCCTGCCATTCCTAATATGTTGGAGCGCCTTCAATTTTGTATGATACTGTGCAATATCTGGTGTGAAATAGTTGCTTCAAGCACCGTGACACGCTGCGGCGCGGCAGGCGGGCAGCCAGCGCGAAAAGCGCATTAGCGCCTACAAACCTAACAGGGATACTTCACGCATTGCGCAATGCGTGAGGTATCCCTGTTAGGTTTGAGGGCGCTAGTGCGCGCTTATCGCTGGCATCACGCCGCTCCGCCATGTGTTAGGCTCCAATATAATATCGCGGAGTCAGCGTTTTTCAACTCATGATTTTAAAATGTTTGCACATCCTGTATGGATTATTCTCATTTTAATTGATGAAAAAAAATATGTATTAAAGGAAAATATAATGTGTGTTTTGTGATAATTATGTTGGCTCCGTATCAAACTTAATGATTTCCAAAGCACACGAATTTCTACACAATTTCTTATAGCCTTTTATAGCTAATAATGGCGATAAAGCGTAAAGCCCGGCGATAGGAGCTATAGCCCGGCTGTATACTTTTTTTTATAGCTTCGTATAGCCCGGCTATATGATTTGCTCCGCTTTCTACAGCCAGCTACATGATTTTCTATTGCCTTCTTTATCCAGCTATAAGAATTCCCATGGTATTTTGAAACGCATCTCCTTTCGCCGATTTTTACCAGGGACGTCACAAAAGCGTTACGGGGAAGGGGGGATCAAAAATTCCGAGAAAGTGCGTTACGTAATTTATGCCCCTTTTCCTGTCTTGCGTAGAGCGTACATACTTTACCTACAGGTAAAGTTGCACGGTTAGAAGACGTTTTCGTTTCAAAAGCTAAGGTAGTGAAGTCGGAAAACACTTATCTAGGTTTGCGCCGTCGCAGGTTTCTTGTCAAATATAATTTCGAAGGACAACCTACACGAGCATTGTTTCTTTGAATTTTACAGAATATTAGCGTCATAACTAACACTCCGTGAAATTTTCACAGGTTATTTGCTATTTCTAAAAAAAGTCAATGGTGGAGGTTTTGAAACGTCGAAATTGAAGTTTCCTCGTTTTTTTCGATCGTCACCATCGCGAGAAAATTTAAATGTTAATGATCAGTTCTAATAATACGCGAGTGCTGTCTTATGTGATGTAATTTCTTCCCGAATTCCGTGATTATTATATAGCCAACGTCAATGAAGGAGCTTTATGACTTACTGGCACATCGACGGTGAAACCACCAGACCATGTACCCATCTCGGTTTGCGACGTCGTAGACTTCCTGTCATACTTCATTTTTTAAATGGAAACTACTGGACATCCATTATTGAAAACTTCTGTGTTTTTTATTCTCTGTGCGAAGAAAACTGTGAAAATTTCAAGAGATGATGTTGGTTTGTTCTCCTTCAAAACAATACCTAAAACAGGAGCGCAGATTTTTAACACCGAAGATACACATGGTCTGGTGGTTTCTCCGTCGAAATGTCACTTGAAGTGTATGTATTGTGCAAGGGACGTCATGAGACATATCTTTTATGTCAAATCAATGTATCAAAACCAACCAGCCATTATGTAAGCAATTCAAATTTATTGCTATATGCACTTCTGTAGAAGCTTGGTTAATTTATACCGATGTCTATTACGTGGAGACATTATACCGATTTTAAATAATTAGGTATTTTTACTTTTTCGCCGATACTTGCTCGGTGTATCCTTGTGAACTGAGGTTTTCATATTTTAGCGCTGATTATTCAAATTACCGCAGTCACGATTAAGTACCAACTGTGTATTTCTTCAACTGTGACTTTTTGTAGCTCATGGCATGCATCCTATTTCCAATCTGCTTTAAATTCAGCTTTTTAGGATTTACAATACAGTAAATCCACTTTTTATTCTGGCCATAGATGTCAGACCTTATCAGGTTTCTCATCAATACCGCTAGCATCTGTATTAGTTTGGTGTGCTAGGTGAGAAAATCTTTTTCCAAAGTTGGCGCTCACTGCCATTATCTTATCGCAAATTTTTTGAGGTTATGAATTGATCATTCGGTGTAAAGTTCCATCCCGGTCGCGTGACCGTAATTTTAGTTATTTTTCTAAAGTGTTGTGCCGTTTTCCGTTTGAATAATGTCAAATTCATCGAGTACAGGTCTACCCTCGCTAACGAAATGGCAGTTGGCCATAATTCTTGGCACTCCGGTTGCTGCTGGCCTCGGATACCTGTGTTACAAAAACATGTGCAAAGAACTGTCTCCAGACTCGGCCAAGGATTCTGATAAGAAGAAAATTAAAGAAAAGACTGCAGACACAATACCAAGACCAAAGGTGAGCGTTTCTGTTATACCAAATTTAGTCTTATTTCTTGTCGACTACATTGGGGTTCATCCCTTACTTACGGAGTCGAGTCATCGCCACTACATGGTGATTCATCTTTCACCAATTTCAGGAAACTTTAAAGAAAGCAGCCATCCCCTATTTTTATATTAAACGTTCTTATCACTCACTCACTGAACTATATTAGTCCAAGTCATAAAAGGTAAAGGGAAGGTTTCACACCCACCCTTTGCTCTGAAAGTATTTCCTACCGAGCTACTTTAATCATGTATGAGTAGACGCAACTATTGAGTGCTCGCCATATCAGTTTTTAGAATATCTAAATACTCATTTGTTTGCATATACTTTCATACAAGTTTAACTAGTGCTACCTGTGTGGAAATTTATAATGGCCTTATGGCAGGCAGAATTCTTTATCTACTGATCTCAATTCTGTTAAGGAAGTCCTTTATCAGTACCTAAATCTACTCACTGAAGTATTGCCCTCTGCTGTAAGTTTACAATATTTCTCCAACTGCTGATTAAATATTAATTCTCAGTCATCATGACTACATCTGATTGAACTGTTAAATCATCTTATTTTTTTTCTGTATAGTGGTAGGTAGCTGTTCTCTCTGAAGCGATACTTTTGACTGTCAATCATTTCAAAGTAAATTTCTTTGAGCAAGTTGATGATCTTTTATTTTATAAGAACCAAGGCTTTGAGTAAAAACTATGAGTCAGCATGAAAAGCGTTTAGCTTGGCATTTGATAGTGGTCCAAGACTAACATTTTCATGCTGTATCCTTATCTGTGGAATGAAGTTTGAGGCTTGAGTAGAATTCGTATTTTCAATGTTCCTTAGTCTTGTCTCGACACTCTCAAAATAGAATTGAACCCTGATGGAAATTAGAGAAGGAAATTCTCTGTAAATATTAAGGTTTATGACAGAAAATATTAAGGCAAATGTTGAAAATGAGTGTAACATGGCCTAAGGTGATTTGTCCTGGACTCCTGCTTTCTTGAAGTGGTCAAACTGGCACGCATTACATTATCGTCTGTATCGGATGTAACATTTTTCCCTTCACAAATCCTTTCTTCATTTTTCCATTAATTCTATTGGGAATTAAAGAGGCTCTGCTCTCAGTTAACATCCCCAAGGCAGATATGCTGGAGCTTTTGTGTGAAGTAAATTTTCATGAATATCAAGCAGGGAGCTTATATGATAAACAAGTTTTTCAGAAAATATGACTCCTGTAATTCTAGGGTTAATGTGGAACATCATTCCTGATTCTTCTATAATTTGCCATTTTACCAATTTTAATATCATCTCTTTTTGTTCCCAGACCCCTCTGGAAATGGCTGTTGATTTGAAGATGCGAGGAAATGAGTTCTTCAAGAAGAATGACTTTGACAGTGCCCTTAAAAGTTACACAGAAGCCATTGAAACTTGCCCACCAGAAGAGAAGGAAACTCTTTGCTTGTTTTACCAGAACCGTGCTGCTGTTTATGACAAATTGGTTGGTACACTGATATGCATTATTTCCTCTTAATTTAAGTATCAATTTTGTGGTCAATTTATCACTATTCCCTTTTACCTTTAATTTTTTATGAGTTAGTGCAAAATCCCCTTATTCCAACTTGATTACTTCCGAATGAGCATTAACCATATAGGTATTTGACAAAACCAGATTTTTCAAAAAAGCAGAAAAAGTGTTTAGGGGTTTTTTTTTTTGGGGGGGGGGCAATAGAAAGATAATCATTCAAAGAAAAAAAAATTTATAAGATGTGTTTATTTTCTTTACAAATATTTTTTGAAATATTTCAAACAGATGTAAATCTTAGGGAAAACCTAAGAATTTCATTTTTTGCTTAAAGAACAATATGTCATCTTGAGGTATGTGGATTTAAAATGAGGGTTCCAGTCATTGATAGATTTTGATGAAAGTAAGACCCCTTAAAGAGTCATTAAGAGCAGCAAGCTTAAATTCATGAAGTAGGAACTTTTTTATTTTTAACTTTTTTACGTAGAAAAAGAAATTTTCCCCTCTTCAGGTTTCAAAAGTGTGACAGTAACTGTTCATAAATTTTGTTAACATATTTTTTACATCCCTTTAGACTAACTGCAATTCTTTTTTTTTCTCTTCAGAAACAGCATGAAAATGTCATTAAAGAATGCACAGCAGCACTAGAGTTAAATCCAAAATATCGCAAAGCATTGATCAGGAGAGCAAGTAGTTATGAAGCCGTTCAGGATCTGAAGAGTGCCTTGGAAGATATTACTGCTGTATGTATTTTAGATAATTTCTCGGACCAATCGATTTTACGGGTTGCAGACAAGCTGTTGCAAGAATATGGTAAGTTATTGCATATTATAGAGGGAAAGTAGAAAGCACAGTTGGTGCCCCCCAGGAACAAAGAAATTATCTAAGATACCTCAAAAAATAAATGATGCACTGTTCTCTGTGGTTTCTCTGTAAAGGAATGTCTTTTTAATTTTATCGATCGTTCATAATAATGGTGACATCCTATTTTAATTTAAACGGGGTTTTTTTCCTTCAAAATTTCTGTCTAACATTAATGTGTACTCAAAGAACCTTAAATTGATTATATCTTCTATGATTGAGGAGAAGTAACTTGAAAACCAAGAAAGATTTTTCTATCAGTTTCAGAACCTTTTATTTGAGCTCAAACTTTGCCTCGGCATGAGGCTCCTTAAATGATGTAGAATTGTAAAGTCAGGGTTTTTGGCAGTGTAGGAAACCTGGAAAGTCAGGGAATTTATGGGGACCTGGAAGAGTCAGAGAATTTTCATTTTGTGCCTGAGGTCAGCATCTTCAGCCAATGCCATTTGAAAGAACGAGTATAGCTTCCAATTGCTTTTTATTCATTTGAATCTCTGGGAATGGAGATTTTGTCCATAGCTCAGCAAAAATAAGCATTATTAAAGGGGATAAAATCTAAGTGGAAGTCTTGATCAAAGGTGAGGAAAAGTCAGGGGGTCTGAAAATTTCGGAGTCAAGAAGTGAAAAAAGTCAGAAAATAAGAAAATGAAGAAATTGGAAACCCCATCAAGGGTGCAAGGAAAATGTGACTGCCCTAACTTTTGTAACTTCCCTTTGAAATGGCAGTAAAGTGATATAAGCCATTTTTCAGCTTGCATTATGCCTTTTTTCTCTGGATTTGTGAAGGTTTCTCTGAAATGAAATTTTTTTTCAGGTAAACGAAATGCTAAAAATATTGTCGACAACAGGAAGCCCACGTTACCATCTAAGAACTATGTCAAAACATACTTATCAACGTTTTCTTATGATCCAGTCCTCTCTAATTTGGATTCATCAACAAATAATCATGTCAGCGACTCAGGAGATAGGTATGGGTGCCTTTTTGTTAATCATTTGCCTGTATTGAATTTCATCCCTTGCCTGCAGCCTGATTTTTGAACTATTGTGTTTTTCAGGTGGACTTAGATGACATAGGTTAAATGACCAAGTGTGATTGTTTGGCTATGTCTTATCACTACTATGTCGTGCTTTGTTGGGTGGAATGAACGACAAACTAAAGGCACCTTTGAGTTTCCAACAGTATGTCGGCCATTCCACCCGATAAAGCAGCGATGAGACTTTGTCAACCAATCACGCTTCGCTATTTAATCTATGTCATCTATGTCCACCGGACGAACACAAAATTTCAACAATGAGGCTGCTGTTATTATCTATAAAGGCAAGTCTGTGAAGAATTTTAATGAATCTTGCACCCCTGAAAAAGATTTTAATCCTTGACACTCAAAAATGGCTGTGCAAGTCTGTGCAGTTTTGCCTATGAATCTTCAGACGGAAAGAATTTGTCTTCCTTCGGGCCTTTTTAGTTCTCATTAGGTCAGCGAAATTGCCTCTTTTAACTGACAGATCATGCAAAAAAAGATAGGCCCTTCTGCAGCAGCATGGAAATTGCGGGTTCATAAAAATCGTGAAGAATCACAATGCTTTGTATTCTAAGATGAAAAGAAAAAGAAAAGAAGAAATCAACAATTACCTACTTTAAAGAATTTGTAAAAATGAAGTATTTTCAAATGAGAGAGGTCATTTGAATGTATGGGAAGGCGAAAAACATTCTGCACCCTTACACTGATAGCATTTTATAATTTATCCAATTGTAAATAGTCAAACATGATTGATTTCCGTCCATCCAGTTTTAGTTTTTGACAGCCCCATTTTCAGCGTAAAAAGTGTCCCCTGGCAGAGATTTTTACCTAATTTACAGCATTAGCAGGTAGGTAGCCTCACAATGTTTTGAGTTAATTTCTTCAAACTTTCTAAGTGAGTTGTGCTGTAGAAATCTCCACCTCGTTTTCAGCATCTACGTTCAAGGTAATCTGTGCGGAGGTCTTATTGTTGTTGAGTTGGCAAGAAATTTATCACTTCAATCAGGTTAATAATCATAATCCAGGCAAGTTTTGATTTTTAGGCCACAAAATGACAACAACCCCTATGCCTAAGTCTGAAGAATCATTGACAACTGAAAACGTTGAAAAATTAAAAGCTGGAAGCTGTTGAAAAATCGTCATATTTGATACAGTGTTCTATCACTGTATCCAATGCAACACTTTTTTTTTGTAGTTGAATCCTGTTATGTCATATTTCTTGGAATTTTTCAATTTCTTTGTTGTAAATGATTATCAAGGCTCATACACAGTGGCCATCGTTTTTTACTGTTTTTTCTTTTTACCGTCTAGCATGAGACTGAAAGTTTATTTGATTTCTGAAATGATCTATTCATTATAGCACTCGCTAGTTTGATCACAATCAGACCCTGGGATGATTTACCTCATGCCAGGGTTAACCCATTGACTTAAAATGACGGCTCCCAGCCTTCATCGCAGCGCTGGGCCAGCTCTGAAATGACGGCTCAGAGCCGTCCACTGATTGTTTGCGTTATTTCGGCAATTCTCCGGTAGATTGCGTTCTCATGAATGTTTATATGAGTAGTATGGCCACCCTATGACTTATTGTGTACGGTAACTTCTTGTTTTGTTACGGTATTTTCATATTACTGTGCGTTTGCACATGAAATAACCTCAAAATTTTCTGATTTTCGCTGATTTTGCAATTTTCACAGCTATAAACCACATAAAAAAATCCATGTGTTCAAAGTTTTCACCATTTTTCTCAAACGTTGTATTGTGAATGCTTATTTTGTCAATTTTCACCCTTTGAGAAATAATTTCCGGATTATTTTGAAGTGTTCAAAGTTGCTGATTTTCGCCAAATTAAATCGTAATTCCTGGCCCAGCAGGGTCAAATTAAATCATAAGTCAATGGGTTAATATTCAACTGCAAAAATTTCTTGCCTCTAGTCATTGTAGTACTCCAGCTAATTGGTCTCCAAATTTGATTTGTTTATTCCCTGTAGTGGTCTTGACAAAGCACTGAGGTTATTCAAGGAAGAAAAGTATGATAAGGTAATTGAAGCAGCTGAAGAAGAGTTCTCAAGACCTGAAGAAGATGTAGATGAAAACCGGAAGAAGCAGGCTGAATTGTTGATTGCCACAATGAACATTTTCTGTGATCAACGCAATAAAGCCTTAGATCAGTTGACTGCAATAATTGATGCTGAAAATGTTGACCCAAAGGTAATACTCTTTGTGAGTTCAATCTTTTTGTCGCCCCCTCTAAAAATCTCAAATTTGTGTTCAAATGAAGTTCGTACAATTGCAACCACCAGAGGAAACGAAACTACATTGCCTGGAGGCAAATTTTTCAGTATTGAAATTTTTGTTGAGTTAAGTTGGAAAAACAAAATTCTAGTTTCTGACTACAGGTGTTGTCAGCTAAGTTGGCATTGTTTACATTCCGTTTGCAAGCAACCGCGATGCAGTTGTCCAATAAGGGTAGAGAATTAAATATGTTCAAGATCGGGCTGTTGGAAAATTGCATTGTAAATGCACGCAAGCAGATTGTAAACAAGTGCCAACTTAGCTGACGACACCTCCAGGAGATCTTCCCCATCTTATAGAAGAAGTTATGATGAGTTAATTTCATTTTTTTGTCAAAGAATGGCATAAGTTTGTATACAAATGGACACATTTTAACCCTAAATAACATGGCATGTAAAAGTAAAGTAGCTTTTTCTCAAAATTTAGTCTCTTTAACGGTCAACTTCAAATTATGGGACTGGGTGCGAGAAGGGGACTTCTCAGTTGCAGTGTTTCTGCTAATATTTTACTCATTTTAAAGAAAGTGAACGTATGCATTTCATTGAAACTTTTACTGAACATTCTTCACGATTTTCCTTTGTTGTGTAGCTAAAATCCTTAAAAAATCACCCATTAAATAATTCTCAGAGACATACATTAGTGTCAAAAATTCTGGAACTTGGCAAACTAAGTGCCTTTATCGTATTTAGGGCCTCAATTTTTATGACATTGATTTGGTTCAATGTCATCGGGCTTTCTTGTGCCAAAAAATTTTGAAAACATATATCTAAAAACAATGATTTATACCAGTATCTCATTTTTAAGTTTTTTAAGTCCCTTGGTGGTATACGTTAAGATCTTATTTCAGATTGACAATGACAGTTAATTAATTCAATATTAAATATTGCCCATGGAATTCCTTATTAGTTCGAGTTTCTCTCTCTCTCTTTCTCTTTTTTTTCCTGCCAAATTTTCTGCAAGGGTTGATTTTAAGAAGCAAATATCTGTCTCGAAACTAGAAAGGAGCGTTTGCCTTAAATTCCAATTTATCTTTGTCTCCCCCTCCCTTTCTAGTCAGCATAATGTTTTCTACATGCTGAAGATGAGAAATAATGATCAAATTTTTTTCTCACTCATTTTCAGATTGCTGTAAATGCTTTGATCAAACGTGCGGCCCTCTACTTCCAAAGTCAGGAAATTGAAAAATGTTATGAAGACTTTGAAAAAGCTGTCAAAATCGATGAAGATATAGCTGATATTTATCATCACAGAGGACAAGTGAGCATCAACAATTATTTTAAGCATTTTCGCTGAATACTGATCTTTACAAAGTCTCTGACACACTTTAATCTTTTTGAAGAACAACTAACCTTTTTTATTGCACAATATCTTCTGTGCTTTTTTCATGTGTTTATATTACATGATTCATGTCATGCTATTACTTTAGTTTTGTCAAAGGAGTCTGTATTGTCAGCATTAATTTTGACAATGAACTTGTGCAGTCATTTTTAAAGAATTGAGATTGCATTTGGCTCACAGGATTTTTACAGATTTTTTTTTGAGAATATTGCACCACAAAAAACGAGTTGAAAATGGCATCTTTCAAGTTACAATTGAAAAATGCATCTAGGAGAAAGTCAAGATGGCACCTGAAAACATCCCTCTTGTCGTGGCCATGATCCTGGTTGCAACTCAGGGTCTGTGCAGCCGTTACCAATACATACCTGCACAGAATATAATTCGCAGTAGAGACAACATGCCATCGAGATGGTGGTTGCAATGAAAGAAACATTTTGGGATGCTGTTTTGACTTTCTCAGCAATGTGCAATTTGATGGGAGCTCTCAATACACAACTTCGAACTCACTTTTCGTAGGTTAATACTGTCTAAAAAAATCTGGAAAATTCTTGTATACCAATTGCTCTCTCTACTTTTCAAGTATATAGCACCCAGAAATTCCTGAACAAGCTCATCGTTTTCAATTTTTCATGAACGGTTCAGTTTAAAGGGATCCATTTCTCTCGTGAGTCAAATGAAATCGTAGCTTTAAATGTCTATATAATTGATTCAGAATTGGGTGCTCAATTTAGAGTTGATGAAACTGCAATACAGTGTTTCAAAACTGTCTTGCATTTCTTCTTCTCAAGTAAAAACATTCAAAATTCAATTGGATGTAGTTTATAATGATTTTTCTTTTCTTCAAATTCTAACTGATAATGTTGTATCAGTACTTTAGAAGGGAAAGGGCGCAACTTACATTCTTAGAAAAATCAAGGTACATGTTCAGATTTTTAATTTTTTTAGACAGGGCTGTATAATTATGTGTGAACGAATCTAATTTTAGTACCATATTTAAGATGTAAAACTTCAAATATTGAGAGACACAGAAATTTATGGGGTCATTTTAAAGTTTTCTCATTGCATCTCGGAATAGGAAAAAAGTTGCTACAACCCTTCTACTCTAAGCTACTGATATTATCTCTATTCGAAAAAGTAAGATGAAAAATTATAATTTGCAGCTGTGGTATTGTTAAATTACACTTGATAATGGAGTCAAGTTTATCAGCAATCAATAACTAAACAGGAAATTTTTTAAAAAAAACTGGGAACTATTATTGGTTAAAATAAGTAAGAGTAAATAAACATCATACGAAAGTTTAAAAAAAAAAAAAAAAAAAAAAAAAACACGTCTCAAAACCTCTCTTTTTTCATATTAATTTTGGTACTTTTTTCATGAGCTTTATCTGGCACCAATTCTTCAACTCAGTTTTTTATCTCATCATGTTCCCACAGATTCACATTCTTATGAACCAAATCAAGGATGCTAAAATTGACTTTGCTGTGGCTCTCTCCAAGAACCCAGACTCTCCCATCATTGCTGTACAAAAGTGTTACATAGATTTCCGATACGCTCAAGTAAACGAAAGTTCAGCTTTTGCAGAAGAATGCTTGAAAAACTTCAAGACTTTGATTGACAAATATCCCAAGTGTGTGGAATGCTACTTCATGTATGCTCAGGTAAACGACTTTACAATTTTTTTCTTTTATCGATATTTCATTATGATTTATTATTAAACCTGGAATCTCTTTTTTGTCATGAGTGAAAGCTGAAAACTGTCCCAGTGTCTACAGGGTGAGCGAAAACTCCCCGACCCCCCTCTAACTTTTGAACGCATGTACGTATCAAAATGGAATTTTGGGGATGCTTCTAAATCAATAAGAGCTACTTCTTGGCACATCCAAAATTTTGAGGGAGCGCCCCTCCCGTGAGTGGCGCACATTAACTTGAAATTTTCAAATGGTAACCCTCCTTTTGTGATATGTTATTAGAAAGGTAATAAAAAAGGAAACTTTTTGGCACAAACCGAAGGTTGCTTTGACTTTTTGTTATCCTCGGTCAAAGTTCAAAATAGGCCTGTTTTCAAAAAATCATAATTCCGTTTCAGAAAAGTGCAGAAAAGCAAACAAGGCGGCCTAATTCTTGGTATTGCATGTACTTTCAGGAAAAAAATAGTCAAAAACCTCATTGTTCACGCCAAGAAAGATTTTAGCCCCCCTCTGGCAAGAAAGACAGTTAATCGCGGGAGGGGGGCTAAAATCACTCTTGGCGGGAATGATAAGGTTTTTGACGATTTTGTTTCCTGAAAATACATGCAGTACCAAGAATTTGATAAAGTTTTCGCTCACCCTGTATAAACTGTGTCATGGGGATGAAAAGAAATGCTCCAGCTGTATAGAATTGATTTCCGGTATCTTCGTATATTGAATAGAGTGTTGTTGGTAGACTCTTTACATATTGCAAAATCCATTCAGAGCCTGTTGATAGTTACTAGAGATTCCATTATAGGGACTCAAGAAATAACTGGTTTCTCAGTGGATTTTTTTTTACTGCAGTATCCTCCTTGTTTGGTCAAGAATCACGCAAAATAAGGCATCACTTGACTCTCATTGGTAAATGACATGAAGAGATACGGTTTGGCAATTAGGGTTTAAAATAAGCTTCCACATGTAACTGTTTCATTTCTGCCTGAAGGTGAAAGCAAAATCTGTATTATGACCATAAATTGAATCGTGTCAATGTCTTTTTTTACTTTTAGTGAAGGTACACAGCAAGTTTTAGGAATAAAACTGATTAACTTGAAAACAGTATGGTATTTCTCCCCCACTGTTTTATCCTGCTTATTTAATTCTATTGTTACATTAGAATCTCCTCTCAAATCTGATAGAGATTGCTTTTGTCCCATGTTCTGTTCCTCAGAAGCCTTTATTCATTTTTTGACACTAATTTTGCATTGATTTGTGCAAACAGGTCCTCATGGCGATGCAAGACTATGAAAATGCTGAATACTACATCAAGGAAGCCTCCAAGATAGACCCGACAAATGCTACGCTCTATGTTCATCGAGGACTGCTGAAGTTCCAATGGACTGGCCGACCAGAGGAAGGAGTTGAATTCATTGAAAAAGCTATCAAGTTGGATGATCGTTGTGAATTAGCTTATGAAACACTTGGAACCCTCAAAGTTCAAAAGTAAGTATTCACCTCGTTGACTATTTGAAAAATTGCTTGGAAAAGGCTGGAGCCTATCTAAGATGGACTTGTCAAAAATTTGGGGTATCAAAAACAAAGGGAAGCTTTGATTTTATCTTTACTATGCCCAAAAGTTATCATGCTGTAAGAAGTAAGTGCTGTGGATAATGTCTGAGAATTCTCTTGCTCCACATTTTTGTATTTTCGACAAAGTGTGCAATTCCGTGCTTGGAAATGAAACAGTTATAACCTAAGAAATACGTTTTTTTCATGAATGAAGAATCAGAGGCTGGAGAACTTCATTGCATTGCAACTTAACAACATGAGACAATCTACTCACTATTTGAGAGTGGCCCCAAACATTCCTTCACAAAATTTTGTTGAAATGCAATAAAAAATACCAATTATAGCGCCCTCTTAACTTAAAGGGGTGTTCTACAAGCATGTCCTCGCAAAGTATGCCGAAAAATGTCAAACCAAAGTGAGGTTGTGATGGATTAAAGATTGCAGTTAAGAAATTACTGATCCTAGAAACAATTCTGTGTTTGAGGGCTGTTTTTTAGTCATTCCTCAAACAGCTCCATTTTGTAGGAAGATTCATATAGTTTAAATTGTGATTAAAGAAGATCCTTACAACCGCATCATTAAAAGGACAATTTTAACGAACCTTAAGTAAAATTCAGCTGAGTAACTTGAGGAATAGATCCTTGCAAGAGATAACCAGGATTTGCGATTGCAAAAAATGAAATAAACAAAAGATAAAGTTGTACTATTATTACAAAATTTAAGGTAGGTATGAACCTACGTAGGTAGGTAAGGGAGGTACAAATCTACTTCGCAATTTTCGAAACTTTAAATTTTTTTGTATCTTGAAGTTGTTTACAGAAGAAAATCATTATAATCCCTCTCAAGGATCTATTTCCAAAGCTATTCTGTTGAATTTTACTTGATTCTCCTTGAATCTCTCTTGATCAAAATGTCTTAAAGGCTGCATGTATAATTATGTGAAAAAAACTAATGGATGTGAATTAGCTAAAATAGAAATAAATGTAATTCTGAGCTGACAGAGTAAACTGTATGGAACCTCCAGAGGAAAGGAGGTACTTAAGGAACGACTTTGAATACTGCTCTACATTTCCGAAATTAAGGACTCAAACTTGTCATATTGAAATGTAAGGCCTCTATGTATTTGTTTCCATGATCAGTGCCAAAATGGAATCATAAGTTTGCAATCTATTCTCTGGGCACCTAGAATGTTTTTGGTCAGAAACTCAAAGTCTGATTTCCTATCAAGCCTGGTGATACTCCAAAAATTCTTGAATATTTTGCCATTCTACGTTTAGGTCCCTTTCTAAGGATGGTCTCATACGTAGTAATTGATTCTACGGATATCTCCGGCTTCTCTTTTTCCTGATGCCTTTTTTTTTTACTTGGCTTTTGATTTTAACATTACATGTATTCCTTTTCTTTTTAGTGGAAACCTGGAAGAAGCCATCAGCTGCTTTGAGAAAGCTCTAGAAATTGCGAAAAGCGAAGTCGAGATCACTCATATTCTGTCTCTCAAGTTCGCTGCCGAGGCCCAGCTGAACGTAGCCACACGATTTAACCTCTACAAAAATAACAGAGTTGTAGTGTCGTAGTGCCTAGATCTTCATTCAAGACCTCTAAATTTTATTTGTTTCCTATACTTACAAGTGTATACATTATTGTGTACGTACAGAGAACAATGTTTTTGCGGTAGGAGCTTTACACTGTTGGGCTGGAATCAACACCACTCCTGGCGAGGTAACTCTGTATCCACATGTTCTCTAATCTTTAATTTCTCCTTTTTCTCTCTCTTTGTTAAATTAATCTTTACTTCTAACTACTAGCTGGGATTAGGTAAGAATTAATGCGAAGCTCCATGGAGGAGCTGGAGACCTCCAATATTACAAGCAGAGCAATTCTCTTTTCACACCATGTTAGCACCATTACTGTAAGCAGATATTTTTGGAAGATTGCGTTTGCATTATTAGGATAGATCAGTGAAGAAAAAACAAGATTTATCTGAATGCTAAATATCTTTTTTTAGTAGTATCGGAGATATATTTAGTGAAACTTTAGAAATGCGTGTCTCAACTGCGGTGTTTCAAAATCTCTGCCCCTATTTTTCTTTTACAAAGGATACCAAACCAGCATTGTGGCTCGAAATGCTCACAAAGGACTCTTTATATACAGATGAAAAATCTCCCAAGTTTTCAAGAAATGATGTTGAGTAGTTTTCATTGTAGAAACTAAACTATGACAGAAAGTCTTCAACACCGCAAACCAAGCTATGCGTTTCTGCAGTTTCACCTTTGATAAATCTCCTCGAATAACTAGCAATAGTGTCTCCATGGTGCTCTCCACCTTCGTCTTATTCATCAAATTTTTGTGCTCATCGCTTCATTTGGACAACTGAAGAGGTAAATTACATCACTGAGGTTTTAAAGACTGATATTTCCTCTAATATCTGATGAAAAAATTTATTGTTTGGATGGATCTTACTATTTTTCACATCTCAGTTAGAATCCTCTGTGAAATGCAATCTTATTACGTAGCACGGCCTTCTCAACACTTTCAACAATGAAGCTTTAACATTGATCTTAATTGTTGTGATTAGAACTGCTATAATGGTTGAATTGTGAACAAGTTACAGTGTGCACTGTATTGCAGTTCCTACGTCAAAACTAACTTCGTATAGCAGGTTTACTTGAAGATTCTCCATTTGATGCATTCCTCTTGAAATTTTGCGCTAAGAACATGTTACCTCTTCAAATTATTGAAAATAAACTTCTTAGTAATCGGGTTTTCTTTTATCTCAGATATTTCAAAAAAAAGGAACCGGCCCATTTATGCCCACCTTTTTCAAACAAAATTTTGGTATGAAAACATAAACCGTAATTAGTTCATCAATAACTTGTCTGCTAGCCCATTCCAAGGAAGATGAAATAGATTTGCATTTATTTTTAAGTCAAACTTATTCATTTATAATTCTATGATTTACTTATCTATTCTTTTTTTTTTTTTTGCCTACCATCTACTCCTGATGCTATACTTTTCAAATCATTCTATCAAGAGAAATTACATCTTGACGGTGTAGGTTGGCAATCGCATAACTTGTTTGCAGTGTCGGAAAATCTCCGTCTCTATGTTATTTATTTAAAGGAGAACAAATTGACATCATTCCTTGAAGTTTTTGCGGAATTTTCTTCGCACAGAATAGAAAAATCATGGCAGTTTGAAAGAATTGCAGTTTAGTAGTCTTCCGCTTAAAAAATAAAGTATGATAGAAAGTCTCTGACGTCGCAAATCGAGTTATGTGATTGTCAACTTACACCGTCGATTTATGTACCTCAAATGGAAAGTTTTGAGTCGAGGGTTCGATTTCATCATACTCCATCCGGAGACAGTTCACTGCACAGTCACTAAATCTTTTTTGTAGTGTTCCTCCTATTATTCCCGTAAAGCTTTTTTTGATGGAGGGTCAAATTCTTTTCTCATATTCAAAACACCATGCAGACCACCAAAAAAATCGGACCAGTGCAAAGTGTTCTGTGATCCCCCATCACCTTGTTGAATAATCTCTTTGTTCGAGTTATTTTGAAGTGACCAGATTAAGAATGGGGCTGAATCAGGGTAACTAACTCAGCAAAGCCGAACGTTTTGAGCAGCAATTGCCTTTTGCAAAAAATCATTTCCACTGGAATTACATAATACCAAAAATTGTTCATTTTTAGTCTTATTCTTGCTCGTTGTCAGCGTGGAAAGTCCAAGAATTTTCTCTTCCGCACGTCTGTTGACACTATGATTCAGCATAATCAAAAGCTCCGCGTGAATCTGGATGAATCGTAACAGTTTAGTGTAATTTGGGCAAATCGAGGTTAACCTTGAGAATTGTTGAGTTATCTTAAAAAGAACTCTAACATTGTGTCCTCCAGTTTTTAAAAGAGACTCAACACATTTGAATCAGAGGAGGGGGGCCTTAATCGTTGCAAATTCTTCAAGTATCAAGAAGTTAATGAAATCTGTGTGCGCCCAGCATAATCAACAAGTTGTCCTTTCAGGATATTAGAATTATCTCTCTAATAATTCCCTCAGTTGTTATGTAGTGTCAGTGATCGTAGTTCTTCTAAACTTAGCAAATTCAGTAACCTAAGTTTCTTGTCATTTTGCCAGCTAGTGTGCTGTATCTTAACTGTTACTATTCCTGAGAATAGCAGTACAACACATGCTTTGTCTGTTCTGCATCTAGGACTTTTCTATGATTGTTAACTTCATGCGTAGTTCTAGTAATATCATCTGCATTTTATTTATTAAGTAAAGTGTAATTAATTTCAGTTTTTGACTAAAGTATTGTTTTACTTTTGATATGTTTCCTTTTTTTGTAAATACATCATGCATCTTATTATTAAATTTTCTTTTTTTAAAAACGATTCCTCTGTTTCTTCTTTATACTTTATCTAATTTTCAAATCAGATAATCTTTACTGTGAGATTGGCTCTCAATTTTCTGTCAAGCTTTTTAATCTTTTCTCAAAAAAAGTGATGTGACATGCTCTGTATTAAAGCTCTGGCCAAAATCTTAGAGTTCAAAGATCAGAGCAGTTGCAAGTGTCACGAGATCCAAAAATAAATTAATTTTTCAACTTAAAAATATTTGTTGTAAAATTGGTCGTACTTGCTTTCATGATTTATTTCTCATATTTGCCCTCAAATATTGTCCTAGCAATTTGTCACTTATATTCCATTTTTCATAAAGCTTAAAAGCTTGAATTTCAATAAACCCAAATCTCACCCTTTCAACAATATCTGAGAGCAAACTCCTTCCACAGACAGGGTATTGTCAAAAAGATCCAATAAAGTTACATTCAGATGCTTAATTTTATCCTATTTCAGTCTATGTAACCCTTATGAATATAATATTTTTGCTTTTATCAAGGGAAATGATTCATTACAACACTTTATTTTTCCATTGAAATACTGAATCATAAAATCAAATGCACATGAATTTCAAGTTCAAGCTGTAAACTTGAGTTTTTGATCGTTTAATGTCAAAGAACCTGAGAGGAGTTTGCAGATACTGAAAAAATATGTCAAAAATCTTGTCTTTTGAGATGTGGAATAAGGTAGAATATTAAAATACACTGATAATGAGTATCAACGAGTTTATTAAGGAGAACTAATGAGCATTATGTCAAATACATATTATTACACAGTAATAAAACTGTAAAATATTGGAACAATCCCACAACATTTAAGAAATTAACATGGTTTACAAAAAATTAAAACATTTAAAGCAAATTGACTAGACATTTGTACCAAAATAATAATACTAATAAAACAAGATAAAAAGCCTTTGAGATTTCTAAATGAAACACACAAAGAAATTAATGCACTCATACATGATCGGCCTTTTATAATTTATCACTTGCTTGGTTGCCCTCGCTGATTCAGTCCTCACAGCACCCTCAGGTATGAAGAAGGAATCAACGGCCGCATGAGAGCATGGACTCCTCAGGAATGAGTGACATTTCTTGTGAATCATCAATTTGCAGTCCTGGCATTTTAGTCCATGCTGTTCTGAACCCCAGATCCGATACAGGATACAGGCAGTTAGTACATGCTGTAATCATACACAGACCAATGTAGATTGAACTAGAACAGAGAAGGCAACAGAAAGCAGAAGTTTTTGTAAATTTCAAGGAGAAAAATCTTGAGAAACTGTTGAAATATCAGAGTCAGGAGTTCCTATTCCCCCTTTTTTACAAAAAAGCGCCACCTAGCACTATTGCAAGTTTTATCACTTTTTTCTGGTAAATTTCAATAAAAGTTTTACATGAAATTGTAGTTTTTCATAATACATATTTTGCAGTGTACGATGTGTTTACTGTCAGCGTGACTGATTTTTTTAGAATTTAACAGAATTTTGATGACAGTTTCCTTTTATCACTTTTTGAAAGTAAAGTTCACAACAAGTTTTCTCGAAAAATAATAAATGAATGTTTCCCAACTTGAACGTTTTAAATTTTTTTTGCATTATTTGAAGTTCAAATGAAACAGTCAGTGCGACTGGTGCTACTAAGGCAAGAATAAACCCAAAATCAACCAATACCTACTGAATCGAATAAATGTATACCCAGATTGCATGGGGTCAAACTTATTTTTTTACTAAGAACAAGTGTAGGTATTTGGGTAATCACTAGCGCACAAGCTCAGCTCAAGGTAATGATCATAGCCATGGTGACGTCATACACTGCATACACAGTGCATTTTCACTCTTGAGAGAAAAAAACTCGTACGAGAATAATTTTCGCTCCTGGAGTAGTGCTGTTTGGCGCAACACTAGTTACGTCCAATCAGAAAGCAACCCCAGACACACAGCTCCAGGAGGGAAAATTATACTCGTACGAGGCCCCCCCCCCCCCCCCCCTCCTATAGTGAGAATGCAGTGAGTATGCAACATTCTCTTAGGATTCTACTTTATTCTTCAATCATTCCTGATAATCAGACACCTAAACATTTTCTAGTGGGTGTATCACTGACAGCAAGAAACTCAAATTATCCTTGATCCAACAAATTTATGAAATTATCTTGATTCTTGTACAGTGACACTTTTAAGAAATAGGAGTAAAAAAATTAAGAGTACAGATACTTAAGTGCTCTTCTTGGTCTCCAAATTTCTCTCTCTTTTCGTCTCTCTTTTCATCTCTTTTATCATATCTCTCTTTTCATCTCTTTTATCATATCTCTCTTTTCATCTCTTTTATCATATCTCTCTTTTCATCTCTCCCCCTATCATACATATATTATCGACCCCTGTGTATTACTACCAAAACCAGCACCAATTTTGTCGGCGATTAGCCGAGGGTGAAACCCTCGTTTCCACCGTCCACCACGAGGAGGAACCGACATCAGACGGCAACGCTTCCACCGTCCAACTTACAACTCCCATGGCATACGTTAATTTGAAATTCAAAATTTTGAAGAAATTTTGAAAAAATTGAGAAGAAATTTTAAAAGACAAAGGCATGGGGCTCATGCCTTTGTTGTTTCCCTCGAGATCGGAGGTATAGTCGGTGACCGACCAGTATCCTTAAGATCTCTTCTCCGTTCTGCTTTTTTCGCACGGACTCCCGCGCGAACGAAGCACAACGGATCTACTCAGTTCCTACGAGATCAGAGGTTTAGTCTAGTGAGATTTAGTAAGGATAACCAGTGACCTCTTCAAGATCTCATGCCATGAAGAGTTGGGTCGGCGTTCTGGGCGCACCCTCACTCACAACAATGAACAATTCGCCAGTGACCGAATGCAGGGAACTCCTCTACCACCGTGCGATCCCACAGCAGGACAACAAACTCGTAGCTGGATACTCTCTACAGAGATAGAGATTGCTGAAACTATGTCCGGCTTGTTCGGCCCAGGTCAAACAGAATACCTTGAGCCACGAGACCCCGGGACTCTCGTGAGGTATTCGGCTCGTCCCAAACCTACTTCAGTCTGCAACATCGCCCCAACCACCAGCCCGTTTGAGATGCGTCCGACCCTCCGGTTCCGACTTTGCCCGGTCTAAAGTGTCCCGGGGGGGATGACGGTTTTAGACTTAATGCGCAAGCATCGGCAGATACCGGAGGTTGACCGCAGAACAGGATTGCCAGGCTTCGATCGGTCACCCCTGCATTTGGTCACTTACAAATCGCGCTAAGTTGGTCACAGATCGGGATTTTCAGACCACTGTGTACCGGTTGATCCTTGCACCTCGCGGTTCAAGGATATGGCCTAACTACTATCAGTGGTCCTCTGAAGATCATCGTTCCCCTCATGTTCCTCAGGTTCCGCTTGATCTCTTCCGTAAGCCAGGGATATGGACTAACAACCAAGGTAATAACGTACTAAGGTTCCGCTTGATCCAAGGCTGCAATGGATATGGGCTAACGACCAAGGTAGCCCTGCCGAAGCAGGACACCGAGGATGCGCTTGATCCATGCCTGAGCGTTATCAGGGATATGGGCTAACAACCAAGGTAATAACGTACCGAGGATGCGCTTGATCCCAACTCACTACGATATGAAGAGGATATGGGCTAACAACCTGAGGCGAGGGAGGGTGCAGAATCACAACAGGTTTGCCGGCGTTTGGCACGGGTCGGAGACCCGCCCCAGGTCCACCACGAGGAGGCTCCAGCACCAGACCCTCAGCTCTCTCATTTTCATCTCATTTTTCATTTCATCTCATCTCATTTCCATTTCATCTCATTTATCATGTCATCTCATTATCATTTCATCTCATTATCATTTCATCTCATATTCATTTCATCTCATTATCATCCCCTTTCATCTCATTTTCATCTCATCTCATTATCATCCCCTTTCATCTCTTTTTCATCTCATCCCATTTTCATCTCATCCCCTTTTCATCTCATCCCCTCTTTATCTCTATTTCATCACTTCACCCTTTCATCTCTATATCATCACCTTTTCATCTCATTATCATCACCTTTCCATCTCATTATCATCTCATTTTCATTTCATCCCTTTTCATCTCTTTTTCATCTCATCTCCTTTTCATATCTTTTTCATCTCATCTCCTTTTCATCTCTTTATCATCTCTATATCATCTATCCCTTTACCTATCTCTATACCTATCTCCCCTATTTCTATACCTTTTCATCTCATTATCATCACCTTTTCATCTCTTTTTCATCTCTTTTTCATCTAGTCCAGGCGCCTGGTAAGTCTACCTGGAATTTTGGGTACACACCGATTTTTTTGGCTTACTGTATGTTTTTTGGGTCGCTGAATCCGAATCTGAAGTTTCCTACCGCGTATCTGGTGAGCATTTTCCGCCATTTTGAAAAAATGGCCTAAGGCCTTTTTTGCGGTTTTTTTAATATAGCGCGGCTACGCATGAGAAGAAATCCCGGATTTAGCTAATGTTTTGAATAGCTGAAAAAATTTGGAAGAAAATGGTATATGAATATGCTAGGTTTGCTCAAAAATTGAGGAACCTCGGATCTCGGAACTTTGGAACGCTTCGGAACTTAGCTGTCCGCGGCGAGCCGGATCACGTGTCAACGGGTGCGCCGCGAAAACGTGAATGGGCGCGATGTTCACGATGCTGTATCTTCCTCAATTTTTAAGCAAACCTAGCATATGTATACACCATTTTCTTCCAAATTTTGTTAGCTATTCAAAACATTAGCTAAATCCGGGATTTTTTCTCATGCGTAGCCGCTACATAAAAAAAACCCGCAAAAAAGGCCTTTTAAGGCCATTTTTTTCAAAATGGCGGAAAATGCTCACCAGATACGCGGTGGGAAACTTCAGATTCGAATTCAGCGACCCAAAAAACACAAAGTAAGCCAAGAAAATCGCTGTGTACCCAAAATTCCAGGTAGCCTCATTTTTAGCTACCAGGCGCCTGGACTATTCCTCCG